CTTCCTAGGTGGAAAGCAGAAGAAGAAAAACAAGCAAATTTTTATCCAGACACCTTAGAAAACTCACGGGGAAAGTTTCGTCTTTCAATTTCTCTTTTGCTTCGGTTGAATTCCTCCTTAGAAAACTCTAAGAGAACAACAGCAACAATTTTTCGTTCGTTCGAATTTTACATAACTTGGATCGTACTGGAAAAAAGAAAATTATCCGTTTCTAGATTATCTAGTTGAGTCACAAATAATTAACATTTCCATGTACAGAAAAAACGTTGCGAAACAGTTTTAATCGTTATAATTATTACTACGAATCGTTACTTATCACGTAGATAGTCAATTCCTATGGTTAAAAGGTCGACCAATTTTGATGACTAACAGTTTTCGACGTGGCCGCTTCCGGTATAAAAAATAAAGAAAAGATGAGGCTGAGGTCCATCAAATTTGTACGACAATTGATCGATCAATTGTCGGGTAATTTCCGCGATGGATGTATGACATCGCGTGGTAGTCCCTCAACTTCCGATAAAGAAGAAAGGTTGAATGGCAAATTATCCATACATGCTACGACGGAGTGAAAGAGGTCGAAGCCAATGCCTGGCGCGCTCCAATAGAAAAAAGGTCAAAGGCGAGAATCGGGATCTAATTGTAACACGTGTGCCCGTTCATCTCGCGAATGCTAAGTAATTATATCCAGAGACGGAGCTAAGATAATCCAATCGGTGGTTCAAACGTACGAGTCGATCAACTTTTATTCCTCCGCTGTAGACCGTATCGTTCGATGTTCGATGCTCTTACGCTAGGTAAGATATTTCGGTCGTCTTCGGGGAAGTAAACACGCGACCTACGCGCGATTTTCCCTCGACCTCCTTTCCTCCGCCCTACGCGGGAACGCTCCACAATCGGCCCCGTTATCTTCCTTTCAGCGCCAGCGAATCCTCTCTCCGAACCGAACGGGATTAATACTTGGACGTTCTTCGATCCTTTTTCCGATCGTCGGTTCCTCTTCCAGCTGGCACCGGCCAGCGAATCGATGAATTCGCGCAAAACAACGGCGGAGTCGAGCGTATCTCGCGGAATCGGCGTCGCGATCTGCCAACACGCGACGAACAACCGTGAACAAAAATTCTTTTTTCCCCATCGAGAGCTCTATCTGCAATGCGCGACCGCGTAACCGAGGGTGACGAACAAACTCTATCGTGCTAAACGCGATCAAACGTTTCCAAGAATTCACGAGACGGACCTAGTTCAGTCGTTCGGGTTACACGATTCTCGTGATTTCTCTGTATTACCGCTTTAAACTTAATCTCCGACCGTGGAAAACTACATGGAATTCCACGCAACTGCGGGGAATCGCTCTGGAACGGTACAAAGTAACTTTATTCATTCCTGTGCATCTAAAAAAAACTCAACTACGCCCTTTCGATGCGGAGTTTTAATCTCTACGGAAGAGTATCGAGGCACTTTGCCCTGTACTCGGTTGTTCAAGAGGTGTACTTTAAAGTTTACTAAATTATAAAGTACTTGGCAGATGGATACTCAAGCTGCGACCTCCATTGCGGTATATATATTAGACTTTTTTAAACGAAATACAGCTTGTACAGGTACGAAGACAATGATTGTTTCCAACAGGGACACGTTTCTTCGTACAATTTTCCACCAGTCAAAATGAACTACTCGTGAATGACCATCCTGGCGCACAGAGTTATCAACGGAAACTTTAATCTCACGCCGATTGATACTAAACGTAGACTCGTGTTTACAAACATCGTAATGCGTAATAACTCGCTAAAATAATTTAGTAAACTCTCGAATTATTATCACCTTCCACTGTTCGGTGCATTAAAACAATGCCAAATTGCACTTCTGTCGTAAAATTTAATAAATTCTGGTTAACATCTTGGTTTCGAAAGTTTTATTCTGGAACCTTTCCAGATTTCCTGGCCGAGTCTGACCGTAGTTTCAACGCGCGCTGTTTTCGAATCGAACGATCAAAGACAACGCAGACAACGCGCGTTTCTCGCGGTCCTATTTTCGCCCCGTGGCGTTTTGAGAATTCCTTTGCCGCTCGTTCGATCGGTCTTCGATCTCCGATTGCGGTCATGTAGGTCGAGAACGAGTTCGCGCGCGCTCCCGATCGAACGTAAAAAAGAAAGTGTTCCCCCTTTATCCTTTCGCGGAAGCGAACTATCGCGATGTCGTTCATGCTTGGAACTTTAATTTCGCTCCTCGTAACTCCCACTATGTTCGTGGAGCCGTTTTATTTAGCAAATAGAAGGTTCAATACTATTTACAACTATTTCCATGTGTTAACAGTCTAATTTTCAATGTTCTTAATGACGTTCTCACGGAGTTCGTGTGTTATTCTCAATTCTAAAGTCCTATGCCCCGCGATTTTTTACATATTCAAAAGGAGGTTGGAAACAACTGCTCATCCCTCGTGGGCTAATCCTCAGATATTCGAAATCCCACCCGCTGAGGGTGGTACTTGAGAGTACGGCAATTTGCTTGTACCCTAAGGTACTTGCCCAAATTGTCAATCAAGTAATTTAACTAATATTCGCTAATAAATGTTGGAATTCCCAACACTGTTCGTTCGACGGTTTTCAACGCCGTTTTCAGTGACAATGTCCCCAGGTCCTCTGAATTTCGTTCGCCAGAGGCCGAGAACGCGCTGTTTGCACGGGGTCACCGACGCAATCTCTCCAACCTTTTCCTCCTTTGGTCATCGTTGCTTCAACCTCGCGTAAATGTAATTTTCTCGTTACGGGGAGCCTTGTTCGCTCGACGGTTTTCAGCGCGGAAAAAAAACCGCTTCAAGGTACTCGTCGCGACTCTAAACACGGCTGCCAGAGATTATCTCGTTTCGGAGGGACGGGAATCCGATTTCGTGAAAAATAGACACGAGCGAATTGAGGTTTTTTAATTTAATTGCACGGTTAATCCGATTTTGGTATGTTCGCCACGCAAGCGTGTAACGATAAAATGTTAAGTAATGCGATTAAAGATTACTATATTCTTCTCGAACCGTTTATCTGTTGGTCGCTCGTAATCGCTGTGACCCTAAAATGCACTCGATTACTCTCGATAAATTGTTTTAATGTTTACACACCTCGATCGTCGTATCAACCGTAAAAAAAGTGATTCGATAATTGTATCCGCATCGTTCAATTGGTTTCGAGCGAAAAGAAGCGCACCGAGTTTACAACAATTTTGACGAGTCAGATCGAGCGAATCACGATACAGAGAGGTGAAAAGAAACCATTGTATCAGTTAGTAACAATTGGATTGTATCGTCATTTATAATGCAAGCCGATTCCACGTGGCCAGAAGCGATCGATGCGCGACTATTCGTGCACGCAGAAAAACCATTTGAAAGATAATACTCGTCCCGACCTTGCCCTTCGCCGTGACGCCATGCTCCTTTCAATTTGCCCGACGAAAGGTACGACTACGGTTCGCCGAGAGCAGTAACAAGTTCGCGGAACGAATCGATGCTGATTTATTAACGCGCTTTTGTTGCGCGAACAGCTAATCGAGACCTTCGATCGGAACCGCCATTTCCACCGTTCACCTCGATACACATCGTCGTTGATCTCTTTTTCCGCGCCCTGGATTGTCTAGATTGTCCTATCATCCACCGTCCCGATGATAAATTGTCTTTTTCATCGCGAACGAGCCATCGAGCACCATAACGTTCGTCATACACGATCAACGATAGGCTGCATTAACCCATTAAATAACAACTCTGTCCGGAGACTTGAAAAAAAACCACCGAGCTTAGAATATTTGTTCGAATAAACGTTATCGAGGTTTTCTCCCGGCATAATTAAGGTTTATAATCGATGTAAATAAACGGTGATTCATCGCGAGCTGTTCGGAATAATTGCACATCGTGTATGGAGGCAAAAAATTGTAATTTACTTTTAAAAAGATATTTTTACACCATATGAGATGTACCCATTAATCACTTCGAAGAACGCGCGCTAAACCACCGTTTAATTGCATTAATTAGGCCCTTGCCGTGTCAAAACGTTTCTCTACAAAAAAGAATGCATTGTTGTTTTGTTCCTTCTTTGGCCATCTGTGCGATTACTAAAATATTTATTTTCTCGAGGTTTCGGGAACCATAACTTCGGAGCGTACGTGCTCTAAAATAGCCAATGTTGTGCTACGCGTGTCCTAGTTTTTTTTTTTTTGTTTTTTAACGCGACACGATACAGATTGTTTGATCAAATTTTTATCGTTATCTCGCGGCTCGAGGTCGGTTCTTCGATTTTTGTAAAACTCGTCCGCTACTTTTCGTTTTTTTTTACACACTAATTTTGGAGCTGAACAACATTGCGACATCGCTCGATTATTCGGGGTTATCTGCGGCCTATCCGCGAACTATAAAATTTGCGGCAATTTGGCAAAAACAGATGCTCCAAAATTGTCGTACAACGAACGATGTACAAGAGATACCGTTGCTTTTTCTCTTCTAAAAGAGAAAGTTTTCTTTACGTGAGAAAAATAAGTTGCGTTTTGCGTTTCGAGATACAAGCGAAGAGGGTGAAGCTGTGCCCCTTCCTTGGCTTGTTTAGACAAAGTATAGGGCCTTTTCATTCTGTATGTTTCCTTCGAACCGTGCAAACGAACCTTCCAAGTGTCTCTAATAAAACTTAGTCAAAAGTTATATCGTCCTAATTGTTTTTTTTTTATTCCACCACGTATTTCCAATAGATACCGATCGAACACCGTAGTTCCAGCAAATTTTCGTTTATTTTATCACCTAATTAACGATTGGTTAAAATTGCATTCTCGAATGCGTTCTCGAAAACAAAGCCTCCGGGATGCAAAATTTATCGTTCTCGATTCCCGCCCTATCTCGAGTCTAATTTTAGGAGAGTCTGTAGACCCGGAGTTATCGAATAGCGTGCCGGAAGAGCAAGTTCGCGCGATATCAGCGAAAGGTGGTGGTTTCAACTACCTCGAAACACCGTACCTAAACGGCTGTTATGCTAACTTACCCGACGTAGACGCGACAGGTGGAATTATTGACGCGGCGATCGCTGCCGAGCCTCCGACGGTCCTCGAAGTAATCTTTCAGCGCCGTGACGCCCAGCACGAAGATCACGGGCAGCATGGCGACTTCTTTGCCGAAGGCATTTATGGCTGGCACCCAATTAAGCAGAACGATAAATATAAAATATAGATTTGCCACCCGGCGAAACTGCTCGAGGAGGTTGCGAGGTAGGAAGCTCAGCACCGTGTACTTGGTTGTGCGTACCCTGAAAGCACACGAGTCATCCGAATTTCAGTAGCAACGCCTCATTGGATGTTGAGACGTTTGTTAAATTAATCTTGATGATCGTAAGGAAACGTAAATACCTATTGTTTACTCTCTTTCCATTGGGATGCTGACTCTGCGGCGTTTTCGGCGGCACTAAGTGATTTGGTACTATTGTCCTTAAACGAGGTTCCTCCGGCAACGGGCCGAAGCATCTGGCCCACAGTCTTCTCCACCAAGGCGGCTCTGCGCTACGTCTTATCGTGTATATCGACTCCGATCTGCGAAAAGGTCAAACCCCTGCCTTTGAATTCGCGTCTTCCTCCGCTTCTCGTTCCCATTCGCGAGTCTCGGGCCTTTATCGTTCGCGCCTGCCGATCTGGAATTCTTTTTTCTACTCTCAAGGCGAATACATTATTCAAAACACGAACAAAAACCAGACGGTCGAGCAGAGAACACACCCTTTTTCATAGATTCGGATCCGATAGCCGGACGCGTACGCGATCGATTCATCGATACTTGGTGACGCAACAGCGCTCGAATCGAATCGTTCCAAGTTATAATTATTGTGTGTGTACGATGTACTCTGATTTCTAAAATCGTCGATGCTTTCCAAATAGACTTTCCTCTCCTCGTACCATTTATGAAAAGCATAATCTGTACGTTTAATTGTATTTGACACGTAAGAACTCTGTATTTACAATGTTACCGTACAGAGCCGAGTGCATAGTGCTAATAACGAAATGGGAAGCCTCCCCAAGCTTCGCCTACCTTCTCAGGTATGAAGAGACCTCGAGAACGTATTTACCTGGAGGCTTGTCGCGAGTGACCTCGATGGGAGGGTGGTTTCCCAGCGGTGGGTGGCCTGGCCTCCTCCCTGTGGCCTGGTGGGAGGATGAAATCCGTTCTGGAGCCGACGCGGCTGTGACCCGTCACGGTGTGTCCTTGTACGTCCACCACCTGACCTTGACTGAAGGCTCTTTGGTGTCCAGGCTTCTTGAGGGCGGATGGTCTCGCGGACCCGATCGCGGACAGAGGTCCAAGATAGGATCCAGCGTTCGGCTGCAACCCTGTGGTCGTCAGGGACACGGCCAGCACTCCACCATGGCTGGCCGACCTGGCGTGGGTTCGCGGACACGGCCTCCTCCTGCTTCGCGACGCCCCGTCGTCCTCGTCGTTCTCGCCTTTCGCGGACGCGGACGCGAACACGGACGCGGACGCGGACACGGACACGGACGCGGTGCTCGCGACGGGCGTCGAACCCTCGGGAACGGAGGCGGTGGTTGACGGCGAAGGCGTCGTCGAGGATGCCGGATGATGCTGACGGGCAACAGATCCCGGGAACACGTAAACCGACGCCTGCCTGTCGATCTCCTCGCTCGCTGCTTCCTGCGCGCCCGCTTCGGACATGCTGGCACATCTGAGAACAAACGGAGACCCCTCGATCAGCCGAGATATATCTCTTCAACCCCTCGGGCATCGCGCAGCCTTCGAAAACGAACGACCAAGCGATGGTCGGGCGTTAAATTTTTACAGCGGACGCTTTCAGGCGCGAGACACCGAGTACGTGGCTTACATTAGATGAGATTAAGAATAGATTTGCCAGGCATCGAGAGTGCACGCGGGTCTGACCGAATGCAGTCAATCGTTTCGTTAAACTGCCAGTTAACGCGTCAACCCGGTAACGCTTCTCATAAACTCCGCCTTCCGTTGCGGCCTCGATTCCCGCTTGGGAACAATAAAAAGAAAAATATATGTATCCGATCGTGATTTTAAGCACGGCCCAGCGACCAAGTGCAAACAAACGGAGAGGAGAAGAACGATATAAACTGTTCGCGGTTCCCGTGATTCGGAACAACCGTGGCCTCCCGCGTTGTTTCGATCGAACGATCTAAATTACGCGCGTCACGATCTTGAAACAAGATTTTAAAAACGGCGAATCTGATCGACGGGATTCCGTTCGCTTTCACGGCTGTTATTCGATACTCGACGTTCGAGGAACTCAAATTTCGTCTCGTCGTCGTAAAAAAAAAAAAAGAAGAAATCGTGGAAAAGATCGATCGTTGGGTTCTCGTTTGGCCTGAGAGAACTACCCCCGGCGTCGAACGATACACAGGAAGCGGTCGTAATGCAATTTTCGTGCGAATTCTCTCGCGATTGCGGGTGCACTTGCACTTGCCCGACACAGATACGCTATTAATAAGATTGCAGAGCGGAGAGAGCGAGGGTTTTTTTCGTGCCGACAGATGCCGCAGAAACGAATGGATTAGTATCGGCGACAGTGCTTCGAGAAATTTTACAAAATAATGCGAAACGCTAATCATCTTACGACGAATAATCCAATAGTGTCGTTGATGAGATCAACCTTACCGTGTTTTGGTCACTAAACCTTGCACCGGCCAGCCTTCGGTTTCATACTACGCCGGCGCGATTTAGTACTTTGAACCTTGAAAACATTCATCCCTTTAAGGGGCAAGACCGCCGTGGAAACCTGAAACAAAGCGTTTCTTTGCGATTTTTTTTTTTAAACCAATGGAAAAATAAGAGGATAATAATATTCAAGAATGTTGTTAAGTGTTGAAAAAAAAAATATTTATTCAAAAATAGTGCAAAATGATGCTGAAAGAAATTTAAAACACGCCTCGCGAAAATGGCCCCAGCGTCGTCATTTTGCACTATTTTTTAATAAATATTTTTTTCTGTAACACTCAACGACACGGTTAATAACATTCTTGAATGTTTATTAGCCTCTTGCTTTTCCATCCATCCAAAAAAACAAATCGCAAAAGATGGTCTTACCCCTTAAGACGATCTTGACTCTTACCTTTCTCGTGTCAGCAAAGATAACGAATTGGGGTGTGCAAAGTGAGAGAATCGTCATATATTTGTACCGTTATTTGGCTGGAACGAGGGCGGAATGGTTGAAATTTGTGCGTCGAGGGGTGGCAAACTGGAGTAACGCGACCGAGTCGACGTTTCGCCTCTCCTCGATCGATCTTTTGCTAATAAATTTTACAGAAAGGACCGTTGGGCACGCGTTCCTTTTCCCGCGGGCAACACCCGCACAATTTCTACGACTGAAACGAGCGTGCGATCAGATACACCGAGCGGGAACTCCGAATACCCTTATCGGTCGTTCGTTGCGTACGCTTCAGCTTGCGAAACGATAAAGCCCACGGCTCGCGTTTCGCCGTTGTCGCGGAATTCAATGCACGTCAAATCGAGCACCTATACTGCTCCAACGTACAGGTCGTTTAACCGCGAACGGGCAACATTCTGAAAAGCTAAAAATCAAAAAGAAATTGCGTTCGAACCTATCGACAGCTATTTCTTCAGATTACTTTCCCAATCATTGTCAACAGTTACTTTGTTGATTCTAGTTTTTTTTTTTTTACAGAAAAATTTGTCCAAGGAGGAATTATACTATCGTAGAAAGGACGGAGCCAGTCGATCGACGCGCGTTTTTGTACAAGCACGATTGCCCGCTGACAACGTGGCTAATTGGCGCAAACTGTATTAAACGATTCAATTCGTCGTCGCCGATGAAACACGCCTTCCCCGAGACACGTACTCCCACGGGCGCGTCGATTACGGGGAAAAACGAGGTGAAAAGCGTCGAGCAAACAGTCCAAGCCAAGTTGGGAGGGAAAAAATTATCTGTTGAACAAATATCGGAACGACAACGAGCAAGATTACTGTAATCGTATTTACGATGTCTACGTGGGGGGAGAGGTGAGGGGTTGGCTTCGTTTTCGATGGACGTTCGGACAACGACGGGAATTCGATGGACGTCCTGGCAAAATGTCAACGAATCGTTCGAATCGGGGACTTGGGAATTAAATCGGTCGAAAAGCGACGAATCGAACGTCCATCGGATAATCGAGGGTCGCGGAAAGCGAGCGTGGTCACGTGCACGGCGAAGGATTCCGCTCGTGATCGATACCAGCCATCGGGTCGACGTAAATCCCGTGTTCTAATGTAAACGGACAATATCAAGGGTAGTGAGAAGCTGAAAGATGGAATTGGGTCACGCGAATATCGATGGGCCCTTAATCGGGCGGGTTTGCCCGCGGAGTAACAAGCCCATTATCGCTGGTAATTATTGCACACGGGCTCGTTGCGCGGGAATCGTTCCGACAAGCTCGCTCGGGAACACGTTTCCACTCGATACGGCGTCGAACTATGTGCTCTTAAAAAATTCAAGAGGACGAATCTATTGGGAGCTCAATCGTAAGAGTCAACCGACGGTCTTCTTGATTCTATCGAGGTCATCCCACATGCAACACGAATGATCGGAGTTTACACGCGTGCCCCCGTGTGCCATCCGATCTGTACAGGCTGATTAACCACAGGTGGGCGATATTTTACGATTTCCACCACCTTGCGAAGAACCGAACGAATAATAGATGAGAGATGGAATCGACGCGCGGCAATTTATTCGTGACGTTCGTACGATCGCGCGATTAAATTTTTATCTGAATCGTAACACGACTGAAAAGGGAAAAAAATACAATAAGAGAAGAGAGCGTAAGGAGAACGATTACTAAACGTTGCTCGCTGGGCCCGAAGAAACGTATCGATTTCTCTTGGCACAATTGTTACCCGAGTACGCATACCGAATCACCATTTATTTACATTAATCGCGAACCCCGATTCTGTCGCGGCCTCGAAAGTCACGGCTCAATTTTTAATTCCACGATTCGGCGATCCGAACGCTTTCTTCGTACCGGGTCGTTCCTTGATTTATTAACGAAACTTTAATTTCATTATAATTGCTAATCGGAGCGACGCTACGCGTCACGCAATATCTCACTCGTTTACCCAATGACGCAGCATATGGGTCACAACGAAACATATAAATTGCTCTTAACATGGCCTAGTCTCACGCGGCACTGAATCTTTTTACTTCGCGACCGATGTTCATCTTTAATTTATATTTCGACTCGTTTCTCGATTTATCCGTTTCAATAATTATCACAGACGACATAAATCATTAGTCAACTTCTACGTAAGATTAACATTACTTCCTATAAATATTCAGAATCGAAAACTGTTTTTTGTTTCTCTTTAAATTTCATCGTACGGCCCACGAGACTAGGAATCGTATTTTTAACCGTGCGCAGCGAGCTTTAAAAAGTTGAGAGCCGCTGGTTTAACCGTTGAGGTAGCAGTAACCCCTTAAGAGGCTCTTCTGCTCCAGAACCCTAAAAACAGGCATTCCTCTTTTCGTTCCTCTAGAAATTTCGACCAGAGCTTCGATGTACAACCGTTACTCGTGCCTTGGAACCCCGTTCCCGATAATCCTCCGCGCGCACCGGCCCGCTGGTGATCGTTTTGTTCGAACAAAGGGCGTAGCTGAGATGCGCTGCGCGCGAATTCGTGCGATTTAAAGGGCAGAACCTCACGAACGGCCTTCCAGGCAACGAACAGGGACAACCTCGGTTCGCCGGATTTTGTTTTTCTCCGCGTTTCTAGGCGAGTCTACGAGACTCGGAGCGCGCAGCCGTCGTAACCGGTTTCGTGGCCGGAGACCGAGACCACCGGTCGCTCGAAAGAAAAGGAAAAGAACCGCGAACGATTCTCAACCGTTAACCTACGACCCGTTTGACAATACGTAGGAATGTTCTGGATCCGATTGAACCCATCGTTCGTCGCGGCCGTCAAACTCGACGAGACGATGAAAAGAGTAAACCGGACGACGACGACCGTATTCGCTTCTTACTTTCTACTCGATCAACCGACAATCCTTTTTTCCTTCTTTTTTTCGCTAATAACCAATATCTCTTAATCACCGATACGTACAGGACGTTTAACTGTAGGTGGTCGATCTCTTTCACGCGTTGAAAATTATCGAGTCGCGGTACGTCTGTGTTAAGGGGCCATTCTACCTTGTAGGCATGAAAAATACGTGTTTCTTTGTGATTTTTTTTTGCGGGTTATTAAAGAGCGATTAATTCCGGATTTTGTAGATACATTTATTATATATTTAGCTATATTTACGAATTTTTGCAACGCATAATATCTATTGATTACGCTGTTTTTGTTGATCATCGAACAACAGTTTTTACGAACGGCACCCGACTGCGTACGTGATATCTTGCGAACAAGTTATTCGAAATCCTAAAACCAACGATATTCTTAATATAGATGAGTGTGGTTATAGCATGAACCAGGATCTTTTCAAAAAAACAAAAAATGGCAAAATGGCAGCTAGTTTACGAAAAAATACTGAATATTTTCATATATTTGGTTGCTTTTTTGTTAATAAAAGAAAAAGTATTGCATATATCGCAATTATCCTAGTTCATGCTATAGGGAGACCAGTTTTGAAGATACTGTATAAATTTGATGTTGATATCTTGAATAGTTTTTTAGTTATCACGCACGCAGTGCCGAAAGATGTAGTTTCGAGAAAAACAACTTTAAAGTTTCACGTCTAGTTGTTATACCTACGCGCGGTACATTTCAGCAGGCTATAACTTCGTTAGGTTTCCGAATTTCAATTTAATATTTGGTAGACATATTTTCGAGACTACATACTAAAGGAAAATGCAAAAAAAAATATCGATTTTTTTAATCCCACAAGGTAGAAAGGCCTCTTAATCATTGATACGTACAGGACGTTTAACTGTAGGTGGTCGATCTCTTTCACGCGTTGAAAATTATCGAGTCGCGTACGTCTGTGTTAAGGGACCTTTCTACTTTGTGGGATTTAAAAAATCAAATTTTTTTTCGCGTTTTCTTTTAGTATGCAGGCCTCGAAAATATATCTACCAAATGTTAAATCGAGATTTGAAAAACTAACGAAGTTATAGCCTGCTGAAGTGTACCACGCGCAGGTATAACAAAACTACATTTTTCGGCACTGCGTATGTGATAACGAAAAAACTATTCAAGATATCAAGATATACAGGGTGTTCGGCCACCCCTGGTAAAAATTTTAATGGCGGATTCTAGGGGACAAAATAAGACGAAAATCAAGAATACTAATTTGTTGATGGAAGCTTCGTTAAAAAGTTATTAACAATTAAATTCAAAAATTTCAAATCGTTCTGGAAAAATTATTTTCGGTTGCGGGGGTCAACTACAATCATTTTTGGTGAGTACACATACCTCCGAAATCCTATTTATTTTCGAGAAAAAAAATCGAGTAGGTGCTGAAATTTTTCGGCGAAAAAAAATTTTTCAAATCGTTCTAAAAAAATTATTTTCGGTTGCGGGGATCAATTACAATCATTTTTTATCATTACACGTACCTCCGAAATCGTACGCACTTTCGAGAAAAAAATTCCTTACTGAAAATCCAATTAGGTGCCTAAATTTTTCAACGGAGAAAAAAAATTGCAAATCGTTGTGAAAAAATTATTTTCGGTTGCGGGGGTCAATTACAATCAGTTTTTGTCATTAGACATACCCACGAAATCCTGCCCAGTTTCGAGAAAAAAAATAGAGAAGGTGTGAAATTATTCGAGAAAATTAAAAAATTGCAAATCGTTGTGGAAAAATTATTTTCGGTTGTAGGGTTCAATTACAGTCATTTATGGTGAATAGACATACCCCCGAAATCTTGCGCATTTTCGAGAAAAAAATTCAGTAAAGGCGGCACTTTAAACGTTAATAACTTTTTAACGAAGCTTCCATCAACAAATTGGTATTCTTGATTTTCGTCTTATTTTGGCCTCTACTATCGCTCATTAAAATTTTTGCTAGAGGTGGCCGAACACCCTGTATATTCAAGATATCAGTATCTTTAGAACTGGTCACCCTATAACATGAACTAGGATAATTACGATATATGCGATACTTTTTCTTTTATTAACAATAAAGCAACCGAATTTATGAAACTATTCAATATTTGTTCGTAAAATAGCTGCCATTTTGCCATTTTTTGGTTTTTTTGAAAAGATCCTAATTCATGCTATAACCACACTCATCTATATTAAGAATATCGTTCGTAAAAATTGTTGTTTGTTGATCAACAAAAGCAGCGTGATCAATAGATATTATGCGTTGCAAAAATTCGTAAATATAGCTAAATATATAATAAACGTATCTACGAAACCTGGAATTACTTGCTCTTTAATAGCCCGCAAAAAAAAAAATCACAAATAAACATTGTTTTTTTCGTGCCTGCAAGGTAGAATGGCTCCTTAATGTATATCGTAACGATATACCTATTTTATCGTTCGATCGAAACGTCAACTGCAATTTAGTGTTAATGCACGTGGCTGAAATCGTTGCTAACGATCTGCAGAGAGATCAACAGAGGCCCATTACCGCAATTTTCCTCAGCCTCTCGCGGCCTCGAAATAATGTTGAAATTAAAAATATCTTTTACCGCGAGTGAAACCCGAGGAGACGTAAATTTTACGCGACGCAGGTAAAATAAACTTCTCCGACTTCCCTGATAAAAAAGAAAAAAAGAAGAGAGATACACGAAATATAATTACGTAATTGGTTTCGTTGGATTTTTGCCTGGTTTTAGGCCGGTGAGATCCACTAAAAGATTGCCCACCTGTAGACAAACAACTTCTATGTCTTCGTTTTCCATTAGTTTGGTACAATCTTCCAGCACGAACCCGTTGAACGTTTTTCTTTTCCAGACTCTCTCGTTACCGTTTCGCTACAACGATTTCAGGCTTCCGCATTTAGACGAGACTTTCTCGTAATAATTAAGTAAACGTTCTAAACACCGACGGCGGCGGTCTCGAAGACTTTGAAAAATGGAAATGGAAGCCGGGGAGCCGGGCGCCGATAATTTCAACGTTGCTCCAACGATACGATTAAAGCGCTTTCGATTACTTATTATCCTTAGTGACGCTGATTTAACAACATACACAATTCGATGGAAGGTTGCTCTGAATTTAGCATCCTAGTGTTTACAGACGACGATGCAAACGTTGGATAACAATAATAATCGAAATACATGTCGGTGATTGTGAAAACGATACGAGTCGTGCGTCGATCGTTTGCATTCGCTTATAAAATTTACTTGCAGTGGCCGCAAGTGTGAATTCTAGACGAAAAATAAAAGAAAGTCGAGACTACCCCAAAGTTGTAATTTTTTATTTTCTATGAATACTATCTTTGTTCTCGCCGATCTCCTTGCTCCGAAATTTAAAACTTGCCCGTTGCATTTATTATTCGAGCGGTAATAAAACGCGTACTGTTTTTCGGCAACGGTATCGATTGCGCGCGAACCTGATTAGTTTCAATTTTGAAACGGATTAACGAAGACGTCGCGAAGAGAATCGTGTTTGCACTCACATTTTTTCCAAGCTCCCAACGTGGTCCACGTGGCCTTGGTTAATGGTCGTGAAAACACTACGGGGTGACAGAGCTATACCCCACGGTGTCTTCGAACTCCGTAGAACGTATCACATGGCTTGTCTTCCTCCGGTTATTCTGCGCCAAGTCACTCGGAGCGGAAAATCGAGAGCAGTCGAGCGCACAGCCGACCGACGAGCGAGCGAGGAAAAACAACCAGTATTTTTCGCGTGCCTTTCTTTGACAGGGAAAATAACGGAATGTACCGTACGAGCCGCTGGAATTCCTATCAACGCATCTCACTTGAGAAACTAACTTTTACCACCGCACATTATTTGAACACGTTGCAATACTTCCACGCGAACGAGCCGCCCGATCGTTTCGATTAAAACACTATCCTTTTCTGTAATCTCTTCGAGGAGCGCGCGCGAGCTCCTGTGCACGCTCTTTAATCCTGACCGCTTCTGCGAGCCGCGGCAACAAACCGAATGACCTTATCGTCGTACACGTACTGACCATTCGTATCAGCCGACCCACCAAGCGCTATCGTCGCGTCGAGTTCCACAACTACCGCCATCTACCGTCGTCGTTCCCCGTTAACAGTTCCCTGCCCAACACGACGAACGTAAACTCCCTAGCATTGAATTTTCGCAATTTTCGAAAGTCACTCTCCAATTATGTTGTCGATTAACGGTCTCGTAATTAGCATTCCTAGAAGAGACGGATCTACGGTTAAAAATAAATGATTGTTTGTAACAAAATTAAAGTTTGCTGGGGTGTAGGAATGAATAGACCGATGGATGTGTTCAGAATCGTGGGACGTTTGTAAAAAATCCAACAATTGAACGATAACGTTCGGATGATTCACGAAGTCTATCGTGTTATTAATATTGCAAGCAATTTTTGTACGAGCAACGATATGGGGAATCGCAGAAAGACGTATAGGGAATGTTTTAGGAGGCAGTAGCTCCACCAACGGTAGCACCGCCACCATCATCGTTCCACCAGCAGCTCCATCATCGGTAGCGAACGAAAGAACGAGGTCTTCCGTTCCGGCATAATAGTCGTTCGTTGGCAGTCGCGTGTTATCGTTTCTTCCGATTTTCCAAGTATTTGCGGAACAAAGATTCGCGAGGAGTTCGTATATCGTAGGTTCGGTGCTGTGTTCGGTCCCTTCGCATCTCCGACAAGATGAATGAAGAATACGACGCGATTGTGCTGGGCACCGGGCTCAAGGAGTGCATACTCTCGGGTATGCTGTCGGTCAGTGGGAAAAAAGTGCTCCACGTAGACCGCAACAAGTATTACGGCGGCGAGTCTGCCTCCATTACGCCGTTGGAAGATCTGTTCGCGTAAGTCTGTTGAAATTGCGACCGACGTTCCCGACCGATACGTTCCAACGTCGAAACATCGACTATCGCACGCGTAACAAGGCATCTCCGGTACCCTGTGATCGACGAATCGTGACACGATGACTCTTCTTAAATATTGATTTTCCCTTCTCGGTTATTTTCACGCGTGGATACGTTCCCGTCGATCAACCTGCTCGCGTTCAGGCGTATCGCGGGACGAGACATTGACGTATGCCGTCGCACGCGATAATGCGTCGTTAACGTGTCGGCCGTCCGAAAACTTTTCATCCCTTTCCAAATGATTTCATCGTAAGGTTGGCTAGAATGTCCACTCGATACTGCCGGGAGGAGGGGCCCACCCCGCGAAACACACGTTCGGTCGAACGTGGCAAAATCACTTTGTGCAGGCGTTTCTTTTTTTTCTTCTTTCGCCACGGAATTGGCGCACCACATTGTTCCTCTCTTCGAGACACTTCTTTTTTTTTCTTTCACCGTACTCGCCCTTCCCCACCTTCGCCGCACTCGTTGTCCTTCCCCTGGAAACCATGAATGTTCGCTGATTTAAAACACGATCGAGGCAAGATTAAAACTTACATTACCTTACGCTTGAAAAGCTACAAAGGAAATATTAAGTAACCGAATGTTAACTGTACCGTTACTCGCGTGCCATCCTTAATCCGCTTCCTGTGGAATCGAACATATGTTTGTCGTCTTTACATAAGATCGGAGTTACAGGAACGCTTAAAATCCTTAAAACTTACAGGAAGAAATTTATCGTTCCAGGATACATGATTTTTCTTTCGAAAGTCAATTTTTCTTTTGCGTATGCAACGGGTTCGTTATTACGCGAAATTGACGTAGGTATTCGAGATGTATCGGATCATCTCCCGTTAACAACAAAAACATTACGAACGTGATAACGGTATAGTAACTTTCCTACCATTTGTTGAACGAAACCGATAACGCAGTACATGTGATTGCACTTCTGGCTCATCCGAGTGGCAGTTATCAAGTATCCGGCTGCATTCAATAAATTCTAACACGCATCAAAACCGCCCATCTGTTGTAACAGTAATAATCCTTGGGTTCGGCTACGTTCCATTCGCGTACTTTTTAATGCGCGGAACGTTAGAAAAACAAGAAACCAAAGGAAAAAGTCGTTTGGTGCTGTAATAACGGATGAGAAAAAATATTCGCGATTACCGATTCACAAAATCGCGTAACTGTTTCTTTGATGCATTCGAAATAACTATAACGATCCGTATGGAATTTAAGATGATTTCCCGATCAAATATTTTCATACGATTAGATGTTTTGTTCAGCCGCTACAAAAATCGATGAGTACCACTTCGTCGCGTTGTAAACATATAAGCACCCAGATGTACCGTCGCATGTTTGCAATACAAGAGACATCCGTTAAACTTTTTCCAAAAAGCCTTGCTTCGTCCGGAATTATGTGATAAATCAGGAGTTCCCAACTTGATCGTTAACGATACTCGAAAGGTCAGTCGAGTTATCTCGGGCTTAACAAATTGATGAGGGTCGTTTGGAGATCGCGGAGCAAATTTATTTGTATTAATATAAAATTCATCGTGAACAATAATACAATGAAATACAGGTAACCCTCCTATAACACGGTAGATAGGTTCATAGAAAATGCCGTGTTATACGAGACCCAGAACCAGTATAAAAAGGGGAGTTACGTTCCGAAAACTTATTAAAAACAAATATTTTTTTTTTTATTCTAAACAAGCATATTATTTTAATTTAACGCATCCTTAATTTAATAGATTATAATTTGTTTATACAGATTCATCCTAGAGGCCAAAATAAGACGAAAATCGAGAATATCAATTTCTTGGCTGAGGCTTCGTTAAAAAATTATTAAAAAATTTCAAATCGTTCTGAAAAAATTATTCCTAGTTAGGGGGGTCAATTACAATAATTTTTGGTGAACAGACATACCCCCGAAATCCTAACCACTTTCGAGAAAAAAATTCGCGTAGGTGTGAAATTTTTCGACAAAATTAAAAAATTTCAAATCATTCTGAAAAAATTATTTTTGGTTGCCGGGGTCAATTACAATAATTTTCCGTGAACAGACATACCCCCGAAATCCTAACCACTTTCGAGAAAAAAATTCGCGTAGGTGTGAAATTTTTCGACAAAATTAAAAAATTTCAAATCATTCTGGAAAAATTATTTTTGGTTGCGGGGGCCAATTACAATAATTTTCCGTGAACAGACATATCCCCGAAATCCTAACCACTTTCGAGAAAAAAATTCGCGTAGGTGTGAAATTTTTCGACAAAATTAAAAAATTTCAAATCATTCTGAAAAAATTATTTTTGGTTGCGGGGGCCAATTACAATAATTTTCCGTGAACAGACATACCCCCGAAATCCTAACCATTTTCGAGAAAAAAATTCCCCTAGGTATGAAATTTTTCGACAAAATTAAAAAATTTCAAATCATTCTGGAAAAATTATTTTCGGTTGCCGGGGTCAATTGCAATCATTTTTGGTGAATAGATATACCCCCGAAATCATACGTGCTTTCGAGAAAAAAAATTCGAGGTGTGAAATTTTTCGACGAAACTAAAAAATTTCTAGTCGTTCTGAAAAAATTATTTTTGGTTGCCGGGGTCAATTACAATCATTTTTGGTTAATAGACATACCCCCGAAATTCTGCGCGTTTTCGAGAAAAAAATTCAGTAAGGGCGGAAGTTAAAATGTTAATAACTTTTTAACGAAGCCTCCGTCATCAAATTGGTATTCTTGACTTTAACGTGTTATAAGATGCCGTGTTGTAGGAGGGTTCTCGCAATTTATGAATCGTGTTGTAGGAGGGCTACCTGTACTGTGCCCACGAGGATGCAGACATCCTTGAAAGTAAATAATTAAATCACCTGCTTAACACTTTACCAATTATTTGTAAAATAATATTTTTTTTTTTAAATAAATGGTTATACGAAACTATTTCTCGTTACATCATTATCCTAACAAGCATCGTTAAAAATTCAGTTCGCCTCTTATCGCACATCCTCCTCTTTTATTCCCATAATTTTTTATCTTTTTATTCCCGAGTGTCTGAATATCATACGTTAAAATACCTAAGGATCGCCCCTGCGATAAAGAAAGGATTCTACGAATTACAAACAAACCTCTTAAAACAGTAAACGCCCGGACGTTCTTATCGCATTAATATTAGTTAATTGCGTTATCTAGGAAATTCAAGGCTCCGCCGCCGGACAAAACCTACGGCCGGGGCCGCGACTGGAACGTTGATTTGATTCCCAAGTTCCTGATGGCTAATGGATTGCTCGTCAAGCTTCTAATTCATACCGGCGTTACACGGTACCTGGAGTTTAAATGCGTCGAGGGATCGTACGTGTATAAGTCTGGAAAGATATCGAAGGTGCCGATAGATCAGCAGGAAGCGTTGTCCAGCGATTTGATGGGCATTTTCGAGAAAAGACGCTTTCGCAGTTTCCTAATGTACGTGCAAAACATGCAAGAAGACCGACCCGAGACGTGGGATGGTTTTGACCCGTTCAACAGCAGCATGAGCTCGTTGTATAACAAGTTCAATCTCGACAGAAATACCCAAGATTTCACGGGGCACGCGCTAGCACTTTATAGGTAAACAATGAATCCTTTCGAGGATGTGACCATCAATGATCCGATGACGATTAAATAAAATAATGGTATGATCTCGATGTTTCAGGGATGATGATTATATAAGCCAACGTGCTATTACTACTATAAGAAGAATTAAATTGTACAGCGATAGTTTAGCACGTTATGGAAAATCCCCGTATCTCTATCCTATGTACGGATTAGGCGAACTTCCGCAAGGTTTCGCGCGACTTAGCGCCATTTACGGTGGAACGTACATGCTGGACAAACCGATCGACGAGATTGTCGTGAAGGACGGAAAAGTAAGGATTTCTATTCGGCTAGGATTCGAAATGTCGTCAAATCCATGTTTAATTGTCGAATTCTACAGGTAGTCGGTGTACGTTCCGGCGACGAGATAGCTCAATGCAAACAAGTATTTTGTGATCCTACGTATGTACCTGATCGCGTGAAGAAAGTAGGTCAGGTCATAAGGTGCATTTGTCTCTTAGACCATCCTATACCGAACACAGGGGATGCTCTCTCGACGCAAATCATTATTCCGCAAAAACAAGTAAGCTAAATACACGCACGTTTTAATTGCATTTCCATGTTTCAACGATGGCTAAACTAATCACGGACACGTTTTTAATTTCCAGGTTAACCGTAATTCTGATATCTATGTTTCTTTAATATCGCATACCCATCAAGTGGCGGCTAAGGGATGGTTCATAGCCATGGTATCTACCACGGTTGAAACGAAAAATCCCGAAGTCGAGATCAAGCCGGGTTTGGATCTGCTCGGTCCGATCAGACAGAAGTTCGTATCAGTGTCAGATTACATGGAAGCGACCGACAATGGTTTGAATAGCCAAATCTTTATATCGACGAGTTACGATGCTACAACGCATTTCGAAACCACCTGTTTAGACGTTCTTGATATATACAAGAGAGCTACCGGTGAGGAGTTCGATTTTAAAAAAGTAAAACAAGACTTAGGCGACGAAGACCAGTAACCGTAATACGATTACCATTACTGGTTATTCTCGAAACTAGTTCATCCTGAATGAAAAATGGGGGGGGGGAGGGGGGAGAGAAATGAGTGAGCAACGTAATTTAACGCGTATCCATCGACCAGGTCGGTGTCTATCAGAGTCTTGACGCAGATACGATCTGCTGATAGATTCATGCCTAATAATTCTAGATTCTCTTTCACGGAGGATTTCAAAACAAAGGCAGATATTATTTGTATTTTATTTTTCAGTTTTGTCCCAATCTCATTCTACATACTATCCTTTTCACATTGTTGTCTAAAAGTACATACGTAAATACGACATTTTCACGAAAGATTGTTATTAAACTTGTACCGTGTCTATCATCTGAATATTTTCGATACATTTTAAACGGATACGAAAAGAAAAAAAAAAAAGAGAGAAAAAAAAAGAAGAAAATTTACAACACGTTTCGAGGTATATCTATGCATATAGACAAGTCACAAGTGTGTTTTTTAGGGTAAACATGTCAGCGCCAATTATTACGACTTTGTGAATGTATTATATTTTAACTATCAACCGAATGAATAAGAATACCGTTTATCGAGATTGTGAATGTTAAAGAAACCTATAGTTTTATTGCTATTTGCAAACAGTTAAAATGTGTTACAACACAAGGTACAAGAATATAGAGATAATTTAAAAAAAATGAAGTCTATACGCATGTATCTAAATAGCATGTCGCGATCTAGTATTAGAAAGTACGTCATACTTCTGCACATATAGTTCTGATATTATTTAAAATTTCAAATATGTATATTGAGAGGAAGTGCACGAGTTAAAGCGCTCGCAAAGAAGAAATTGCCTGTGACGGAAATGATTACAGGAGGGGATCGGTGTCAAACTATTAGGGAAAAAGAAGGTTCAAAAAGCGGCCAAGCATTTAATTATAAATTAAATAGATATATGTATATTCTTTATCATTCTCAAATATATAAGAATGAGAGTATACAAATGATGAAATCATTGAAACGTTATTTTATGTGAGCTTGAGAACCAGAATATTTCCTTGCCCAATATTTATGACACAATCATTATCAATTAAGGGGGGGAGGGGAGGGGGGGGGCGTATCAACAAATCGAAAAGACAACTATGCACGGATATGCATTGTTTCGGAAACTGCTACACGTCTGCATTTATTTATGCGTGAATGTTTTGTTAACGAATGATTGGCTAAATCTCAGAATTTTTAGTTTGCTTGTATTCTTGCTTAAAAATCGTAAGCACACCCGCGAATTTGTATCACATGCAAAATTCATTGAAATGGCGGACACATATTCCGCCGTTACTTTATCTAAAGTGTTATTCACGTAACTGTAATGTGACAGTCGTAAAAAAAATAAACAAACGATATTGTATTAATTTCATTACTTTGTATTCCTATCTACTCTAACTATATACCAATAGAATAGCCGTACATCGAATAAAAAATAAATAGTATCTTTACGTATCAGTCAGTTTCAAGACATATACATTATTATCCCGGCATCCAACGACCGCGATATCATTGTTAACGACAGGCGATGAAAAAACTTCATTAGGAAGCTTTCCAACCTTTGTCAGCGTATTTGTTGTAAAGTTATAAATGTATAGGGTACCATCTGTACACGTTATAAACAAAATATTATCTTGGCACCAGGGTGTGGCAAAAATTGCCGAATGGAGATCTAATACGAATTTTAATGTAGGCTCGGTCCTAAAATTTGAATCTAAAGATTGCAGATAATACACTTTCTTATTCTGACTGGAAAGAATAATATTTTCACGCCCCGTAAGTTCGTCGAACTGTTTCACAATATACGAGAACACGTTGCCATTAATTTTGTACTTCCACATCTGCAAAGACAAGTAATAAATTAAGATCAAAAGAATATTTCGTGTAAGAATATTTGCTAGATTCGATGATTGTTACCTCGACGTTAACTTCGATATCGAAACATGACAATGTTCCTGTTACAGAACAAAACAATACCAGCCCGGTACTTAACGTTACGGGTGCAACAAAAATCGGATCCGACAGTTTATGTTTCCAAAGAACTTTTCCTGACAACTGTTCCAACGCTAAACAAGACCCGTCTAAAGTTCCAAACAGGACGGTATTCGATAGGGAGTGTAAAGAACCGGAAGCACTGACACTTCCCGTACTACTTTTAACTTTCCAAATTTCAGATCCGTCCTAAATTAAAGTTTTTTTTATCAGTCAGGCTTCTACAACGCATTATAAAATGAATATTTGCATATACCTTTGCAGAGAGGCAATATATGTAACAGTTATAGGAACCAACGAATATTGTTTTTCGTTCTTTGCAAAGAATCGCAGAACATTTTACAACACCACCCGTCTGATATTTCCAAATAACTATTCCCGTTTTTAAACAAAGGCAATACACATTGCCATCGTAACACCCTGCGAAATAGACAATTGAGTAATCTAAATAAATCTTTCGTGCGTTAAAAAACATACCCACTACACCCCGAAAATCGTCTAGAATTAACACCGAAGCTTCAATTCTGTCTGGTAGCTTTACTGTGAATGCAGAAATGCAATTTTCATTTCCTAATTGGAATGTGGAAATAAGACCAGAATGCGAACCAACTGTTGCATACGTTTTTCCACTGAATAAAACAGTCAGTTAATTAAATCGCGAAATATAACAAATAGAATCTGTTTAAATTACACTTACTCTGAATAATGAAACAGAGTTGGCGATGCATCTACGCATTTTCGTAAATTATACGTTTTTAATACATCGATCTTTGAAATTGTATTATATTGTAACGTAGGCTTTTCTTTTACAATTACTTCACTACTGTATACTTGTCCCTTGCATTTATGCCACTGATACGTACATATTTCAATTCCCATATTAATGGGATTAGAATCTTGTGTTTCTGCATTATTATATTTTGGTAATATTATGTCCTCTGTAGCAACATTGATTAAAGATACCGTTTGATTGTCGTCGGAATGATACTCTGAACGGTTGCTTGTTTTGTCTTTAAGACTATCGAGTATTATACTTTTTATGTAATCGAGACAATCATTAGCAGTAGCATCATTTAAAAGCATACCAATTAATTCAGGGAATTCAATATTGACTTCGTTGGACAGAGTACTCGACATTTGAAGCGCTATTATCGACGTGCCGCCCGATTGCAAAAATCCATTAATTTCGCATTTTAGACTATTTTTCCAGAGAGACTGAAATATACCTTCACATTTCTGTAATTCAATATTGCCTATGGTTCTATTTACTGTCTGTTCTTGTATATGTTTTCTCAAAAATTCTGTAGATATTTTTCCACTAGACGTATACTCAAAATGTTCCAAAATATGAATATTATCTGGTCTATACAAAGGTTGTAATCTTTGCAAGTGTTTCATCATATCGATATTAATGCTGGGATACTGTTCTACTTTTTTCTTAGTAGCTAAACACAAATGTAATTTGTGACAACTCTCGTCCCATAATATATAACAATTTTTAACAAAATTTACTTGTAAAACACATTCCTCGAGTTTTGTTAAATCCACCTTATTTCCAAATCTTTTTATAATACTATTATTTCTTCCTTTATAAAATATCCTACTTCTTTCATCGATATAAACTATATCACCGGTATCGCGATATACTGGTACCTTTAAATCTTCAATATTTTCATGATCTATTGCGCAAATTCTATTATTACTCCCTATATAAAGGCAGCCTGTACCATTTGTCACTATTTCTCCCTTTTCGTTCCTAACTTGAAATATGGTTTGCGATAACAGTTGTCCCAAGTAATGGGTGTTAAACTGTGGATTTGTTGTTACAATTTCGTTAATACTAGCCCAGCATGACACCTCGGTAATACCATAAATATTATAGATCTTTGTATTATTACGTGGATGTTTGGCTTCAAGAAGTAATTCTACTTTAGGAAAGGGTTCTCCGCCCAAAAGAAGAACTCTGAGTGAAGTGTCATTATTTAGAATAGTGACTTTTAAATGTTCGACCGTCCAACAATACAAAAAACTTGACGGAGTCATCTGTAATACAGTAATTTTACTAGAATAAGCTACTTCTAAAAATCTAGTTGTATTATTTCTCAATGGCTTTGAAGCCATAAATAAGGACCCTGCGCTTGAGAGAGCAAGAAAAATTTCAACAATACTAGGATCAAATGTAAAGCTTGTTAACTGAGCAATTTTATCAGATTTCTTTATAGCCAAAATTGTGCGTAAATCGAGGATATTAGGTACTATAGAAGCATGAGTCGCTCTAACAATTTTTACTGATCCAGTTGAGCCAGAGGTAGTGATAGCGTAAGCATAATAATTTGACTCTATGCTTTGTGTAAATCGTTTTTCAACATATTTCAGCTTCATCAAATAAATACATTCGCTATGTATCGTGAATTGTTTTACAATATCTCCTTCGACTATTATTTGTTTGGAAAACAAATAACGTATGTGCAAAGAATTTTTCAAATTTGTATATTCTGTTTCGTCTAACGGTATATTCACAAAGCTGTGTTTACTAACTAAAATCCTATAAAAAAATAAAATATTCAGTATTATCACCATATACCATATCTTTTGTATTGTACTAACATCTTCATCGTCAAATTGCATTTAAATTCTTACCCAAGCATCAAAGAAACAACACAATATCGAGGAACATCAAAATTTATACCAATAAATTCAAAACCTTCTATGCATTTTAAAAGATCGGAAAGCATAGCTTTTGCGGCAAATAGTTCTCTGTAATTTATATACATAATTCTTTCCAGATCGTGATATTCTATTACTACATTATCAAGTTCGTCCCATTTACAAATGTCATGCAATTTTGTCTCGTTTGTCAAACTATCGCAATAAGGTGTTGAATCTTCTTTTGTATCGTCTGAAATGATCGTCCATAATTAAATGAGCATCAGCCAATATCGTAGAATATAAATTCTAGTATCTATTGAACATAATATGCTCACTTTCATTATGGATCCTGGATAAGGAAATGCCAACTTGTGACTTATCCAGTTCGGTCGACATGGTGCACACACTTGCACGGAACAGTTTCAAAAACTATTCATTCATATTGTATACCTTACCCATTTTATAAATCGTATACAGATAGCACATGTAGGGTAAAAGACCTAATTACTATCATTACTGCTATACTTAAATTGTATTCGATCGAATTATTATTAGGTTATGTCTTCTTAACCAAGAATCAAATTATATTAACCAGATTTGAATTTATTTCAAGTAAAATAGTTTAGGGTAATAGTAAACGCGTTTTTTACCCAATATACTCCTAATTCATCCATCGAGAAAGAAAACTTTGTACCACTGTGGCTAGATTTGGCATAATCGAGTGGTGGAGGAAGCCGACATATCCTACCGCACGAGGCACATGTTATGTTAGGTCAGCACTTCGCACAACTTCCGCTATAATACCACGAATATGGTATAATAATAAATTTAATTAGTTATTTATACTCAATCGTACTAATAACATACATATGTATACATATGCTCATTCATAGGAATAATACAAACAATTTCTTTCTTTTCAATAGTTAAAGCATGATCAGGGTGTCTTAAAACATGTATTTCCGTGTACATCTTTCTTTCATTATGGAATTTGCTTATGTATAATGTGCCTATATGCTTTCCCCAAGCCTCCGTTATATGCTAAAGAAGTTCGTCGTTAGTAATGTCGCCGTCGATACACTAAATTATGCCAAATCTGGCTACACTGCTTTGTACACAAAACCACCTGGGATCAAGACAACGAATGTTGTCCCTTATGCCTCGAACAGATGCAGTCAATACAAGTTACTAATTATGGTTCTTTAATGAACAAATCAATAAGAGAAAATACATAAAGATATCGAATAATGTAATATAAATAAAAATATATTTATCGACTTCAAAAATTGACAACTATTATGAACTAACCTATGATAAATGTTACCAGACAGCAAATCGGTACCTATGATACACTTCTCGTTGGACACATAGAGGACTAATGAGATTTTTATCGTACATGTGGTTTTTTTTTCTTGCTGGATAAAGTATAGTACATCTGTATACGTATAGGGTGGTATAGGCATTCAGTTGTATAGAGCATAAGTTTTTTTTTTTTTAAATTTCATACGCTATTAAATACCCGAATGTAACATTTTTTATTTGAAATTAGTCCCTCTACCTCCTCCTCCTCTAAATTTTCTGTCGAGCGGCCACCGAGGCCTTTCATCGGTACAACCAAATTTTTAATTTTCTTTTAATTTTTTTACTCAATTTAAAATGTCGCAAACTTACATTTACAACTCCTTAGAATCATTAATAGCAGCTTTACGAAATGTGTACTCGAATAAAGTTATCAAAAGTAGAAACTGAACATATATTCTATACAACAAATTTGCAGATCTTATATATCACTAAGCAAAGGTAATAATATTATGGTAATATGAATTGTTATGTAATTCCTACTATACATGATAAATAGTATTAATCAATTACACGAAAAAATTAGAGATAAACAAAACCACTGGCACATAAACGTGGTCTTTAATATTTTGTTTAAAGCGCTAATATATTTATGTTAGATAGTAACTATTTGGTGCATTGAGTGAAAAATATTACGTAACTATTATTTAAGAATTTCTTTAAAGTAATATAAATGATGCACTGCTCGATTTAAAAACATGGAAACTGAAATTTTAATACGTTAGAATATTATATGCTCATAGACGTTAATCTACTTTTCTTCACACCATTCATTTTCTTTGCGAACTTGTTCCTCCTCCGAAGCTGTAAAATCATTTTTAATATTAAATGTTTTTCGTATTTCGTCTGGTGTTTTGCCTTTTATCATATTGGCAACAGTTTTGCATGTTACGTCTAGAAGTCCCTTAATGTCAAGATAATTAGCTGCCAAAATTAATTCAAAGAGAGTCCCTTGATCGACCTATAATTACATTATATAAATATTTACAAGCACGAACATTCCTTTTTTACATTTCTTAAAATGTAGCGCATAAAATAAAAGTTGAACATTTACTTTCAAAAAGTCTGCATCCCACGAATTTATATCGTCTGTACGTTTCTCTTTGTTTTCATCGTCTTCCGATGGTGCTGGTTCATCCTTGTGATAAGTAGCCCATTGTATTACCTTCCTAAGAATGGCAGAATTAACATTTGGAAGAGGAACAATTTCCTCTTCGTCTTCGTCCATACCAAGATCTTCCAACATAGTTTTTATGGTAACTGAACATTTTGCGATATCAACATCCACTTCAAAAACTTCACCATCAGAACTTTGTAGCTTGATGTTAGGCATCTAAAATAGGTTTCAAAACATTCTTCATACTACACAGCTACGAACTATAACGCGTTGAAGCAATCTGTTTGCATGGATGAAGTGCTTTAATAATTTGTTATGAATATCTTTGTATTGATCGACCATACACGTTCACAGATTCATCTACTTCTCGAGCAATGGCTTAAAAAATTGTTTTCTTTCGTTCGATGTTAAGTTGTGATCGAACTGTTCGTTAAAATTCTTTCCTTTACGAAAACAAGGAGGCACTCCATCGATGCAACAAAACATCGATCACGAACGACATTTTCTTGTGAAATGCACACGAAGTATCGATCTCGGTTCGAAATATCGGATGCTACGTTCTGTATAAACTAAGAAAACGTAAGTGTATTCACCGTGAATTGCGGGTTGCAATCAGCGCAATTAACTGTCGAACAATTTGGTTGAACGGTGATCAGCAAAATGTAGTTGTTCTTCCGCTCTCTGTCTTTCCCTACAAACTTCTGCTGTTCTTGTATTTTATTCTCTCACTCTATTCATTTTTGTTCTACGTCCTTGTCGAGCGACTTGAATAAGAAGTTAATCAAAAGCAATGGAAGATGTCGCCATTGTACACTTTGTAACACGGATTCGTGCCACGTAACGGTAAAATGACCAAGTTTTGCTAAATTTTTCTCGTCACAAAATAAATAAAATGCTAAATTGTGTTGCTTAAACTTTATATGGTACTTCGAAACCATGAATTCGCGAAAGAACAAAAATGGCGGGACTACTCCAAATGGTTATAAATTCAATGGAAAATGTACAAATTACTATTTACGTATAATAATTAAAATTGTACAAGAAAAGAATCAACAGGGGAAGATATATAAAGATATTAAATAAAACAAATTAATATGCGATTAATAACGAAGTAATATGCTTCTGGTGACACAGTGGACCAATGGGGTTTCTATAGCTTGAAATCCCAAACTCATATTGGTTTGTTTACAAAGTTTTTTTTCTCGCTGGACAGAGTATAATCCAATCGATAGATTATTATTTATTAAATACCTACGAATCAGTGGATTTTAATACGTTTGCATTTGACCATAGAGTAATTGAATACTACACCAAGTAAGTACTCCGTGGCAGGTACGGATTAAAAGGGAGGCTAGGGGCCTAATTTTTTCAAACAATAAAAATAAATGTTTACATATATTTATCAAAAATATTATTTTAGGGGAAAAAGCTGGATGAGCAAATCTCTATTAAGCAATTAACTATTATCTATTCGGTTCTGAGTTATCGAAACTAATGGCGAATATTTCAAAGATTAAAATGTTGTGTAATATATATGACTATACGAAGCGTGCTGTTTTAGAAAGAAAACCTTTCAATGCCAAAAGGTTCCCTGTCCTTGCCCTAACTGGTCAGGGCTCGAGACAATTTAGATCGAAATAACGTCAGTGACCCTCCAAAAGGTTCAATTACATTGTCCATTGTATTTGCTAAGTTATTGTTTTTGGTGATCGTTTTCGTGTTCCTATCGCTATCGTGCCCCTTGCTAAATTGTCCCAAGATTGGACCATAATATGGAAATAAGAATCACTTTACATTTAGAGGTGTTGATGCACGAACTCTCTTTCAGACCGATCTTTAGCGGACTACACGAACTTACGAACTAAACAACGAGAGCGTCATCTATCACGATCCTCGTTCTCTTCGTGTCCACGGACAACAGAAACTTTTATTTCAACGTGGCGCCTACGAGTACATAATCGGATACGTAAATTAGAAGATGACGAGGTGTCGCGTGAGAATCAATGGAAAAAAAATTACACCGTAATTTTCCGCGAGTATCCGGTTAATTTTCAGGGTGCTCGATGACAATAAAGTAGAAAAAAGCAGGCTGAACGTGACGCCGTCGATATCGAACCGTAAAATTATGCTCTACGGTTACTCGAACGATTTCTTTTTCCCGAGATTCTGTGAAAGTCAGGGGTGCTCGTCTAGGCGCCAGCAACCTACGCACGAGCTTCGTCATCCCTTCCCCGCTTGACCCTTTTGGTCTCGACTATATTTGGAAGATAAAAAAAAAACTTGATTTCATTTTGTTCCTCCCTTTGTCCATCCCCTTGCGCGGCTATTCCCCCCCCGAAAAATTCAAGCAAAATATGGCCGTGTACTCAGGGAAAGTACAACTCCCGGTAGCGGAGTAACGGGTACAGTTACGACGATTCGACTGCCCGTATCAAAAAGTTCATTCGCTCGGCAGAGTAGTTTCACCCGGCAATACGTCGAAACGTGCGTTAATGCAAGCTATGCGTCGCCCGAAGCAGGACGAACTGGCGTACACTGTTACGTTTCAGCGTACAATCAGCACACTTCCACTTTTCACCGAGAGCTTGCGACCATTTGAACCTTACGGTAAAAAAGAAAATATTCTTTCGGGGGGAAAGAAGAAACGAAAAAGCATTTTGAGCTATTCACCATCGAAAAAGACAATCTCATCCTCCTCACTTTTACATCCATAGCTTGTATCAATCATCGGACCATTTGTCACGTCTTCGATTCGATCTTGACCACCCACGGCAATCTCATCCTCGTCGTTCATCTGCAACATTTTACACAGTTTTATCGATTTGTCACAAGCATCGGAACGAAAGCAGAAATATGGACGATAGGCTGTAAAAAAAAGTGTCAAGGGGTGCACGAGCGGAAGACGCCAGGACCTTTCGAAGTCTGTAATCGAAGGATCAATTTTCGGCCTTTCTTCGCGTCGAATTACAAATTGTATTTACCGAACAACGAACAATGCCACGCTTCTCTCCGTCGGACTAAAATTTCTGCGTTCTGCGATTCGACATCGTTCCTCTATTAACTCGCGATTGCGTAAACGCAGTTTCGTTCGGCGAGGGAATATCGAAACACAGAAATTAATTAACGAAGCTTCAAAAGTTCCAGAGTTTTAAATTTAACTCGCGGGGTCGGGGGAGAGGGTGGAGGAGGATGGAGGCGGTAAAAGAGAGATTATGAATCTTACGTAACTATTAACAGCGTTCGCGAATGCAATAAATGCTTTCTATAAAAGATTATTACAGCGAAGAAATATCCCCAGGCGTTTGTACTCTTTGGGAACCAATCGCTCGTAGCAGTTACAATTGAGCCCCGACTCCCGAGCAGGAAGACTTATTAAAATTTGCTTTTAACGGAGGTTCATTTGTGTCTCGGGTGAAAAGAATCGATTTCCCTTTGCTGCGTCCTCTTAAAATCGACGATTTCGAAAGACGATCCGATCGAATACATCCCGTATTTTTCTTTAATGGAAATCCTAAATATTATATTGCCCATTTCTCGTTCGTTCTTTTAGTTTCGTCTGCTATTCCCTCGTGACGGATCCCTGTAGACGGAGAAGTCTGAGAGAAGAGACGCTGCGTAAAATTTCCACGATAGCGTGACGTTTTAAAGTTAACAAGTCCATGCAACGATCGTTAAAAATCTGGATTCGTTTGGCCGTCGTTCAAACGAATTTATTATAGCGCATCCTTTGCTCTATGTGACGTATATACTATATAGTGTTTGGTCATCACTGGGAAACTTTTTAATGGGAGATTCTAGAGGCTAAAATAAGACGAAAATCAAGAATACTAATTTGTTGCTCGAGGCATCGAAACATTTCCGGCCATACAGTATATTTTCGGTAAAGAATTTTTTTTTCGAAAGTGCGTAGAATTTCGAGGGTATATCTATTAACCAAAAATGATTGTAATTTACCCCTGCAAACAAAAATAATTTTTCCCCGAATGTTTTGAAATTTTAATAACTTTTTAACGAAGCCTCAATCAACAAATTGACATTATTGATTTTGGTCTGTAGAATCTCCTAGACAAAGTTTTGTCACTCACGTATCGTCTATGTTGTGGAGTACATATCCATGTGGGTAGCAATGCTCGATAACGGAGAACACGCAAAACACCTGAAACATAAAGATTAACTGTTACACGTCTTCTAATGTGCGATGTTATTGCACGGTCAACGGACGTTGAGCTTTCGCTTAAGTAAGATTTACAACAGTAAAGATAAATGGCCAAGAAAAGGGTACAGATTTCCAATTCGAGGAGGGTAAGAATAAGGAAAACGATCGTAAAATAATGGAAAGATATAAAATATCGGAGAATGCAGTTCACAAAATTTGCAACCTAATTAATGTATCCATTTGTTATTTCCTGTAAAACTTGTGGAGTACGGAAAATGTACATTCGCGTTAACATCCCACGGTCTGAAGATAGTAAATAAATGAGCAAAAAGGGCAAGGTTCGGAGACGGAGGGTAGTGACACCGTGAAAGAGACTCGCGTTTTCTCTCGCGATGCTCGTCGATATACTCAGTGAATGCTACGTAACGGTTGCGACGATAAATGCCGAATTACGCAGATCCTTCGACGCGAAGGCGCCGCGACGTCTGTCGTCCGCGTCTCTTCGAAACTGTGCTCGCCCTCTCGTCGATGGCTAACATGGTTTTGATTTTTTCCCCCCCTCCGTGACTTGTCGGCACTTTTTCTCGCCGAATTAATTGCGAATTAATTACCGTCCGTCTCGACAGTCCTTGCACTTTTTTACGTTTTCTTGTTTTGCACGCACGATAGAAGGAGCGGAGTAAGAATGCTCGATACAATTTCATTGACCTGTAACGAAACAGAAAGATCTACGTACAGTGGACAAAACTCTTTGAATTTCCAGCATGGAAATCATCCCTTATTAGTTGTTCGCCATTGAGAAGGAAGATAAACGACCGCCAAGGAAAATACTTGGGTTCGAAATTGACTGGTAGAATCGGTACGCTTATTCTTGCCATGGAACCACATGATATATGCAGGAAATATATAGTTAATCTATTCAATAGTTGTCCGAGAAGTAAATCCAATCTTAAATAGAGTAACGAAGCACCGCGATGCACACATCTATAGAAGGATATTCTTGAATGACGCCACGAATGTCGTATGTTACTTTCGTTCGTCCTGTTACAATGCAAGCTTTCCCTGACCGCTCGCCATGCGTGTAAATTAAAAGGAAAAAAAAAAAATAGAGACGAAAAGCGAACGGTGGCTTTTTCGCATTAAACAGATACCTGCCTGCCAAGTCTTGCCTGTCGTTTTTAATGAGACCTACGCGGGCGTTGTGGGTTAATTATTCTTGAAAAAAATCTCGCTCCTGTAATTCTTACGTTCGTTAACCATCGTCGCCGGGAATTCCTCGAGTGCATCTTATACCCAGCTGATATCAGGTCTAGATGTTTCGTTATCGAGCGTCCCGTCGCGAAATTGATGCGTCGGGTCCACGAACGAATCGACGGTCTCGTTCGTGCGCGAAAACTTTTTAATCGTATGAGATTGTCGGACGCGTGGTCCCATCGGTCGAACGTCGATCTATAAAGTTAGACATTAACTGATCAAGTTGATTGATTCGACACTCGAACCACGAATAACGGCCGAGAAGATCTTAAGAACGAGAGATTGAAAGAGAGGAAAGTTCTTTCGCTGAAACGAATCTGTAAAGATTTCGATACACCGAAACACAATACGATGTGCGTGTGTGCGGACTAAAAATCAATCGCAATCGCATCCAAAAGATTGCTAGGAGTAACCTTTCCTATCTTCCGCCTCCTTCGATATCGTAAACAGCGGTATCGTATATTATCTTTCGTACCATTTCAACTCCCCGGTACCGTGGCATTATTAATACGCGTATTACACATAATTTATAGACGAACAATAGAAACCGAAGTTTTAAAAGAAAGGACCGAGTAATTTGTCAATGTTTTGCGTAATGGACGTCAACCTCGTGGCCGGGGTTCGCGAGTTGCATCATTTAAATGGCAACAATGAACATTTATCCGTGGTGGCACGCATTGTGTCGAGAAAACTATCTCTTGTTGCGTTAGCGTGAAACTTTCCTGCTCGATCACTTGCACGAATTTACACGGCTCTGATGATTTCAAATATTATTGGCGTGACTCTCGGCGGTAGAAGTTTGACGGCGCGGGCTGCGTTTAATTACTTTTCTAAAACACCGAATACGCGACATTTGTGCGAAAATAATTCACGCGTCGGTTTCGTGTCAAATGCAAAGAACACGTATTTAATTTAAAACATTTTCTACGCCGTACAGACGATCTATATGCATCGCTGGCGAGTCATCGTTCTGTCTTATATCAGACTCTATCGTACGAGATCTTCGATGACCCATTTCCAGCGGGGCACCATTCACGGAGCCTTCATTCATGAATCTACGTAAGGAGTTGGCCGGAAAGCTGTTTTTCGTAGCGCAGACGACCGTCGGTTCCATCGACGGGGGTTTTTCTGTGATATCATCCCTCTGGGTGGAGACTTGGTCCGATGACGTAATGAGACAGAGGGTGTAGAATACATACGGGGCGGTGGTAACAACGTGGAGGAGGAACACGTCGGTGTTGCCGGTGCCAATGGTGGTGGATACAAGCGGGGGCCCCTTGGTGGTACGGAAGAAGTTTGTGGAAGAAGGGGTGAGTGGTTGCAGTATAAATGTGGCCCGCGCAAGCTCCACCAATCACTCGCCCTCTGACCTCCAAACTCCAAGCTCTCGCGGTACCAAACACCCCCTCCTTGTCTGTGCGATTTGGAGAGAAACCAGGAACGTTCCAATATCCGAAACTCGTGCCTCGTGATTGCCGCCTCGTGGTTGGAACCCGAGCATCCTCGTCGTCCTCGTGAAACCGGCTACCAACCACCGACACTTTCGCCCTCGAGACGACAGGCTTCAAGAACTCTCCGTCGAATCCACTGTCGGACAACCTTCTTTGCTCGACCTTCGATATCCGCTCTTCGTAGACATGACAACGGTGAGTACGCATCATGGTTTAAACTTTACTCTTCGCCCGTTTCTCGTGGATATCTTTCTCACCCTTCCGAACGTCTTACTCGAGCCGCGCGAACATGACAATCGTAATTCAAATATACATTTTACTGGCAGTGCGTTTCGATTTTACGTTAATTATTTCAATTCGTGCTCGCGTACAGAGATCTTTGTGAGACTTTTGCGCAGTTAAATTCGATCTTCTTATACCGTCAGTGCTGTTAAACAGCAGTGTAATATCCCCGTGCTTCTATCTCCGTACAGTCTGGTGGTGCATAGGTCAACATCTGGAAAACATAATATTCTCTTATAGTTCATGTAAATAAGTTTTGTGAGCACTTACATACGAAGGGTTAAGGGCACCGGTCGACGCGAACGAATTCGGTGCTGCACACCGGCAACGACACGCCTAATTTGGTTTAAAGTCGCGTTTAGGGACAACAGAGGTGTGACGTGACAACGGGAAGTACGGCTAATTCAAACATTTCGTCCGTCTTTTCTTACCCGTTCAAGCATACGCTGTCTTTCGAACGTACACAATATTCCAAGTACTCGATCGCCAAAGTCTCTAAACGAAAGACACTGACTATAATAAAGCAGACAATAGAAGGATATTATGCGCGCGTGGCAAGTCATATTCGATAGCGGAGATATTTATCATCGGGTTTACGTCGTGGAAAGGCAATCATTCTCGTCATTGTCGGGGAAGCGATCGTTCTCACGCGACGATCGTAAACTTCGGAGGATCTAGCTCTATTTATTCGTTAACGGAAAATTTTCAAGCGCTTATTTCCATTTCGCTAGACAGCTTCCGATGCGCTCGTTAATTTCAAGGGAACATTATGGAAAGGTATACGGGTTATATGTTGATCGCGAATAAAATACACTCGAGAGAAGTTGTTTAAACCGCTATTCGAGGACCGGAGCCAGCGATTCTTAAACTTATTTCATTCGCGACCCCGTTTCATAAGACCAGATTATTAAGAAAGCTGTGACTCGGTAATAATTTACTATTTTTATATGGAAACTACATACCCTGGAATCCCTGTCTCTGGTCTAGAGTATAGAAAGTAAAAAAAAAATCGTCGATGAATTGCGTGAATTCGGTGCAGTATCGGAGGAAACCGCGAACGACGAAACGGAAAGAAGACTTCGTTCCGCGTTATCGATGTTCATGACTAGCGATTGTACTCGAGAATCGTCTTGAGAATTTTCCGGACTTTTTAACAAATTTTCATGCACGCTTCTTGGGGGGGGAAAAAATTCGAATATTTCGGAATCCTCGATTCTAAAGTGGAACTCGGATTGCAATGAATATTCAGATAACGAAACAGTAATTGGGCCGTTTACCCTGGTTCCGAACCAACGCGATCACGACTCGTGACCATAATAAAACGAATACTTTGCGGATTATCGCTCAAAACGGAAATCTCGACAGTTTTCTCTAAAACCCTTGGGTAATCCTAGATTATATCTGTCACTAATAAAGGAAACACAAGGAAAAATGGGCGCTCCATAAATAATATAGTGAATCTCGCATCGTGGCTGGTAAAGGATACAATCTGCCGTGCGTATATCTCGTGTGTGACACGGAAGTACATTTATCCGCGTACGAGAGAATTTATTTTACATTACTGTCGGGACGATAACGACTGTCCTGTGACAACGATTGGCCATGTACTCTCATAAATTTGACATCGCAGAAAGTTATTGCTTGGTCTAAAAATAATGATCGTCTTGTAGTACTTGCGTCGTACAACGATCGAAGAGGAATGGAACAACTTCCGCGAAACGGATCGCGAATCGTCCCGAGGATTCTGATCCAGCTAATCACAAGAGATACGCATAAAGTTTCTTACTCGAACGTTGTACGAAATATTCACGGATATCGTTAAACCGTAGAGCATTGTGGCACCAGAGAATATCGCATGCTAGTTATTACGCGTTACAAATTCAACAGTGCCATTTGCGGTCGGCCATCGTGACTTTTTACGATCGCAATTACCGACCGTCTATTCGATTTTCTAGCTTCTACGGTTAATTATAAGCAATCAAGTATCGCGTAGCTCTGATCGTCGCAAAACTTGTAATTCATTTGCGGAGCAACTTTCGTTCACGTTTCATTCGTACGTCAGAGCGGATCTGAACCGATGGTTTTGACCCGAACAGCAGGCCATAACAGCAAACGTTGCCAATAAACCAGCTGCATGGCGAACATGTTCGGGTTTGTCTAAAATACGCGCCGTGATCGTTCCAAACGTTCGAAGGAAAACTTTCACCTTTTTCCTCGGAACGTTCAAGAAAATGGCACCACGTGCTATTTTTCACGCGACCCCTCGAAAGTTATGGGGAAATCGACGCGTTCGCTTCGTCTTTCGTTCATTTTTATAGAGTCTTGATATTCCTCGGTTTAATCGCGCCTTGTATCAAACGTTAAAATAAAAATTTCGGTTTTTTAGAAATTCACGGACAGATTTTTTCAATCGAAATTCAGACGAGCGAATAAAATTGCGATTCGTTATTCGTAAATAAAATTTGCCCAACTCTGACGATAGGTTGCCAAAATGTTTGCGATTTATCGATCGAGTGGTTTCGTCGCCTCCGGGAAATTATATTTCCCAATCTTCGGGCGTCCAAAGATTGCCGCGAGAGATGGAAATCGACGCGTTCGCTTCGTCTTTCGTTCATTTTTATAGAGTCTTGATATTCCTCTGTTTAATCGCGCCTTGTATCAACCGTTAAAATAAAAATTTCGGTTTTTTAGAAATTCACGGACAGATTTTTTCAATCGAAATTCAGACGAGCGAATAAAATTGCGATTCGTAAATAAAATTTGCCCAACTCTGACGATAGGATGCCAAAATGTTTGCGATTTATCGATCGAGTGGCTTCGTCGCCTCCGGGAAATTATATTTCCCAATCTTCGGGCGTCCAAAGATTGCCGCGAGAGATGGAAATCGACGCGATAACGGGGCAAAGTAGCAACGGATCGTGCTACACCGATCGATCGCAACGCGTTCTTTTGGCAAATCTTTTCTTTCTTCTATTATTTATACAGTGAAACAAAACGCGTTATAAAATTTCAATAGACGATCACGAGTCGTTCGACGAACCAAAGAAACTTTAGCGACACGATGTCCAGGTTCCGCGACCGGAAGCGCTTTTCACAAGATTCGAAAAGAACGGGTACGACGACACGGAACGAGACCGCGAATGACAGAATTCGAGTGAAAAAAAAAGCGCACATAACGCTGGAAACTAAACGCAGAATGGAGAAAAAGGGAGAAAACGACGAAGAGCTTTTTCTATGCCACCAGACCGAGAGACGCCGAAACGTCCCACATCTCAGACAGGAGTTAAATCGCACGTTACTAGATTTTCTTCTCTCCCGTTTACGCTCGCGTTCTCCACCCTGCCTCCGGATCCTCTTTAGATGACTATTTACTTTTCTATCATATTTCTATTTGATTTCATCAACGAGGAAATTCGTCGTGATAAGTGATTCAAGATCGAAAGTGATGTACGATAAAAGGATTTTGTCAGAACTTGAACGATCAGCGCGATCTTTTTGCTCCGCTGTCCTAACAAACAGGAACGTCCGATGGATCTAAAAAGAAAATGTTTGGATAATACAATGCTCGGTTTCCTATATTTCAGGAAAAATTACGTACGATCGGTCAGTAAAATTTACCTAATAAATTTGTGATAGAATAGGAATCTGTGATCTATGGCTTTTTAGTTAAATCTTCCATAGCTTAAACGAATACCCATTTTTCAAGAATTCTTAATTACGAAACCAGTGTATGCCAGGGCTCGAAAAATAGAACATATTTCTAAAAAAAACTGACGGGTTCGTACTCTCTGTAAACGAACATCGTTGTATTTACGATAGAATGTCGAGCACGTTGGTAGTTATTTCGAAAACATCGCCGAATTGTACCGCTATGCAAATAACAGGCTCGATATTTCAAACGCCGCTAGTTAAATTCCTTCGCAGTCCATCGTGTATGGATTAATAGCGACGCCCACGAGTGTCCAGCGCGAGAAAAATATTCAATTTTGACAGATCTTGGCACGCAACAGGATTTAATAACGCGTCTGCGTGTAAAGTGGCATCGTTTCGAATTTCTACTATTATCGGGAAATGTTTCTATAAGAATAGAGACAGTCTATAAGGACTGAGAAATTCGATTTCGAATTACGTGCAAGAGTCGTGTAAAAATCCAGGAATCGATGTACAACCTGGGATCGAAGTGAATGGAACAGGGTTCGGTCTTTGAGGAAAATTTTACGTATGAGAATTTCCATACACCGTGTTTTACTGGAGGGGTGAATATCTCGGAGGGATGTTTTATATTTTACATTGAAGAGTCTCGTTTCGGAACCGATAAGCAAGTTTTTCTGGCCCGAAGCGTTCCTCGTGGGGCAATAAGATCAACGCACATCAGGGAAGAGGAACCCTTTTGGATAAGACACCGTGTCTCCAACACTAACCAACGAATCGCGCGAAACTTACGCATTATTCTAATAACGTTCCATTAATCGGTATCGTGCGGGGTCCCTCGTACAAACACCAAACAGGATGTGCCACGGAAAGACAGTAATTGATGCCGCGAAAGGGGAACAGGGCCAAACACCTCGCCATGGTCAAACGTGACCCTTTGATAATTAATTATTTAATTATTAATTTCCTACTTTCTTAGTTTCTGAGTTTCCTATTTTCTTATTTTCTTAGTTTCATAGTTTCTTACTTTCTTAGTTTCTTACGTTGTTGGTTTCTTAGTTTGTAGGTTTGATAGTTTGTTAGTTTGTTAGTTTGTTAGTTTCCTAGTTTCTTAGTTTCCGAGTTTCTTATTTTCTTATTTTCTTAGTTCCATAGTTTCTTAGTTTCTTGTTACGGATTGCACATCGGTATCGGTATTTATTCCCAATTTAATTGACAACCAACAACGTTTACTCGGTATCAGATTAAAAGTGTAATCGTTTTTATAAAAGGATCGCATAGCACATAGAGAACCACCCGAAAAATAGATCGATTCGTATAAATCGTAAGATCGCGCTTTGCTCGGGAGACACGATTCCTCTGGCAGGGGGAAATTTTTAACGAAGAAATAGGGGCAAGAGCGTGATGTTCGCAGCTAATAACGTGTTACAACGTTCGTGCGAAGGTGCAAATAGTACCGTGACGCAGACGAGCGTACGGGGCATAAACTCATTTCCAAAGTCTCTTGCAATCTTTTTCAATTAAAATCCCACAAACCGTTAGCTTACATTTCCCGGCGAAGCGTGAATTCGATACGCCGGGAGCGTTGTATATCGTGTTGCCATAACATACTTTGGAAACGTACACCAATTAAATCGCGAAATGGCCAGTGACGCGAAAGTGTTGCGTGAAAAGCACATATTGCGTTACCGGTTTGACATTTTTTCGTCTTCCCGTGTCACGAACAAAAGCTTCGCAAAGAATGGACAAAGCCCGTTGTGGAACTTTCAAGGGAAATGGTTACATCGACCGACTGCACTGAGAAACTCGCGACTAATTTCGCTACAGCAATAAAATCTGGTCAATCATTGTAATATTTTTTTATTCCCGAAGTTGTTAAATTTTCCACGCGCCGGGAGCAACGATCCCTGATGTTTACACTATGACTTTCGAACGTGGAACATCAGATTGGTCTAATTTGTTTTCCCATTATTGTTCCGCGAATTCATGAACGGACGAGAAACGCCGAAACATCAATTGTTGCGGCCGCGCTGAAGCTTTTTTGCATGGTCGTCTATCGTCATATCCATTTGCATAATGTCCGCAATTAGGATAGCCGCCAATTAACGAAAATTAACCGTATACAACATTGTCGCGCGGTACCATCACCACCTACTACCTGCCCCTATTGAGTGGTTCCTTTGACAAATTCTGAATTAATACACGGATGTCGTAGGACGATAGTTACAAGAGCGCGTCAAGGATCAACAATATCGGGGATAAAAACGATCCAAGTTTCGCGTTAGGTGACCGTTTATATAAAAACAAACTTCCCCGTCGACTTACCAGGTTTCATCAAGGACCATTTACCTTTACCCGTGTGAGCCAAAAACCGTAAACAAAAATGAAGAAACGAAGTGATCGAGGATTTAAAAGTCACGTACTTGTGTTTGACTTTAGTGATGCTATCCCCACCAGTTCTTGGAACTGGCTTTCCGATCGTTTGTCTCGATGGTCAAATATGTTTACGGGTTCAAATCTTGGGGCACTCGGTCGGAATATCGTTAATATTTGAATTATTATAACTCCTATAATTTTTCCTGGAGTTATTTTGAAGATTGAACGATTCTACTTCCACAGTCCCGCGTTGAATCACCTTGCAGATTCTTTCACGCTAGAAAAGAAAGACGATTTTTACTTGTGAGAAATGTTTGGAAAAACATTAAATCGCAAAGCGTAGAATTTATTTAGGTATCGATAACGCGATATCGCTCTGACTCCCGATTATATGGAAAATCGTGGCTGAAAACACCGAGAAGACGCTTTGAAAGTTATCTCGCGTACCGCGATATCAGCCACATTGAATGTCTTATTGCTCGATGGGTTCCGTCCGTTCATCGTTTGATAATGATCGAATCAGCAAATTGTCTTATGCCGAAACGCCCACGTGCGCGTGTAAACGCCTTCTGAAATCTAAATCGAATCGCGCCGACACCTGATACATATTTAAACCTTACTCCTTACTTATCCAGCGTTATCTCCGCGAATATTAAATAGTACCGCATTTGCGTGCAAATTTTTATAAAAATATTGCGTCACTGTATACCGAAAGAAGTTCGCGCGGAATTATATTACGAACTTCAAACAATCACAACTTCGTTGCGATATAATTTTATTCTTTTTTCCCAACTATCTGCAAGCCTGTGCATTCCAGTAATACAAAAGTCAACCTTTTATTTATTTATCGAGTTAAAACTCGCGGAACGAAAAACTTTTGCAGAGATAGAGAATAATTAATATCTCGAGCACAAAGCCATTACCAAAATTTCGTTGCTTTCGATTTTGGTCTTACGTCGAATTGTAATATCGATCCCTAAAATGATCGGAATATTCTGTACTTGTGTTCAGGTTTCGCCAAACACCCTTAAATCGCTTCCAAATATTTCTGGTAATATCCTCCCGGGGAAACATCAGGCACGAACTGGAAATTGATTAAGTAACTCGGATTGGAAACACGGCAAACTACTTGGAACTGCTTAATCATTACGACGTTCAATGCAATTTAAAACTGGAACGTGAAGTTCTACCGTAGAAACATCGTTCGTAAAAGAACAACTTAACACCTGTGATTTTATTGGAAACTAGCTTTTTCCTGTACCCTTGGTAGCTCTAGATAGGCGGACAAAAATTCTGAAAATACATTTTCGGGCTTTGCTACCATCGAAACAGACCCGAAAAGGCAAAGTTAGAAAAAAATGTTTGCCTCCACGAATTTATTTGCGTGTACAGACACTTGTTAGGAAAACGGCGTATTCTCGGGAGTAAAATCACAATTTTACGAGGTGTGCACAACGTGATCGTCGAGATAGATCGCCTCGAGATGTGACAATGCACCAAGAAAAGGGTAAAACACCTCCATGCTTTCGTGACGTACTGTCGTAGCCCGTAAATATCGTGCATTCCATAGTACGAAAGTTCATCCTCGAACGGTGCCCTGTTTTGTGCAGAATCGTTGGGAAACTTTCGAAGACGTCGAAACGCTGAAGAATAACCGTAACTTTGTAGCTTGTCTCGTCGCTGGAATGCAAAATTTTTTTCACGCTCGTTATCTTCGGTAAATCCGCGTCCATCGTAAACACGCGGCTGCCTAAATCTTGAAAGCTGCCCACGCGCGTCTGTTCCCAGTATTTTTCCATCGGGCAAGATTGTTAAGCGTTGCACACGGATGGAACGCCGGCAAATAACAAGACCGCGACGTCAACAAGAACAACTTGCCGCAAATTGGCAGACGCGACCACCGTGCCCCCGTCCCGTCCGTTCTTCCACCTTCGTCGCATCGAAAACAAATGGGGATCTGATATCGATTTCGAACGAGAACGTCCTATCCTCGCTCGGCGAACACAACGCGAAAATACGCGAACCGACTTATCCATTCGTTATATCGATAGACTTTTTTTTAAACAGCGCACGACCGCGCGAATTATTAATAATCGAAATTATATTTACAGGCCGTGGTGTACATCCAACGATGCATAGTTCTCTTCGCCATTTTTCTCTGCTACTTTCATGTTCAGGGTGAAAGCGTGGATTGCGAGTAAGTGGATCTTCTCTCGTTGGATACCTTATTGTTCGTACAATTCGTTTAGTGCTAAAGAAAAAAAGCGAATTTACATTAAAACAACTAACAAGAATGTTTTAACAATCGTAATCAATTTTAAATTTTTTTAAGTAATTGTAATATTAATTGAATGGTTTACAAATCCCTTTAGATTGTACCCGTTCCATCACACCTGCAGAGGCACAATGTCGCGGAAACGCGCAATGTTTCCGATTTTGTACGGATCGGGTTGCGATGGAAGTAAAGGAAGTCTAAACTGCATCAGAGAATTCGAAGACAGACGTCGCATTCCTTATGTTCCATTGTCCAAATCGAGATTCTTGATTGCCCTGCTCGATAACGTAAGCCGTATTACTGATTTTAATTTGCGAATTATATAAATTACTTTGTACGCAATAAAGTAAACCGAGATTACCATTTTCCTTGTTCGAGAATTTGAAAATTTGAATGTTTTTATTTTGTCGTAGGATCTACCAAAAGACGTTACCTATAGTGCACGGCATAAACAAAGGAATAACGACATGGACGAACGAAGGCTACCCCTAATGGAGACCTTTCTGTCAGAATTGGAATCATCGGACAGCAACTATTAAATGGACTGATCGGAAAATAAATATTTGCTCGACTCGCGCAAACATTTTTCATTAATCGAATTTTCAGAAATGTGTGTTTTGTCGTCTTTCTATACTATTTACATCGAATAAAACTCCCTCCCCCTTTCCCTCTTTCCGAAAATTCTTCCCGTCTATCTGTACCGCTCGTGTCCCTTTTCTCTCAAGCTGTCCTTTAAACGTCCCTGAACTGAGATATAATTGTATCCACGTTATTAACAATACAATATGTGCTACAGCATCAGAAAATACATTTGAAATTCGCAACAATTCCTTAGACTGTCCTATTAAAAAAGAAAGTACGAAATTAACACATGTTGACGAGATCGGAAGTCCCACTACATATGTAATACAATCGCCGTGCATACATGTGACCACCGACTAAGCTCTTGTACATACATAAACGATTTTAACACGACTATTAGAGGAATATCTTTATTATGTTCAAGGAAGAAAATACAGAGTTAATAAACAAATTTATTTCTAAAAAATTTCGTGCATTCTTTATGCATTCAAGAAGTATATATGTATATACGTACCACGTGATCGCATAAAACTACTAAAATAAATCGTAACATTTTGAATTTTACAAGTCCTTTAATATATTATTATACTCACGTAGTTAACAATAATAAATACTCTGGATGTCATATGTAATTGAGCCCCATATCTAAAAAACAATTTTACGGGTTGGTTGCTTTAATGCGAGCATCTAAAATATTTTCGTTTCTTTTGAAGACAGAACCAAAATTCGAAGGAGAAGATTGTTCGTTTCGAAGTAACAAATATTCTGATAAACAACTTTTTTCTTGGTCATATTTGATAAAACTTGACAAAAATTATACTATGGTAAAAGATGCCTTTAATTAATAAGGATTATTAATGTCGTAGCAAGGAGGAACAATATACTGTGTCTTTCCGTATAACGAACTGTGTTAATTTGTATTTCAATATATCGCCGCTGATGGCGGGTCAGTATCAATCTACCATGGCGGTAAATATAAACTCTATAATAACCTAGAATAATAAAAATCACTGCTGATATTGCGGGAATATCATAATATATTTGATTTTGCACACCTCATTTTTGTAAACACATAAATTTGGACAGTATTTCTGCATTAAGGAAAATATAATGGTAATCTTCGAATTCAGTAAAATGTGACACTAAAAACGAATGTTTCTTTATCAGAATATTTTCCCCTTTATCTTTTTTGTTTTGTATCTACAAAAACAAAAACAAAAGTATCGTTTAGTGCGTTATATATTTTTAACAAAGCATTTAACATACCAAATTGCGGTGCACACACATCACAAGTTTACTTTATTTACAAATTTGCTAATTACGTTACAATATAATACGTCACAATTATTGTTTACGTTTTACAACGAATAAGTTGATCCTCCACCTTTTGAAACAAAAACGATATTCTTTAACTAATATGAACTTAATTAACTTAATTCAAACTTTTCCTTGTTATGAAAAATTGTATTAAAAAATGAATGGAACCATGCTTTCTTTGGTTACTGAACGTACGAGAGAAACAAACATATCGTTGATTTGGATCTCTTGAACAGATTTATACTTCAGAATTAAAAAAATTTTAAGACATACATATATTTGGGAAGCTAGTTGACTTAATTCAAAAAATGAATGTTATCGCAAAAACAATTTTGAATAGCAGATACGATCACGCTAAAACATTGGTTTTAAGGTTATGTAAGAAAAGAAACCGAATGTCATACATTAATAATGCGCGGAGGAGAACATTTGTTACATTTTACAAGATTTCAGAAGATTATAAGTACTCTTTTTTATATCGAAAATATGCTCAGGTTGCGATTAGCAATAACGAGGAAGTTATACAATCGAAAGAGCATGTAGCGATGTTTAAAATACTACAAGATTCTGAACATTACAGACACACTATTATGTGGCCTATTAAAACAACACTAAATATTTCTATCGAAGAAAGACGAACATTACAGAATACGGATTGGTCATCAGAAACTGCGTTCGACCTTTTGGAAGCCTTCAAAAAATTTACACATTGCCATTTACAAAATTTTCGTTTCGATGAGGAAACATATAATACATTTTTGGGAGCTTTCGCTAAAAAGCTATATAAACTTGATGAGAAACAAATACAGATATTAATGCAACATATGATTATATCGAATGACTCATTTAAATATTTAGATAATTATCAAATGTTCATAAAAGCATTGAGCAGTGAATGTTTGAAGAAATTCTTTGGCGCGGATGTTACACAATTGTTATATGTGATCAGTGGATTTTTTCAAATTGAAGCATTTAAATGTGACTACATGTGGCGTGCACTTAGAAAGCTTGGTAGTAAGACACATTACTTTTCTGGGAAAAATATGGTTCTGTTTTTACTTTATCTAACTATGTGCAAGGTTCCTAATATAAATATGTACGACATTGAATATTGGTTAAACGAGTGTATAGATGACCTTTCTCCAGACGAAATAGGTATAATTGCAAGGGGATTTTTCTTGCAGCAAAAGAAATTTAATATTCAGCCAATAATAAAAAGTATCGTAACAAAACTAAAAAATAATATTGACAATGTAAATAATGTTACCTTGGCATCAATTATGAAATCATTAAGGTAAGAAAACAACTTTTATTGAAATAAATGGTTTTCAAGGCTTACACAAATCAAATATGTATATATATATATATGTTCACAGGTATTGTGGATATTGTTGTTGCCTAGACACATTTCAAGAACTATTAGTAGTTCTACGTCCAAAAATAGCAAAATATCCATTAATGACTTTAACACATATTGCACATACATGTGGAGGTCTGCGTGTGTATGATAAAATCTTATTAAATAATATTTGCGAGAGGTAGGTTGAAAAAAAAAAAGATTAACGCGGATATTCCTATTTAAGAAAATTAATCGTTGGATTTTATTTAGGCTATTAAATGAAATTTCTTATGCAAGAATAAAAGATATGGAAAGAATTACTTATGCTCTGTGTACCCTTGCACCCTATACAGAGCTACATGAAGAATTACATAAAGTACTGGATGAATTATTACTAACTTATAAAACACGTAGAGAAAAAGAAATTCAGAAGTGAGTTCTTCCTCTATGTAAAATAAATACTATCCATATACATTGTAGCCAGAAATAATAAATTTATAATGTGCTTACTATAGGTATCCAAGTGCATTTTTACGTATTCTAACATTTTTATCAATGAAAAATATATATTCAACGGAATTAATTGAGCACGCATTGAATCCAGCGATTGTAAATTGTATATATAGCAACAATGTAAAACTTTTGACTAATGATTTATTAATTATGGAATGTTCTACTAAAATAGAAGTACCCAACTACACAGGTCCCTTTCTGAAAGACAAAATATACCAATGTTTAATAAAGGTATAATTTGATATGTAAAATTAACAATTTACATTTGATGTTGATATAATTAAATATTGTGAAATAAAAAAACAAAATTATTGTTGCAGAAATATTGCAGTAAAAATGATGTTACTGACAGGCACAGTATGGTAACATTACGAACTGAAATTATATTTATATGCAAGGTATTTTTATAAAAACTAAATTTTTTAAATGACAAAAGAAGTTAAATTTTTTAATACGTTAAATTTACTTTAATAGGAAATACTGGGATTAAATATATATACCGATAATGTTTTACCACACTATTATTCTAACGTCGATATTATTTTTGGCTTCGATGAGCATAAAAATAGTGTACCAGTTGAACATATTTTATCAGCGATGCCATATGGTTCAATTAAACGAGTAGATGATGATAATTTAAGTAAAATACAGTGGAAAATATTATACTTATTATCCGACAGAACTAAAGTACGAGGCCGCGATGGTTATATTGGTCCTTGTTACCAACAATTAAGGCAACTTAAGACTATTGGATATACACCAATTCCAGTAATTTTTTAAACCATTTCTTGCAATAAATGATACATTGATATAGTAATTTTTAACATTTGTTAATCTTTTAATATTCTTACAGCTCTGTGAATTTATGTGGAAAAATTTAACTGAAAACGAAAAACATAATTATTTACGTGAAATAATTCTCCACGACAATGATTCTAATATTATGGAAAAACGAATGTTATAAAATAAAATTACAAAAAAAAAAAGTAAGTTCCTGAAAAGTACATTTATTCTTTTCTTTCAGTTTCCTTTATATCACTAACATACTTAATATTTTCTTTAAAAAGAAGTCGATCCAAAGTTTTATGTAATTAGTTCAAGAATAACACACCTTATTTTCACAAATTACAATGTGCAAGATGTTATTAAGATATACATACATGCTGGACAAATGAAATGATCGCTAAATTACTAAATATTCCCATAATTATTCTTGAATACTGAATAAGTTTATTATAATTTCTTATATTATTTACAACGACGTGAAAAATGTACGTTGATGTGATGGAAATGATTGTATGTATGTAACTTTTCAAGTAAACACACTTTTTTCATTTCATATAATACAAATTAATAAATATAGTTTCTTTCGTCAATATTTTTCAAAATAGTTATTCATAAATTTCTTAGTGTATTCGTAAGTTACGAATAATGTTGCCGTCGCTGGTATTGTCCTAATTAGTGTTGGTTTTAAACCATTGTACAAAGAACCGACGCCTTCGTTCCTGACAATATCTTTCATGACCGCCAATGCTGGCGTTTTTAAATTTTTTACCTTTAAATGTGAAATCATTCAAATCGGCAATTCTTATTATTTACAAGCTTTATTCGTTATAAATGTACCAACAGATATATATCTGTGTTATTAATTAAAGTAAAAGCGTTATAATGAATAGAAAAACTAACCTGTATTCTACTTTTAATTACATCTGCTGGAAATATTACAAACCATAAAACAGTACCACCCACAGCACCAGCTACCATTGTTTTCTGCCATCCGATATCATCTCTACTTTGATTTGGCTTTGCCAAAAGTTCCCTCGTGATTTCATAACCTCCAAAAAAAAAGAAATATCCAGGCATTTCGCGCGCTATAGTCGACGATAAACCAGTAAATAGACCTTTTATCCCTTGTTCTTTAATGATTTGGTTCGTCAATTGCCATGGCCCAATTTGTTTCTAAGAAATAAATTATTGAATTTCTATGCGTACTGTTTTTGTATTAAGTTTTTTTAAATTCTTTTTATTTGTAGTTTAATTACCCTAACTGTAGCCATTGACATTGCCATTTCACTTTGGATTTCTCTCATAGCTTGTAGTTTACATTTTATTAGCTCTGTTGGGCACAATGTTAGCGAAGAAAAAAAGGCAGCAAAAAATCCAGCCCAGGCATTCTGAATGGAAGTTAGATCCTCTACTTTTTTTACACCTATGTATGTAATAGTATCTTCTTTCAAAACAGAAATTGAAATTTTGTATCGTAACGTCTTAAGACGGATATGTTACCTAATAAATTAGAAATAGCTTTTTGACACCCTCCATACGCTGCAAAGAGTACTGAATTCTCAGCGACGTTAGCAACAATTGCAGGCACTGTTCCTGCATATAAACCACGCATTACTCCATCCGTTTTAAATGTTTGTAGAAAACAATTTACCATTCCCCTATACAACGAAGGGAATGTTTGCATTTTTACCTTAACAGTATCTAATGGTTGTCCAACAAATACAAGCGCTACCCCACCTTAAAATAAGTAGTATATAAAATAAAGTGTGTAAAATTTACATAATTTTATAAGAATGAATAATTTTTTAACATATGCGTATTAATTATAATTTTGTTCTATATTTATAACAATATAGTAATAATTTATATAAATGAATAAAATCAACGATACGATCGATATCAGTGGACGTCATTACCAAATGATCCAGCAATAAAATCAATTAAACCGGCTCTTAGATTTTTTAAACGCTGACTTTCTTTTTCTGTATATTCAAACGGCATTGTTAAATCTTTAAATTAATAAATGATCCTTGATTCTTAAACGAAATAATAGGTTAATAGGTTAACACGTTGATCCACTTCAAGTGTTTGTTATCAACTGGTCCTTGTTTGATAAGAAAAAAGAAGAGAAGTACATTTGTAAATAAATCACTAATACTCTATTCATACTAATCCCATTGTCTTATAAGGTTTTATTTCTGTAAGATTGTGAACACACATTTCCACATACGTGTATACACGCGCACGCGTATATACGTATTTGAGCGAATTTAACAGTGACAATTTATTTCATCGATCGGTAACGGTCAAGTATTATAAATGTAAAAATCATATCTCTCGTATATACATATTAAATGTACTAGTGTGCAAAATTGATTTCTTTAACAATATATTTAATATCTTACTAAAAATCAATACATTAATCGATTAATTATTATGACAAATTATGGCTACAGTAATCAGAATTTTTATATTATTCGTTCTTTTTGTCATCTTACTTGCGGTTGGATTTTACAATGTATTATATTTCACAAATAGATTTTCAATTTTCAAGGAAATTAACCTAAAATCTTAATTCAAGAATGCGAACAATTTTAATAAATTACAGTTTAAAGGGAAAACGAGACAACGTATGCATGAGAAAAACGAGATTGATTTGACGTTATTATTATTTTACGAGATAATGCTGGAATATTATATGGTTGCTATGGAAACACAGTACTACATCTTTAAAATCTTACGTTCCTAAATTAATATCTCTATTACTTCAGATCGATTATTATAAAAAAGTCAAAAAGGGATGCTTCCGTCATGATGTACATTGCGTCGAATAAGCAGCTAAAGTCGGTACGGAAAGCATTATAATTTCTCAATAGATACTTAACAAACGTTTTGAATAAACTTTAAATCGAGAAAACCTTACAGAAATTCAGTAATTTTAGTAAATCAAGAAAGTAACTAGATCGAGGTGTTCGAGACATATATGTATGACGTACGCGACATTCTGTAGTTCCAAAACATGGATTTTCTCGGTTACGTTCTCAATTAAATGATTATTATTTTTTAGTTTATTTTGACAAAGCAAGCATTGAGTTTTACCCGTGTTCTAGGAAGATCGCGACTAATTTTGTGCAATGATCGTTTTCTTTACAGTACGAAAATAGGGAAAGTGTGTGTGCTTATAGTAGATCTGCCATGATAGATCCGAACGCGTCTTCGTCTTATTCCAAAAAAGTCAGAGGTTGTTAGCAAAATGCGTGATTTGTATTGTCAGGAGAGCTTTTTAAAGGTAAGTATACTGTTCGGGAGGTAATCGAACAGTTTGATCATTCTTGTATTTATCATGGAGAAGATAAATTCGCTTAGTAAATTGGAGCGCAGCGTGCCTCTAGGAGCGCTCTGGCTCGTCTGCGCCATTAGAGTTCAGAGCATGATCTCCAGATATTCTTAATATATTATCAAAATAGCTTGTAACATCGATGAACCATTTTTTCGACGCGTTATTTATTACGTTCCCGGATCGTTTAAAGTTGTCCTAATATACGAAATTCTCCAACGGTACGATTAATACGTCGGTAGCTTAAAATTTTTAATATCGTATTCTTCGCAAAGAAACGCACTTTTTCAATTAGTTTTCTATGTTTTATACTGTATTCGATGCATTTATCATTTTTTTGTCTTAATTTACATTATATTCAACGTTGATGTGTTCTTGTAAAGAATTGTATGTTTTATTTTTTTAGTGTACACTGTTAAACTGGACTTTTCATGATTTGTGATATTTACACTTGCTTTATATTTAAAGTCCACATTCAAACCTACTGTAATAAATGTAAATCAAAATTCGTGAAATATAAGAAAACTTGTATTTATATATTGTACATATTACTATGAACAATGTTTGTTTAAGTAATATTAGTAAATTCCATTGACCCTTTCCTCGGTGATTGACATTTTATTTGTCAATAAGAAACATGTTATTTTTAATATTTATTAAATGAAACTGCACAAAGTGATCTCACAGTTTAACTGTTATTAGAAAACGCTAGTTGTATTGTTTTTTAAAACGATAAAATAAATGGAAGAGAGTGAAGGTATAAATAAATGTATATATAAAAAAAATATCCGAATGTATCGTTATTTTCTTTGTGATCTATATTCTTGTACTTAAGTGAAAAATAAAATATGTGTTTTGCATTTTTATTTGTTTAATTATTTTAGTAAATTTTTTATTAATTTTTAATCCTTCTTGTTCAGTAACAGTACGGATTACAGAATGGTGGTGGATTGCTTATCCATTCAAGGCTCAGCAGCTATAGTACGGAAGCAGGAGCGAAGATTAGGCGGGTCAGTGGGTGCAAAAATGCAACCTAACAATGTTGGTAGTTGCGGCGGGATGACACCTAAAGAACTTTCCGACAATGATGACCTGGCTACTTCACTCGTGCTAGATCCTTATCTAGGGTTCACTACTCATAAAATGAATATCAGGTAAATATTTTCAAATAACATTTTAATTTATAATATAAAGCGATATTATAATATGAAAACTTTATGTAACAATGAAGGTACAGGCCATTAAAAGCAAATAAAGATGAACTTCGTAAAATTATTTGTGAATTTATTCAAACACAAAATTATGAAAAAACGTATAAAAAATTAATGGGTGGGGATTGGGGCGCACGACTTCCGCACACAAAATCAAAACAACAGCAGACAAATTTGGAGACACATGTGAGTTATATACCGAAGAGAAGTTAATTTAAGACGTAACATTTTGTTAATTGGTACTTGTGTAAATGGTTTTATTTTTTTTTCTTATTTTTTTTTCATAGATTTATCGATATTTAAGAGTTTTTGACAAGGACTCGGGATTTGCAATTGAACCCTGCTACAGATATACTCTAGAAGGCCAAAAGGGTGCCAAAATTTGTGCAACTCGAAAATGGTTGAAACATGACAAAATATCTTGTCTTGTTGGGTGTATTGCCGAACTAAGTGAAAAGGTTTGTTTATTGCAAAATATAAAAAACTGGAAGAATGAAAAAGTGTTCTATATTTGTAAAACAACATTTCAGGAAGAAGCAGCATTACTGCATCCTGGAAAAAATGATTTCTCTGTAATGTTTAGCTGTAGAAAAAATTGTGCACAGCTGTGGTTAGGTCCGGCAGCATACATTAATCACGATTGTAGAGCTAACTGCAAGGTAAATAAATGTGTCTAGCGTTCCTACTTTGATTATAGTCGTTATATACATTCGGTAATAATTTATTCTACTTAATTTGTACAAAATATAGTTTGTGGCAACAGGGCGAGATACAGCTTGTGTTAAGGTTCTACGTGACATTGAAGTAGGAGAAGAGATTACATGCTTTTATGGTGAAGATTTTTTTGGGGATGGTAACTGTTATTGTGAATGTGAAACTTGTGAAAGGAGAGGAACTGGAGCTTTTGCAAATCAAAAGCCAGGAGAAGAACTTTCCTCTGGTATTTTTTTAAATAAATGATTTTACAACAATGGGGATTTATATGTAAATTTACTTTTTTAAATAAAAAATTATTATAGGATATCGTCTAAGGGAAACAGACAATCGTATTAATCGCACGAAACATAGGCAGCAGCCATTAAGTCGCAATAAACAACAAGCTGATACTGCGCTTACAGAGAGAAATGCAGTGCTTGTCGGTAATGCCGCAATAGCACCGCAAAGTCTTAGTATGAAGGAGTTACGGAGAAAGGGTTTAACAAAGTATGACGCGGAATTATTAATTGCACAGGGATGTCGATTTTCTGATATCACTCAGCAGCAACCTATCATAAACAATGGAGAAAACCTGCTACAGACGTCACGTCCTCATCCTTCTGCCATTACTAATTCTGTAACAAGAAATTTACGAAATAAACAGCTAAGTAAATTTGATAGTAACAATGGTCATCAGAATAATGTCAAAAATAATCAAACTCTTAGGGCCTCCAGGTAAGATCGTATCTTTATAGCATGTATTTTATACTTCAATTATAAAACGAAGAGAACATTGTATTTTGTATTTTATACACAGGCTTCATAAAAGAACAGAAACCAAGAAGAGTAGAGTCTCTGAAAAAGCTAGATCTTCTTGTTTAAATGGTACCATAGCAAAAAATATTGATATAGAAGATATAAGTCATCGTAAAGAAGACTCTGACAGAGTAGAAGCGGCCGAAGAAGTTATGTATTCTAGACTGCATAAGCCTCATTCTGAGAGTAACTTGGATAAAAAGGTTCACAATGTTTGCCATGCTGAGATCTTGCATCACGACACGCTGGAACAATCAACTTGTTCTAATTTTAAAAGAGAATGTTCACCTACATTTGTCAAAGATAACAGAGAATTGGATAACAAATTGACAAACGAAAAGGAAGTAACTGATATTACTGTAGAAGTGAATTCTATTTCACCAGATAATATTAATGTTTCCGATTCTATACAAAATCATTATAGTACAAATACCTGTGATTCAGTTCATATAAGTTCTATATCGAAAACTCGTTTAGATCATTTATATGAGGCTAGTAGCAAAAAATTAATTTCGCAAGATAACTGTCAGTCAAGAACATTTCATTATAGTTTGCCCTCGATAGAGAATACTGAAAATGTAAAGAATGTTTCTACACAGGCAATAGAATCGGGCAATTGTATCAAAAAATTTCTAAAATTTGAAAAACAAGATTCAAACGAAGAGAAAGAAGATAACTTTGAAGGCACGCACGAGAAACCTTTTTGCGAAACTGAAGAACAGACATCTCTAATACATGTAAAATCGCCTAAAAATTTAGTATTTACAGAGACTGATACGACAATTTCTACATCGCTTGATGCACAAAAATCTAACGAGGAATGCAAAAGAAGCAACTTCACAAGTTCAGCCGCATTGGTCAACTATTTGGTAGAAAATGATACGGACAAATTTGCTACGTTTGTTTCAGATTCTGAAAAACCTACAATTAAAAATGAATTTAACGAAATGAATTTTGTTAAGGAAAATTTTAACGTAGAAAATAACGAAGCGAACGGCTTCGAATGCCATGGTACAGTAGTAACTCATCAAAGTGATTCGATACTTAAAAACAATGTATACATAGTAAATGTCGCGAATTCTTCTGAAATGAATTTTAAAAAATCTGAAATGATCGAAACCTTGGCAACAGATATTGATTCTCGTATGCGCCCGTGTAAAGAAAGTAATAAGAATTTTAGTATAATGGCACCTAATAATTTCAGTGACACTACCACTCATAATAATTTTGAAGAAGGTCGCAATTTTATTTTAAATCAATCTGTGCAAGCGAATGAAGTGTCGAACACAATATTAAGATCTCACAAAAGCCGGAAAAAACTGTTAAATGATAAAAAATCTATAAGATCTGGTTTAAAAGAGGAATTGGGAACTGTTATAGAACACAAAACAGGCGAAAATACAGTTGCATGTATTTCGAAGAATCGTAAAGTTGGTAAAACTAAAAGCAGATTAACAAGAAATCAAAAAAGGGATCGACAGAAAATAGCAACTACCGAAATCGGTGTGGCTGATGACGATTCAGGGATTCAAGGTGATATTTACGAATTTAGTGAAAAAGAAAGTAATCTGGAGGATATTAGAATACCATCAATAATGCGACGAGGTAAGCAAGAAGTTCGTCACACGTCTGTGCTCGCTTCGCATTTACAAGAAATGCAATACAATGACGAATGCAATAAAATTGAACCTCCAGTATTAATCCCGCAAGAGCCATGGCCGCCTGCTACAAGTTGTAACCAAAATCAATCTGCAGATTCAGACGCTAGTAGCCAATCAAGAGAGAATTCTGTTGATAGCGACAGTCTGAAGAGGTAGGTGTTTATACGCCATACGTCTGTTTGTACTGCAAAATTCTATTTCATATCTTGTACACTACACGTAAGCGAATATTTATAACAAATTGCTTACAGATTGTCAACTTACAATAACGACAGTACACAGAAGTCAACAAATCTCTCAGAATGCCAATGGCAAACAAATAACTCAAATTGTCAAGTTTGCCCCAATACTCCAGAAAGGACCGGCAGATTGAAACTTACACTTCGCATGAAACGTTCGCCAGTTTTAGAAGATATTGTGGAATCAGGAACAAGCCTGAGCGAAGACAGTTACGAACCTGAGTATGAAGTATTACGCGTGGAAGGAGTAGAAAGAAGTAGACGTAAAAAAAAGCATAAAACCCGAGATCGCGAAAGACGGCACAAAAAACGCGATTTAAACCTCGATCCCCCTCCACCTCCGATGAAAAGGTTGCGCTTGATTTTTGGCAATGAAACACATACCATTGATTTTCCACATTCTTAACAGCTATAAATAGTAATTTGTGGTTTCATTCAGAATAAATTATAAACACAATTTAGGTGTGTGCGAAGACAGGCCTCCTTGTCCTGTAACATTATTGACTTTTTAGAGGTCTCACAAAAGTAGAAAAAGACTTTTAAGTGATAAAATGCTGTCATAAGAATCAGTGTAGAGTCTTAACGGTAAAAATTAATATCTTTCGTTTTTACGTTACTCTTCGCTGTTTAAATTTTCCCTTGCCTCTTATTCTTCTAACAACGAATGGTTACAGGCCTAAAGTTTTTCTTAAAGAAAAAAAAGCAAAAAAAATGTTTCGATGGATTTTGGAATGAACAAGCGTTAGTGTCTGATTTATTTACTATACAGTAAATACTTAACGAAAAATATTATATAGTTCTGTCTGAAATAGATTACAGATAATCGTTTTAGTTGGTCGGTCATTCATGATAAAACTAGTATATTACTTTATGTTTATGGTAATTGCTTTTCCATTAATATTTTTGTATATATGATAATTTTTTATAGAAGAGACTGGCTTCAGAAACTATGGTCTTTCAAATTCATTTTACTTTCAGCGGTAACAAATTAATTTCACTAAACAATTTTTTACTAATAAAATATTTATATCATACACAAAATTTACATATAATAGGATAATGAACAAATTCAGACGACGATGATGACGATTACCCTTCCTACTGTTAAAAATTAGGAAGGAAAATACTGAGTTGAGCTATTTCTAAGCACTATTTCCGTAGATACAGAGGACAAAGGAGGAAAATCCATACTCTTATACTATGTATAATAATAGTTATTATTATAATAATTAAATAATAATGATAATAATTAATTAATTAAATTAGCTAAATACTAGGTAGCACATATTAATTGCTGTTCTCAGAATGCGTGATCGATATCATGAAAAACATTGTAAATACTGCTTATATATACATATATTATATATATGCTTGTATGTATATGTGTATACATATGCATGCATGCATGTTTTATATCATCCATGGTCCATGCATATGTATGTACCTACTTATACGAGAAATTCATTACTGTATTCTGTATTTCGATGTATTACAATGCCTTGATGCCAGATGAACGTCAAGTACATACATGCGTTGCACATAAATGTCATTGTATATCGAATACACTGTTTACGAATATAGTAACGGAATAATCTTCATTTAGCGAATCAAATTAAAAGGGATTAGTTAAAATAATAATAAGAGGAAGGAAGTAATCATCCCTTTAACATGATTTCTCTTGTTGGATTCGAGAAATGGAATTTTATGTTAACAGTTCTTTTTTTATGTGTAAAGATATTGTTTCAATTATGGAACGAATCGATCGTTGAGGCTTAAAGCTCAGTTAGAGGAATTGTACGATTTTACAAGTATTGAGATCTGAGAAGTTCGGTAGAACAATTTTTGTATACCCTATTTTGTTTCTGTCGCCAATTTTTTTAAAAAAAATTATCTTCCGTGCCGTAAATTTTAAACCTTCATACTTTCCCGACAGTGTAGTTATCAATTTTACAAATGTTACGCGTTTAATGTGAATTTTTACTCTAAGAACATCATAACAAGAAAATCATTATTTATTTTACGCAATTGATTGGATTTATATACTGAAACTATGATAAAAATGAACAATATATACCAGGTCAACTATTAAGTTGCAATAGTCATTCAAATTATTCATATTTCTAGCAACACATTTTATAAATATAATATATGTATAATGGTAAAATTTTTCAGGAGACATAAATTCAATGAAATTTCCAATCCTCGTTTTAATTTGTCGCCTTTTGAAGTACATTTCAACTTTGGACGTAAACCGAGGCTTGTCATTGATTAATGTGTAAAACGTTAAAAATGAAATTATATAAATCAAGAAGCCATAGTCAGTTTTATTAATATATTAAGGTACAAATGTGAGATTACTGTTTTATTACTGTGTAATATATGATTAACCATGAATTTTAATGCTAAAAATGTTTTTCGCAAATCCCATCTGTTGAGCGTGGTAGTAATCGAGATACAATAGTTTTATAAAAACAAACAAAAGTAAGCAACAACTGGTTATGTACAGAACTGAAATATACTTTAAACAGGGTGACCCTAGTTGAAGGGTAAAACAACGTTCCAGTGAAGTAGGCAGTGAAAAGTCTATTATGTCTCATTCGTTCATATAGTATAATGTTTCCTTTATATATCTATTGTTAAACTTTCATCTAGCAAAATACGATTGGGGCCGTCATCACGTGTCGCAAACAAACTGCTGTACATTTGTATTAAATATATGTATATCTCTCTCTCTCTTTTTCGTCCTATATCTATCAAATAAGATATACGCTTGGCAAGAAATAAACTCACAGCTTTCAAAATAATTGATCAAAACAATATAGCAGGCGATGAAATCAGTATTAGATCAATTAAAGGAACATTTTATGGGAAACCAGCTATGTTTATAAACTCGACTTCAAAATTAAATCACTATCGAATTAATTAACGATAATTATTCCTCCATTGCGCAATAGAGCATTTAAATAACATTAAGAGCGTTCTGTAATTTAACTTAATCATTGTACGAAATAGGGTGTAACTTTTTTCTTGATAGTATGTCCGTTAAACAAGCTATAACATTCTATAAGATTTGTGATAAAAAAAAAAACTACTGTATTATTCTATTAACGATTCTTATTCTGACATAGCGCCATCATAGCCACTGTTCTTCTCTAAGATTTTAGCGAGTTGTCGAACATACTAATCGCATTGACCGAATTATTACAAATATACGCATACATTCTAACGAGAAGAAAAACAAAATTTTTCTTTGAATTTCAGTCTGTGAGATATTAAACATGGATTCTTCGTTTTCTAGGATGAATAGAGGAAATTCGGATTGATCTGAATACGAATTTATCATTGTCGCGGGTGTAACAAAATCGTAGCACATCATTTCAATGTAATTTATATATGTAATTTTTGCTAGAAAAATCAATAAGAAACATCAATGCATTATTAACTGTAACAAAATGTTCTCGCCAAAATTTTAGCGATGATTTAAATGTATATTAAATTTATATTTTTGGAGCGGGAGGGTGGGGCAAAGATTAGAAGATTATTGTGTTGAAAGTGGAACTGATGTGCGATTGCGACTTATTGAAACGAATTTAAGTGCTGGTCTATGATGCTAGGCTCAGCACACTTACAAATATGTTTGCGGGAAGAATGCTAAAGATTTTTAACGATTATAGATCAAAATGTGTTTTCAACGTTAACAAATTTTTACGTTTTTCCATGTATATGAACATACTACGCGTGCATTGCACATATTACGTATGTATCATATATGGTACGTATCTTACAACATACGTTAATGCGTGCACATACACACAGAATCATCGCGTCAGAGTGGAATTTTTATTTTTGCTTAGCCTGATGGTATTCTTACTTTCATTTGCCAGGCAGCTTTCCTCTCACTGCCATTATAAAAAATTGTTAGTTTCCTCATTAACTTTAATGCTCGTCGTTCTTAAATCAATAAATACAAAAGTTCATGGATACAAAGTGCAATGTTATAATAGCTACTATAAGTGAAACATGCGTACATGACGAAAAATAATTATTAATTGAGAATTAAGTATTAAGACTTTAATAAAGTCTTTGAATCTAATTTAAAAATCGTACAGTTTTAACGTACGCTGTAATTGTATTATCATTATTATAATTGTACTATCTTTGTTGATCAAAAAAAACAAAAGTGTATATTATCATTATTATTTTCTACGATTTAAGGTATAATAATAAATGAATTGCATAACCCAGTCATATCTATGGACTTATTGCTTCTCATTTGATATGTAAAGGGTAATGCATTAAAACTTTATTACGTGCGTAAATAATTCCAGCGATAAGTTATTTTGTTATTTTCTGTAACGAGACTATCATGCTATACAGGAAGTTTGAAATTTTTGCCGCGAAATTACAAAATTTCTGAAACAAGTATAATGATTTTTGATTTACATATTTGATTATTACGATAATTCCGAACGATTTATACATATCAAATTGTATGATTCTAAATTTGCTTCCAATTTAATAGTACGATCACATTCGAGGATGTTTCATCTCTGATACGATCTTCTTAAATTTAATATTTACATTATTATTTTTGTTTCATCCTTGCTCCAGTAACTTGATTTTATATTCGTCAGAGAACGAAAAATATTGAGGCCACCTATCGTTAATATGTACAAAATAATGTTGGTTCCTTAAGACAGGCAACTAGCTGTATATGAAGTACATGTTTTAAGAACCCTTGACCATTTTTTAACTATTAAAAGAAAGAAATTCGCAGCAACCTCCTCGTGGTGAGACCTGGTAATCGGTGTTACCTTTGAAGAAGAACTTCTTCATTATCGGTAACACCGAGCTAATGGCTGCGAATTTAAAACAATATAAATTTTGATTTTTAATCGAAATCAAAATGAAATGTCTAATACTTTTTTCTAGGTATACATTAGCTCGACTTCTAGAAAAAATTTCAATGAGATAAGTTTTACTATTGTAAAAGTTACGATCGTTTGAAAATTGACAATTTTTCTGAGCATTTTGTCACTTTACGACGTTAAGGAACAACTTTTCGAATATTCTTAGAATTTCTACATATTGTTCACAAAAATACGCGTTGTTTGCAATTTAAAACATTAAAATCCTCCAATCCGTTCAGAAGTTATAATGTTTTAAAGATACAGAAATGTTCGTTTGAAATTTCATGCGTATGTTTAAAAACATTAGAACTTCCGAACGGATTGGAGGATCTTAGTGCATCGAAATCGACAATAGTAACGACGAATTTCCTTAGCATTTAACGGAGCGATGGGAAGTTCGTCGTTACTAGTGACGCCGTCGATTTACTCAATTATGCCAAATCTGGCCACACTGCTTGTGAATCGAAATTAGATCGAAGATAACGAACTATACATCAATTTTATAATTAAGTGGTTAAAAAATAAAAAGACAAAATAAAACTTTCGGTATAAACCATTGTTGCTTTAATTTATGGTGCGTTTATGGTGTGAAATTTTAATTAATAATCGTTAGCGTCAAACCAGCGTACTTGAAAATGTTAACCTAAATCGATGACAGATATAAATGAACGTAAAAGTTTAATAATGCGTTCAATTACGAAAAATAAATGGATACGAGGATGAAATCTTATAAATCACTGCCGCCGTTAGTTGAGGGCAAAATTCATGGTTATTTAAAGCTTGTCATAGATGAGGTGATTTGGTCAGAAAGAAATCTAGGAGAAATTAAAATACTTGCATCTTGGTGGGGTGAGATTGATAGTGCTCAATTTAGGTAAAGTATTTGTGACTTTTTAAAGAATTTCTTTTAATTTTTAACATTAACCAAAGGATAATATAATTTATAATCAATTTTGTGCTGCGTTTTGTTTCGCGTTAAATATAAATGTATTTTTTTTTACTAAATTTTTTTATATTATTAATTCAACAATTTGGATTTTTTCTGTATTTATACATTTCGAACAGTATTTTACATTATAAGTTTTATAATGTACATACTTTTTTCAGACCAATAGACATTACAAAAAATATTACAAGATCGGAGCAGGAAACGACTAAAATTTATGTTATTCGTACAAATATAAATCTCTTTGAAGAATATGTTAAAAATTGTGAATGTTTAGAATTAGTGATTGTTTCTGAAGAAACTAATATAATTATAGGTGTATCTAAAATCACAGAGTTATTAGAAATCTTTACATTGAAACCATGCTTTAAATATGTTCCAATGATAAATGATTCGGGAAATAAAATAGGAGAATTACATGTTTCTATGAAGTTGGAGCATGTTATAAAATCTCCAAATATGCAATTAAAGCCACATAAGTACGAAAACAAGCAAGGTATTGATAGTATCGTGCTTTCGGCTGTCAATAGCTTTGAATGCCCAAAAGATATAATAGATGATACATACAATGCGTGTAGAAAATTAAAACCCAAAGAAAGTGAAATTTATAAATCTATTTTGAAGTCAAGAAGAATGGAATATCAAGAACCTTTGAAGAAATGTAATAATGAACTGACGGACAAACTTGTCGCGCAAGTTGTTGCAAGAGCACAAAAACTCAGAGGAGATATATTGAGGGAAACACATAATGAAGATGTTCTAACTTCTAGTGATAATTCGTTAAGCGACACTTTGCAATTTCATATTGCTAATGAAGATGAAATAAAATTATGCAAATACTTTTTGGGTAAAGATATAAATCATTGCGACGAGCAGAAAGCATTATGTACTTCAAGATCAACATCTCCAACTCCAAGTTTGATGCATATTGCATCTAATATTATTAAAGGCTGTAGAAACGATAATGAGAAGATTAGACCAAGTAGTACATCTTTTATACAAGAAAATTCTTCAATGGAAGAAATATTATCAGAAGAAAAACTTGATAACAGATCAAAAGGTTTATAAATTATTTAAGTAAAAATTAATAACGTTTGACTATATGAATTAAAGTTACAATATAATATATTCCAGAAACTCTACTGTTGAATCATGTAGATTGTATTAGAATTTTTGTGGAATCATTTACTTTAAGTCCTGCTGGTTATAGACGTGTTAAATCTTCGTCTTTATCACGTATGTACGTTTTTCAAATTTAAAGTCTTACAAGAGAAATTATTATTTAAGAATTTGTTAAGGAGTACATTAAGCGTGCGCATTTGTTTTACTTGTTAAAACAGTTGCATTCTCTTTTAGATAATGATAATACTTTCTTGTCTGCAACATATTTTGTTCAGTACGATATGACATTTGATTATAGTAAAGAAATAGGAAAAAAGTCAGTGAAAAAAAACAAACCCATAAGAATATGTTCTAAGACAGAAACAAACCAAGGTATTTCCATTGTAGTGTTTACCATTATGATGTTTATAATATACGTATTGAATATTTTAATTAACTAAAATACATATTTTTGTAGTAATTTATTTTAATCACGGTGGTATATATGGAATATCGAAACTGAAACCAAACACAGAATATTTTATAAAATATAAAATATTCATTCGGCATTTTAATAAGAAATCGTTAACCGAACTAGGCACTGGTACTATGCACATAAACGATATCATAAAAAGTGAAAATTGGAATATCGCACAACGTTTAACTATTCTCAATAAAGGAATAAAAGTTGGCGAGTTAAGTGTAATTGCAGAATTAGGTTCAGATTCTATACACTTTGGGAAGCAGTATATTGGTAGGCATACTTTGATCATAGGAGAAAAAATATTGTGTATCAAATTTTTTAACATAGAATGCTTTTTTATAGATGGTATAATGTCTTCCAAAGAAAATATTCCTATTCTGGAGACACAACGACTGTTAAACCAAGAGAGAAGTAATAAAAGAAGTAAAAGTGCAACAGAAGCTCAATCAAAAACAAGTAGCCAAGTGTCGTCGCTTTCTGCAAAAGAAATTGACTTTATAACTACTGACAGTCACTTACCTGCTGCAAAAGATATATCGTGGCACAAAATAAAAAATATGGACAGTAAGAGAGTCGATGTAAAAGATCAGGAAAATAATATTAAGGATATGGTACAAAAATATAATTTACAGTGTAAGTATTTTTTGATTGATTATTGCTATTCAAAGAATGATCGTTCCACAGGTTTTACTTCAGGGTTTGATACATATAGCCGAAGGAAAAGAATTACCAGAATTAAATACGTATTTAATATGTAGAGCATTTTGGAAGGAAGATAAAAGTAGAAGTCAAATCTGCAATAACACAAAAAATCCGTTTTATCGATTCTGTCAAGTAATTATTTTATGTTTTATTTCGTTAGTTTATATATTGATATATTTAAATACTTACAGATATTTTTTGTGTTACAGTTAGTTCCTCTTATTCATGACAGTGATTTACTTGATCGTATTAAAGACAATTACATAATCATTGAAGTTTACTGTAGAAATAATAATATAGATAACCTATTAGGATTAACAAAATTGTATGTACACCAATTATATATTGCGTATAGGGATCCGCGTGTAATACCACATTTGTTACTGTCTAAGGTATACAATTTCCAATTAAGATAATTCTACCTTGATACATTTGTAAAATTGTTCATAATTCCTGTTTTAGTATCCTGTTGTCAGTGTAGATGGATGGGTACCAGTTGTTGATCCTATAACTGGTAATTCTTGTGGCCAATTACTTGCACTAGTAGCTCTTGGAACTGCAGAACAAATCGCATTGTTAGAAATCTCAAGAGGTTTAAGAAATATCAGTACACCTTCGCAAACAATAAGTTGTTCAGAACATTTTTCTGGGTGTATAGAACACCCACAAAATACACAACAGTCCGTAAAATGCAGCACATACGAATTGCAATCAAATATGGAATCATTTTCACAAGATAATGCTCAATTTTATATTACTGATACAGCTGAACGAGAAATGCGCTTTGTAAATTCAAAAACGCAAGAGTGCCAGACAGACATCTCAACTGTTGACGAATTCAAATTTAATAAAGAATCGCAGGAAGAGAGTTCAAATTCAGAACATTCAGTTTTACATACTTTGGTTGGTCGTTTAACGCAAGTTTTAAATGTCAACAAAGTAAACGTAGATCAAATGGCAAAAACTGAAATAAGTTCAGAAGAGAGGAAACAAGTAGATGTAGAAGAACAAATGTGTATAAATGAACTGAACTTTAACAATAGCTCGGACGATAGCGACAGTAGTAGCGTTAGAAACAATTTTCATTTACCCACGGAAACATATAGAAGCGTTGGCGTCGGTGCTGAATATGACGAAGGAATAAATCAACAATCAAACACTGGTTACGATAATACAGTATTTGATTTGCCAACTGTAATTCACACGGAAAAAGAGTCAACTGATTCCGCGTGTAACGAAACAATGTTTCGGGCTGTTGTAGAAATTGAATGTGCAATGCATTTACCAAAAATTGAGAAAGCTAATGAAACCATTGAGCCTAGTACATATGTATCTTTTCAGGCCAATAAATGTGATCCTTCAAAACATTTAAATTCGTACATGATTACCAATGTTTTCCCAAATAGTTGCAATCCTAAATGGAACTGGAAATATGATGCAAAACTGCCAACAGAATTACTTTTACACGTATGTTCTTTTTTAGATGTACACGTATAATTTGTTTCTTTTTATCGCATAATAGGATGAAAAGAGATTGATTTTAAAAATTTGGCGTATATTCGATATAAATACCAGTACACAAATAAACTTAGAGAAAGATATTGTTATTGGATTTTCTGCTATTGATCTTTCTGTCTTAATTAATGGTTTTCCTATACTATCTGGGTGGTTCCATATAATGGACTTCACTGGAAAGTGCAATGGACAGATTAAAGTATTATTTAAATTTAATTTACATAAGTTATCATATTTGTTTGTGCGTATTATACTATCTATATTTCAGGTATGTATAACACCACTGGATAATTTATCATTGTTTGGAAAACCAGCATCATCGTTGAGTACAACGCGAATACCACCATGTAACGCATCGCAGTTAAATTGGTTTCCATCATATGTTTATGAGATGCACTCTGACGATATAGAAAAAACTAATGTCAATTATACTTTATCAACTCCTACTCAAGAAGAAGATAAATCAGTGCATAGTGAAAATCAGTTTACTGATTCTGTGACTCACGTTGGTTTTGAAGATATGTCTATGTCATTCTTATCCTTATCCTTGAAGTAAGAAAATTTAATTTAATATCTCTATTTGAAAATATGTCTTTTCTAATTATGATCACATTTCTTATTTCTCTTGTAGGAAAAAATTAACCGAACTAGATGAAATTACGAAACGTCTAGAATCGCGATTACGCGATGTCACAAATACAGCTTTCGAAGATGACTTTGAAAATGAGTTTGATTTAAATGAGCCAAATAGTGATAATGAAATGTGTCAAGTACTTAGGTCAGATAAGAAATTATTACATAACCCAGATATTATAGGAAATGAAAATGAAATTGTTGCAAGTGGAAACGAAACACGGGATCGTTCACCTGAACCCTACATTAGTCATAACACGGCTATTAATTATGAGCAAATTAAACCCGATGCCTTTAAAATGTCCAGCTCTTATACTAAACAAAACTTATCAAACGATAATTATCAAATACCACATCGAAATGAACATTTATTACAAAACATTAAGACATTAGGCAGTAGTTTTGCCGATTATCCAGAACGAGGAACAAAAACTCATATAAATTATTTACTTGATAAATTGTCATTACAATTTTCTCCGCAATCTGGTTCGACTACAACTATACCAATAAGGACAAATAATATTGGTGTATTAACAAATTTATCACAAAACAATGATCTACAAAGTAATAATAAATATAGTCAAGAACTCAAAGTATCTACTGTCCCCACACAAACGGATAATGTAGATGATGATGATCCGTGCGTAAATAGAAATTTGCCCGACGTATCTGCACAATTGCAAGTTACTAATAAAATGTCCACAGTAATCCGTGAAGAACTAGTTGCCGAGGAAAATAATGATATATCAAAATGTGACGAATTAACAACTTATCTGGTAGCATCGAACATTCGTCATATGGATTTAAACAACATTTTTAGTCCACTTTTATATCAGCATTTAGTACCAGATCTACATTATTCAAATACATCACCAGAGGAAGAAGCAATCGAACAATTAGATAATCGTTACACTAAAGCTTTTAGTACATCAATAGGTAATAGACTCAATAAGGTACAGAACTTAATGGAAATTGATGCCAGATCTCCAGAAAATGTTGAACAGTTTAGAATGACACCATCTGGGCTGTCAGAAAATATTGACGATAATATTGATTTAACTGTTTTACATAAATCTAGTTACAATGATTTATTATCAAGTAATAGTACAGAATCAACTGCAACTATATCGCTTGGGAAGAGTTCTATGAAACCGATCGATACAGACATAACTGAAAATAGCTATTCCACTTCCTCTGAAACATCTGTTCTTGTATTATCGAGACAAGCCCCTGATGGTGGTAACCCAATAGAAGATATCACAAAACCGCCAACTGCACAGCAAAATGATGAAGCACAAAATTCATCATCAAGTAGTTCTAACTGATATGCAATGATATTATTAAATCAATAATTAATATTACGTAATATACTCATAACCATATTACTTAACTATAATAGCAATGGTTTTCTGATTACGCGCAGTATGTATAAAAACACAATCCTGTGAATTTTTGACTATATTTCTTTAAGCAGACATAAGTACAAGTGAATTGTTTCTTGAATTTTACCTAAATTATCATTTTATACTAGACATATGATTTACAATCGAACCAGTTAATATTTTATACCATTTATCGATACTTTTTATTTACGTCATACAAAATACACGCGCGCGCATATTAATATAAAGGTAATACCTTAATGTCAATTGGTAGTATGCGTTTTGTGTGGACTGATTACCATGTATACGTAATAATAATATCAGTGCAGAAGTATATATTAAATAGAATTTACTACTGATATTAAACTTAAGCAATTATATTATTTAACGTATTTGTTACACACATACATACACCCATACATACGCGCGCGCGCGCACACACATAATCTCACTATTTTTTATATAATGTTTGTATATATCATATTTAAACAAGCATAGATTTATTGTAATGAATTGTATAAATGTTGATTGAAATTGAAACAAGAGAGATCAATATAAGGAATTTAGTATTTGCATTACAATATAGTGAATAATAAATATTGGAATTAAATTTTGTTTTAATAGAAATTATATGGTATGAATCAATAGTATTTACCCTTTTAAGTAAGCAGAAAGGTAAGCTTCTCTTCGTATCCATTGTGCAATTATCTTAGGAGGCATTAACCATATTTTTGCAGTAGTTGCTTCATGTCGATGTATAATTGAACAATCACGTATTTTCTAAAATATTATACATAAAATACATATGTACGCATGTATATTTACGTAGTAATCATAATTCATTGTAATGGATATAGAATCTTACACGGAACAATTTTAATTCTGTTTTTTTATATTGCGTTTGTTTTTCATATGCTGTATTCATGCATAGTCGACATAAAAATATTTCATTCTCTAAATGCCAATAATCGTCATTTAATCGTTTACCACATATATGACAAACATCCATATTTTGACTACAACATTTCAGATCCACGCCAAGTTTCATTTTTACCCTACCACCGAAACTGTGCTCGAATGCAATTCCTTCTATTTTAGTACTAACATACATTCCTGGACTATATTATATTTAATATTAATTTACTCTGTCCAAGCAATTGTTCTAACTATTCTGAAAGTCTTCTTATTATACCCTGGATTTGTATTTGTAACAAATGTCTGCCTTTTGCTGTTGGAATCAAATGGATACTTTGATTTGTACACTTGTTTGGGGAATGTAGAAATATTGTAATCTAATGGTGATGGATAATCATTTTTTAACAGAATTTTTTTGCCAAATCTGGCAATACCGCTGTAACCTTTTGTACTAATACTATGAGAGCAAGGCTGAAAGCAAATATATTATTGAAATCTATGTCGTATTTATTTTAAGGTACTTTTAATGTAAACAATAACTTATACCTTTCTTGTAACTGCTTTAAATGATTGTAAAGTATTGTATGAGTTTGGTGATACATTTGGATGATCTTCTAATGTGTAATATTTCATAAATGGACTCATACCCTTTCTGGAAGTATCACGAGAACATCCAGATCCAAAACATATTTTTTCCTGTTCTTGCTTTTGTATTACATACTTGAATTCTGATCATAAATAAAAATAATTCTTATATAAATTTACATTTAAAAGTAATTACAAAAATAATAAATTGCGATATTGTATTGTCATAGTATTAAACACAACATATTCTTTATTTAATATTTATAGCTTTCTTTCCTATAAAATCAAGTGATACCTTCCATTTTTGTTTAAATTTAAATTCTTTAAACTTCGTTCGAATTACTTATTTTTATTAATAGAATTCTTATTAATAAACGTTTTCATATATTTTGTAAATCCATATACATGCTGTTTGAAATGTTACTTGATCAAATTATTTCATAGATAACTTCAAATTAAATGTATAACGTCGTACTTCATATAACAATAATGAACTATAAATAATCATGTTTGTAACATATATTAACTATCAGCCAATCGCTACATTACAATTCGCCCGTGACATTTAAATAAAGATCTTTAAAATTAAATATATTTAAAATTTGTGAAATAATATATTTTAATCAATATGTTATAATATAATGTGATATAGTTATGTTCGTGATTATTTGCTCATACCGATTAAAATCTCGCGGGTTTCAGCGCCCTCATAACTACGCATGCTTGTATTGTATTCTAGAAATATAAGTTACGCTGTTGTAGTCAAATTCACAACTCTCGTGAGAAATATTATTATTTTTTACTGTATGGGTGTATACTATAAATTTTAGATTTGAATATGCGAATACAGAATATAATTAGAGTTTAACGACACGATCGTAGAGGAAAGACAGAAGAAAGAATGCTTTTAACAACAGGAAACTCGTTGGAAGTTGAGTCGAACAACAGAGTGCGGTAGTCTCAGCAGGTCGATGGTACTGTTCGTACCGACGCGACGGTCCGTTCGTAGCCGTCTTTGCTTCGTGATGCGTCCACCGATGTGTGTTTCTGCACATGGCCGTGCCGCCCAACGGGCTTCTGCATTGTTCCACAGTTTTTCGCACTTTGTCACCGGTAAATGAACCTATTATAGTTAGATTTCCCACTCCCACGATTAAAAACACGCGCTATGCATCTTGAACAATACGAGAAACATATTTTGTGTCGATAACCATAATTAATGAATCAAAAAGTGAATCACGAGCAATATCGCATCAGTGTTTCGTTCGTAACGTAGACTTAGGATCTCTTCCACATTTTTAGGAATATTGTTGTTTATCAAACATTGTTAATTTCTACACAATTTTCTCTTATGAAATATTCTAAATTAATGTATATTTCTTAAAAGTCATTATATTGTAATGTAGTATTCAAGGACGCACAGTGACAAACTGTAATTTCTATGTAGTACTCTGTTTCGCCTAAAATTGTATAATTTGAAAATTTTTCATAGTTTATATGGATAGTTTTTTTATAAAGACGTCGAAGTGATGATTGTAACGAATTTTAACTTTCGATTAGTTGAAAATTTTGCTGAGTGGTATATTTTTTCAGAAATTTGTAACTTTTCTTGAGCGAAATCATGTTTGGTGATGAATCTTTTTACAGACAGTAATAAATTCTAAATGATAATTGTTTAGAATACCTTCTTCGATTGTAAAAATTTTTACTAAACAATGTAATATAGATAAATATATTATTTATTATTTTTGGCAGTACTTATCTTTTGGAAGTCATAGTATGAATAATCTTCTGGGAGTTGTTTTATAATACTGTACAATTATTTAGCAAGAATTCAGTTTACTTAACAATCCATAGAAAAAAGAAATTTTTAACAAAATAATTTTATTTACATTTAGATTTATATGTTTATTTATGTAAAATATTTGCGGACTTAATGATTCTTAAAATATATTCTGATAATATTTATACAGAAATATAAATGTTGTACTTACCTTGTGATATATTTTTTTTTAGGGTTGTATCTATTATTTTTAGAAGAATTGTACAATACATTATATCCACCATGACCACATCATCGGAAGATGTTCTAATGCAAGTAGGACAAGTCCGTTATAAAAAAGGAGATGGCACTTTATATGTCATGAACGAACGAATAGCTTGGATGCTTGATAATAGAGATACTGTATCTGTCAGTCACAAATATGCAGACATTAAATGTAAGAACATCCGTGTAATGACCAAAGTAATGTTTAATAAAAGAAATATCAAAGAAAAATCATATTGCTTTAAACTCACTACATTTTTTTTTTTATGTAATATATATTGTTTGAATTATATATATACTCTGACCTTATATCGTTTACCTGTATTAAACAAAATACATACATATTATTTGGTTTATAATTTTAACTTTTACTTGAACTAATATAATTGATAAAATAACAAAAATGACAATTATGTGTATAAATATTAATTATTCCTTTATACTTTAATGTATATATTATAGTAATTTTCTTTTTAGTGCAAAAGATATCACCAGAGGGAAAGTCAAAAATACAGCTGCAAGTTGTGTTGCACGATGGTTCATCGTCTACATTTCACTTTGTGAACAGAAATGGACAAGAGGCACAAATTAAGGATCGTGATGATGTAAAAGAATTACTTCAACAATTATTACCAAAATTTAAGAGGAAAGTAAACAAAGAATTAGAAGAGAAAAATAGGTGAGATTTTGATATCGCAATAAGTTTTCATTGTGTTCATAGATTACAATAAGCATTATTTATCAGAATGCTCCAGGAAAATCCAGTACTGCTTCAATTATACAGAGATTTAGTTATTACACAAGTTATTTCGTCCGAAGAGTTCTGGTCGCAACATGCTGCAGAATATACTCAAGCTAAAAAGAGTCAGCGTCAAGAAATAGGTGTCAATAGTGCTTTTTTGGTAAGAGTTCTTTACTAGTCTAATATACATTACTATTCATATAAATTAATATTTGAGTATATTATTTCTAGGCTGACATAAAGCCACAAACTGATGGATGTAACGGATTGAAATATAATTTAACTATTGACATAATAGAATGTATATTTAAGACTTACCCAGCAGTAAAAAGAAAACATCAAGAAAATGTGCCTCATAAAATGTCTGAATCCGATTTTTGGACAAAGTTCTTCCAGTCACATTATTTTCATCGAGATCGTATCAATGCAGGGACCAAGGATCTTTTTACCGAATGTGCCAAAATAGATGATCAAGAATTGAAGAAAGATATTCAGTCTGGTATCAATGATCCATTGGTAGACATAACTTCCTTTGAGGATCAAACTTTAGATGAGAATTACGGAAATGGACCTAGCAAATCGGACAAAGTATCAGGAAATATTGTACATCAAAGTATGATAAAGAGATTTAATCAACACAGCATTATGGTTTTAAAAGCCAGCACTGCCAAACAATCTGCGCAACCACAATTAAATGGTTCAACTCCGTCAGCAAGTAAAATTACAACACTCTGTCATCAGTTGGATGAAGAACCAAAGACAAAAAAAGTAAATTTATAATGTTATGTGTGTATGTAAAATAGAGTATTTAGCAATAAAACTTATATATTTTTTCATTTTTAGCTTAGAATACAAGAAAAATTAATTTACGACGATCTTGATAGTAGCTGTGACACAAACACAAATAATAGCGCGCCGTTAAATTTGACGCATGTAGATAGATATTTACATGGTCCTGTACCAGGATATGGTAATACAGAGCCTTCATCTGAAGAGCTTCTTGTGACATTAAATCAATTAAAGAAAGAAGCAACTAGTTGGCTGTCAGGAAACAGTATACCGAGACAATTAGCAACGTCATTAGTTAGTCCAGCTGCAGCAGTTTCAGCTTTAGGAGAATTAACTCCAGGCGGCTCTTTAATGAAAGGTTTTAGAGAAGAAAGTCTTGGCCGTAAGCATGCTTTACTAAAGTTATAAGAGTAATGAAAATTTAAAACAAATATTTAATGTATGCAATATATATATTGTTTAAATTTCATCATAGAATTAATACCAAAGGATTTAGAAAAAGAGTTGCGGAACGTTTATGTGTGTATGTGTGAACTTCTAAGGCACTTTTGGCGCAGTTTTCCACCTACAACTCCACAGCTTGAAGAAAAAGCAATTAGAATGCACGAAGCCTTACACAGATTTCATTCTGCTAAACTTAAACCCTTTGAAGTAAGTTCTATTATGTAAATTCTACATTTATTTATTAATTCGTGTTAAACGTCTGAAGCTTTTCTTTTCTAGGATCGTGTTCAACGAGACTTTTCTGCGGTTAGTCAACATCTAACAAGTCATTTAAATCAATTACTAAACACAGCATATAGAAAGTTCGCAGTTTGGCAACAACGTAAAATGCAAATGAGGTAGCCGTTCAATCACATGTCGTACAAATAAAAAAAAAAACAACGTGAATAAAGCAGAGCAATATTGGCCATCTTATATATATTGCATTTTGTAATGTTACCGTAATTAGGGATTAATAAGGGTGTATTTCACAAAAAACCAAAGCTGAATCGTGTCATGCATCCTGTGCTGCCACATATTGTTTATTTATTCTTACATAATCATGTTTATTATTGTTTAAAAATTTTCATAGATGTGTTATTTCGATTCATTCGCAAGATATACTTCATTGATATTTTCGTAATTTAGATAATAGGATTATTTATTTACTTTTTCTAGATCATTATGTATCATGTTGCTTATCTTCTGTCGATTTATCAATTATATCATGTTAATGTTTCGAATAAATTTGAAGAATTTAAATTCATAGCTATAAAAAGAAATTCATTGCACGTGGAATAAAGTTAATATTTATAAGTTTTCTAAAGAAATAAAAAAAAAAAAAGCAAAAGAATTATGCGTGCGAAATGTTTAGGATTTGTAAAATGCAGCCACTTAGACAAATGTCTGTACAAAAACATTAAAATATTGTATGATATCGAAGTAACTGTGATACACCGTCGCTGTACCACTAAACTTATCAATAGATTTTACCGCTTTATTTAAATATTTTATACGTATAGCAATATTAGAATACTATACAATCTTTTGCTCGTAAAAACATAATCAAAAGTAGAAAAATATTTTGTCTAATACGCAAAATTATTAATTAAATTATGTAACGTGTATGAAACAAAACTCATTATTTTGCTATTCGGAAATTCGCATAAATCTTTCTTGCTAACACACGGTGTTATCAGTATACTTTTCAAGATATCTGCGATATAGTCAACTAAGTGTCTTAATTGTTGAATCCTATTTTTTTTTTATAATATTGGGTAAGGCAATTTGCAACATGAGATTTCATTAACTGCCTGCTCACTTTCCCTATAGTAGCAATAATTTGGCAGTTATTAAGATGGGTGATACCTATTTCAATCAGTAACGAAACGATCATACTCGCGAGTTACGCTACGATTATTATGATAACGATTATAAATATATTCTTACATTATCATTATAATAAATGTTATCATTGTGAATACCAGTATTTAATTAATGATATCCTAATAAATTATGATACATTTTCTTTGTATTGATAAGAAATATAATAACGTTTTTAAAATTGGTTGTTTTTTTATCCATAAACAATAATAAAATAATAGAGGAAAAATGTTTCATATTAAACGTTGTTTTTGATGAAGTGCTTATGATACTATTATGGGTGAGGTGGGGGTGTTATTAATCGAGAAGAAAGATACTTGCCCCTGATCCTCTTGAAAAATCCCGCCTGTTGATCCCTTTCTCTGTTTCACGATCGGTAGATGGCGCAGTCTATTGTTGATTCGATTCAAAATGGCGGCCTATAATGGATACTGTGAGTTAACATTGTTTGATTCCCCGCGATAAATGAGCTTATGCGACGTTAACTCGCCGCAGTGTGTGCGTGAGTACCGGGTCTAGGGTGTACCCGGAATGTACACTTTTCTTCGGATGGTCGAATCATGTGAGCGTAACCACGGTGCCAGCCGATCGTGTGTCGTGCGCTGGCGAAGTTTGTGTAGCCATATTTATTGTGTTATTCGGCGAGACGTTATATCTTGTTGTACACCGGCAAATGTAATCGGTATCGTAACATATGGCTCTTTATTGCCGAAGGTAGAATTATCATTTCAACATTTGTTGTTGGTAATAAATGTGGCGATTTTGTTACCTCTGATAAGAACCGATTATGCATGTACGAAACATCTAAGGACCCTATTACAATAGGACATGAAAAGACGCTACACTGGGTTCTCTTCGTTTCTTAAAAAACGGCGCACATCAGTTATTAATTTCTTTTTATATAAACTGCCGTTTCTACAATTTTCGAACGGTACAAGTCGTGCAATACATCGAGGAACGCTGGTTCCATTGCTACCCTTGATAGTACACATTGTGTTGTTATGGTACATTAAGGATTTTACGAAAAACGTGAGTCCTTTTTATTTGTACATTGTATATATGTTTATTCGTTATCGTGAGTTTGTTTTATCGATTTATAATTTTGTGATTGCAAAAGTAATATAATAAATGAAATAAAATGTGACAATATGTATACCATTGTTGTGATTCACACTTTGACATTCTGCTCACCAAATGACATCTAAAGGATTCTATGTATATGATTTCATAAAATTTTTTCGTAATTGTCACGGTGATTTACTTGCAAATAATTGTATCGAGACACATTGTATTAAGAAAAATTATTTATAAGAGATAAAGGAATTTGAATTGACTTTTTAAATTTACGAATAATTGTTTATATATTAATTTCGCTTAATTTGGTATAAATTATAACTAAATATTATAATTTGTGTTTTATAACTTTTATAATGTTCATCTTTAAATCGTATATAAGAATAATCTAATTTTTCAGAATAAAATGGAGGAGCTGTTGTATCATATTGTCAGCCCTAATTATTGGATGAAAGTTCATAGACTATGTATACAGTGAAAGAGTTTTTAGTATAGTTTTTTACTCATACACAAGAAATGGACGTACAAAAGTTTTGACAAAAGGTTATGTTATGAATATCACAAAGTATATGTGTAACATTTTTACGCACGAAAGCCTGCTATACGTGGACCAAGCAGGCTAGGCACTACCGTGCCAAGCTTGGGTAATGGATCCCGTTGGTCCATGGTATGCATCGTATAATCGTTTCGCCACAGGTAGTGCAACCAGTACATTTCAATCTACGACTTCAAGCACAAGCAGTGACTTTGTATCTCATCACTTAGCAACAGCTGCTACTCAACCAGTCCCATCGACAACGTCCCAGTTACTTTTACAAGCAGCACATACAACAGCAACTCTGGCGGGTCAACCATCCCCGTTTAACCCAGGGGGGTTCCTATCTCCACCCCCTGTGGGATATGATGTCTTTTCACCTCTGTTTCATCATCCTAATTCTAAACAGGCACATTATGTTACACAACATAGACAAGCTCTTGCTCAAGCACAAGCAGTTTCAGTAGGAAAACAGAATACTACGACAGAATCTGATATCCCTGTACTAAGAGAGAACTATAGTTCAGCGCACCAACCAACGTTTTTCGAACATCAAGGTGCAGCTACATCGCCCACATCTACATTGGCTTGGACCCATCAAAACAATGCTCAGTTACCAAGTCCATTTGGTATTTTGCCACATGAAAGTGTTGTTCCATCATCTCCAGGACCGTCGTCTACCACAAAACCAACTAGTGGTGTTTATGAAAATACGTTTAATTCTCATTTTGCTACAACACAAACTATAAATAATATAAATTCTCAGCTTCCTGCACCTTCTGTCTCTGCTGCTGAATTTAAATCGACCAGTTACTCGGATAGTAAAAAAGCAGTAAGTGTTAGACCACAGTCACCGACAGTAAGTGTTAAATCAGTGGTTTCTACGTCTCAAGCAAATAACAATCAAACATTTTTTCAACAAGTACCTACTACCTTTAGTTCTGAAACATTAGCAAATAATTATTCTGCTGGTAATGGAAATCAAACTTCTAATGGGAAGGTGCAGCCTTCTCTTCAGCATCAACAATCGTGCATTGTTTCGACTCCAAATAATACAGCTGGCAAAGAGTATAGAATTCCTCAACCATCTGCTAGATCAGTTGCATCCACGACTATATTTTTAAATACCTCTGTCAGATCTGTGTCTTCGCAAGTTCAAGATAAACAGTCGACGCGAAATAGTAATTTTGCTTCACCGTCAAATAAAGCGACTCCTGCATCTCAACAAAGTATTCAGACTAAAGCGCAGACAAAGATATATCCAGAATTAAATACACACAGTGAACATAGACGAAACGAACAACCATCTCAAGATAATACACAATCATCCCCTATCAGTTTTTCTATTATGGATTCGCGAAATTTGAACTATACAACTGGAAATAGTACAAATTGTACAAATACCAGTGGGAAACTTGGTAATCAAAGAACTCCAACGAACAATAACTTACAGACCCATCCTCAGCAGCCCCAACAACAACAGCAGCAACAACAGTTTCATGTTTTAAGTCAACAGCAGCAGCAACAGCAGCAACAACAACAGACATCTTATAGACATTACTTAGCAGGATCTGATTCAGAATATCATCATCCAGGGAGATCAAAATCTGCAACCTCAACGGATTCTGTTTACTCCTCTAATAATTCCACTCAAAATGGACCTGATTGTAATGTTGTTGTACCACGAAGACCAAGCCCATTACAAGCACATTCGCAAGCAAGTCCATTAGGGCATGTTCCAAGTCCTGCTTACCCTATGTATAATAGTCCAATGGCCACAATATCATCTCCTTCGCCATTACAACAACATGGCGAGAATAATGGAAATCAATGTACAGGTGGACCACCATATAAGGGAGCTGTACAACAAGTTACACCTCCGTCGCCACTAGATGTTACTGTGCCGCGACCGGCATCGCAAGGACAAGTTGTATATTCGTCGGTTATCACGAGAGCTTTAGGTACTACTGAAAATAAAACTACGTACAATACAGATACTAAAAATTATGACAGACAACAACAAGAGTTTTCACAAACACCGAAACAAGTGTGTTGGGAAAACGATAATCGGCAATCAAACACTAATAGAAAATTTTCTGTTGCTTTATATACTGGTGGAAATGCCGAAATAAATCCTCAGACTTTGCCAGTACAACAACAAGTACAACGAGTGATAAATGTTTCAGATAGACAACAAACATATTTTGAATCTAACCAGGTAACTCTACAGGATCTAAGCAGCTGTAGAGGAGACCCTATGAGTATAGTAAAGAATTTGCAGACATTGCAACAAGGTTCTTGTCAAGTACAACAACAAACTACTGTTTCTGTTGTTCCAACCGAACAACAAAAACAAGCAGAAGAACGTCGTAAAGTAGACACTGCCAATAAAAAAAGGAAAAGTTTAGAAAAGAGCGGGCACAATTCTTTGAATGAAATAAGCGGAACAACAACAGTGACAGAATATTTAAGTAGAATACCACCACCTGCCCATCATAATACGAATCAACAACAACAGAATGGTTATTTTGATTTTGAAAGATGGAATTTACCTCCTCCGCCTGCGAAAATGTTTCCTAGTACATCAGGTGCTTTTAGTTCACAATCAACTTTACACCATTCGAGTAACTTCGTTGGTACACCAGCACATCAGCATCAGTCTCTGATGGTTCCTCATCATCATGCACCACCTCCTATACCATATTTTCCTGCTTTTCATATCCCTCCAAGTCATCATCACCCACACGAATTTCAGTCTTCCGTTGAAATTACGCCCATTGGTTTCGGTGAAAATACAGCAAGTCAAAATGCAAATTATAATCAAGAAGTCAGAGACGATCAGCCTAAAGTAATTGTTCCTAATATTGAAGAGGAATTAGGTTTTTTACAACAAAATCAACAACCTATTCAAACTGTGAGCTCGCTACATAAAGACTTCAAACAACCCAGTAAAGATCCTAATTCAGGATTTATGACAAGTTATTTAAAATTCTTACAAGGTGAAAGGGAACCTTCACCTCCACCTGCAGTTCGTGGTGGTAGAAAAGCAACATGGAGTAGGTCGAAACCTTATATTCCTGTAGAACCTAATAAACCAGTTGAAAGTTCTACGAATGGAGAAACAGTAAAAACACAATCAGAAAAACCACCAGCACCTAAAGAAACGCCAGTAATCGATTATGCGAATGATCCTCGATATTTTCCATTACCGAAGGAGCGGAAAAAACATAATTTTGATTCAAGCGATGATGGTTTTACTAGTGACGATGACTTTCTATTTCCTCCTAAGAAACCTGAGAAAAAAGTAACAAATATAAGTGCATCTAATACAATAGAAATAGTAACTACAAAACCAGAAGGAAAATCGAAAAAGGGACGAGCAAATAAACTTGGAGGATTAACAGATAGGAAAAGAAGAGCAGCGAAAACAGAAGGAACGACGCTTGCGATATCTGGAAAAGCTTCTAAGAAGCACGAAGAAGGTGATTAGAATTCATAAGATACATATATTATAATATAATATTACACATTGTAATTAAATATTTTTCTAACAGTAGATCCGTTACTTCTACCTCCAAGACGAGAAACATCCAGAAGAAAAGCAAAGGAAAAAACTTCAGTGAAACAGTTTTTAGATCGGCAACAGGGTATAGATTACTTTGATAATGACGAAGAGCAAGGTGATTCCGATTCTGATCCTGCTTGGACGCCCGCTGTAAAATTAGTCGGAGACGAGGAAGAAAAAAAGAAAAAACGGGGAAGACCCGTTATAACCAAAAAGAGCAGAAAAGCTTTAGAGGAAGATGATCACTCTCTTGGTGACGTCGTTTCGAAGAAATCTAGTAGAAGAAAGTATGAAACGCACTCGAAAACCGGAGGTGTCACTGGAAAGATGTCCTGCAAAATAGATGAAAAACTTTTAGCATCTATCAGTGATGAAGATATTGATATTTCGCCATTTAAGGTACGCATTTTAATGTTGTGTTATTCGTCTTTATTACATGGATATGTAAAAATGTATATTTATGTATCGCATGCAGCGCTCTGTGGATATTTCAGAAGATGCGGTAATGTTTTTTTTACATCAATATCAAAGCCATTTAATGAAATTTCGATAACGTTTAAATAAAAACTTATTAAATAGTCACTTGTTTCCAAATGAATTTATTCTTAATATAATTTCAAGCTTGTATATTTTTCAGTCTGGAGAATTTGTTGTAATCAAGACAGATTTAAATGAAGAATATCCTGCACTTTGGAGAATAGATGGTAAAACATTACTGCAAAAGTATGAGCCATTCAAATCCAATGGAAAGACTTTGTACAGAAACATATCTACGGTAAGAAATAGATTATTTTTTATGAAGTTTTCACGTACATATATGATTGTTTTTATAGTATTCGGGTTGGGCACCGCAAAATCGTCATATATATCAACAAGTTCCGGTAAAGTTTTGGCAACAAGGCAAGACGGAAACTGTGGTAGAATTCTTGAGAAATGAGATGATCATTGATGATAGGTAGATTCCGAATTAAAGTATATGATAATTAAATAAATTTCAGAAAACATCTCACATTCTTTTTGTTTTTACTTTTTAGCGAATATATCGATAAATCCATGAAAGAAACTGAAAAGTATCAAGATAATTTTGAAGTATACATACAAACGTTGATCTCACAAGCTTTGGATTCGAATTTCCTTACAGAAATATTTCAAGAACAAGGTATGATTACCATTTTCTACATACGTAAGAAATATAATTTTCAATGATAAAGCGCTTCTCTTTTTCATTCTACACAGACGAGTATTTTCTATCGAACGTTAAGACCGTCGATGAAGTAACAGAAGAGCGAAAATGTCGTCTTCTGTCGACAACGAAATGGCAATTAAACGTTATAAATGCAATATCAACGTGGCCATGCCTTAACGTTCTCAAAGATTTACCCTCTGCTGAGTACAAAGGAAAATCTTGCGCCGGTTGCCAACAGTTCAAAATTCATGCCAGAGTTTTATTATATGGGCAACCATATAATGCAACTACATTAGAAGGTTCTCCGCCTGACCCAGGAATACCTCAAGAAAAGGTATTATTTAAATAACGTTTTATCTATATACTGTGTTTTTATTATTATTACATGGCAGAATGTTTCTATGATCGAATTTACCACTATGATTTTTTAGGATTTTTTATTATGTCGAGTATGTCAGGCAAAGGTAGCTCTGTACAATAAAGTAGCGCATCAAAAATATTTGATGTTTTTGGAGTGTGCAAGAAGAGTAGCAGATAAAAGAGTAGCAGATCCCCATAAAGATACTACGATTATATTAAATGAATTATTAGCGGATGAAACATGGTTAAATCAGGTAAGTAATAAATGTATTTTATAGGCATAACAAGTACGTAACAAATATACAATGTTTCAGCTATTTAAAGAAGTTAGAGCTATCTGGGCAGAGATAGATAATTTGGAACAACAAGCGAAAATAAAGGCAAATCCAAAATCTACTTTATCCTCTTCAGTGTATAATGTGGGAGAAACGGCGGAAAACGTTTCAACAACGCAAACAACTGAAATGACTGCTAATTCTTCCGATTCACAGGTGCCTACACAAAAAACTGAAGACAATTCTGAAACAGTGTCTTGCAATGTGCAAATGAGCAGTATACCATCTTAGTGGTGCTATGATAATCATTGGTTCTGTTTAATCGTCATGTCACAAAACCGTTAGGAGTTTAGTGATATATCGATTTTATAAATGTAAACTTAACACCAGTCTCGAGACCAAACAATTGGATATTGTATTTTGAGAATGGTAAATATTTAATTCAAGTTAATACTACACGCTGTGACGAATGGTGAAATTAAATATTAATGTGTAATCAAGAAACTATGGTTATAGTGATAGTGATAAGAAGTAGTAAACAGCGGGGTAAGTAAGAAAAGGATTTGCGCATAAATACCATATGTAAAATACATAACAGACATATGTAAAATATTCATCCCCGCGTAAGAATTAGAAATGAGCCCAAACTTTGCCATTGTAGTAGCATAATAATAGAGATATACAGATATATGTGTGAATATAGACGTTTAGTTCTAGCATTTGTATCGTGATAATCTTATATAGTATCGAGGTCTGAAGTGTTAAGATCTGAAAAAAAAATACGAAAGACAAATGATTTTAGGATAAAACATACAAAGTGATATGGCGTATAGAACGCTGTGACCTTCTGTAATATATTTACGTACATCACACTGTTTTGCAACCATGGAGGTCTATTCTCTGTATAAAAACAGAAACTGTTATGCTGTTCGTTCCTCTAATTGTAATTTTTAAATTCATTGTGCATTTTTTTTACAAAATAACTTATCCGTAATTTTTTTAAATGATTTAACATACGTAAATGATATTTCATCTTCATGTTACTTTGTATATAAACAGATCATACAACTATAAAATTGATGTGTATAAAACACGGTAAAGATATTAAGTGGTGATTTCAAAATAACACTCTTTGAACAAAATGCTTTATACTAAAGGCAATATTTTGAAAATATGCATTGTTCTTTTATTGAAACACTTTAGACATCTTGTAGAACATTTGTACATAAAGGTACTTTTAATAAGATTAGGAATATTTCCTTCTGTAAACACCTTCGGTTCATGTCTCGACACACAATCTTGTCAACTGTATGCATTATTTCTTCCGATTGCAGTACCTTAACAATTCAAACTGTTAACTACTTTTCGAATTCTTCCATGTTAAAATTACTTTTAACGTGCAAAGCCTGCATTCTCATTTTACATCGTTTTAAATCATTTATATCGATCAAAAATATAAAGTATGAGTGGATATTGCATTAAGAAATATTTCTATTTTCATAAAAATCCTGATAATATCAGCGATTAAAATCTTTAATTTTATTTTGCATTTTATTCAATTTATATCATACGTGTTATTAAAAATCCTATATAATAATCAATGAAAGAAAACTATTGACAAATATATGTTCGATTAAAGTTTGAATTATGTTTTTATTTAAAGACACGTAAAACCTGTTTAATAAAATTTCCATTATTTCTAATGCATTCTCGATCTACTCGATAGTCGCAATGTTAAAATGATGTAAGGTTAAAAATGAATTCTAATTCGCCATAAACAATTTGAAAACTCTAAAAGTTTGAATATATTTTATCGCTAAGAATGTTTCCATGAATGCTTTCCTTCCAATAGGTAATACCTAACGATATAGTAATATTCACTAACAATTTTACTGTACATTATATACTATACTTCAAATCATATTAATATTATTATGTTAAAATAATTATTATCATCTTCATTATGACTATTATTATCATTGTTTAAGTCGTAAATCGTTTAAGTTTTTGATCTGTTTTTAGATTTGTTAAGAAAAAGATATTCTCTAAAGACGAGAGCGGTGATATGCGTGTGTGGCGCGAATGTATTTTTCGAAGACGATATATCAAATTATATTTGTAAATTGTAAAAATATAATAGTAAGGACAGGTGACTGCTACGACAAAGCCCACAGGGCTTTAGACATCTTTCATAGCCTATAATGAATTGAAATTATTGTATTAGTGATTACTATCGGATTTACCGAGTTGTATAATAAATTATTGGAGGAAACTATTAACTTGAAACCTAAAAATGCGGGCATTTGGATACTGACGCAGTAACAATAAAGGAAAGTATGCAGTTATAAAAGATTTTCTTTCTAGTAAATGTGCCATGCAATATTTCGTATCGATACAAAGTTGGTGCTTTTATACATATATCAATTCATCGTCTGGATCCTTTAACGAAATTATAAAATTTCTGTCCATTTTTCATTGGATAGCCATCATTACTTTCTCAGTCATTTGTTTCGATAGATGTGACGAAATGTTACGAGTTGAAGTATTATATATAGCACTAGCTTACAGTAAAATCGTTATTGTCATAATTGTAGAAATTAATATTACCATTACATTGTATTTACTTTGAAAATAGAAAAGCGTACCTTTATCTGTTTAATTATAATTTTCTTATTGCTTTCTTGGACATGTTGATGATCGGGTATAAAAATTTTTGAACGATACCGAGAAGTTACAGTATTTTTATTATTACGATTTAAAAAAAAAAAAAAGACACGATCAAAGTATACATATTATATTATAGCGGAATATTACTCTCATAACTTATGTTTTTATGAATCTTTTTCAATAAAATTAAAAATTTTATAAAACTGCTATAGTATTGCTGCTTTATCTGTTTTTAATGTTATTTTAACATATATCGCAATTATAAGTTTATGGTGGCATTTGTAACTATGAAAAGATATGTAATAATTTAGAATGTAACACGGACGAATTCGTTTATTTTTTTAATAACAAAAAGATTAAAATGTATTTAAAAAATTTCAATTCTTGCAAAGTAATCCGTACGATACAAGAATTCGAATTTTTTTATATTTTAATACATAGCATCAACGACTTAAAGATTTATAATATTGTCGTAATTTGTATATTAAGAAAAGGGTTCCGATGAAACATTGATACGTCACTGACATCGAGGTTAGGTACCACATTGGACTGGGCATGCGCCGAACTTAACCACTTCCCCTTGCCCCTGTATCCCGCGACTTCGTTCTTATTCTGATTTCCAGTTTGCGTTTGTTGCCCGTGAAGGATGCCTTCTGCCAACCCTAAACTAGAGAAACAGGCCTCTACGGAGACCGTAGAACCCATACGCCAGGCGATAATCGTTATCGAACATAAGATACGGAATCTTGAAAAGCGTAAGGTGAGTGTTCGAATGATACATACGCAAATAAGTGTGAGAAAACTATCTGTCAGTTAGATGGCTTTCACGGTGTGATCCGCCATGATTGGATACGCCATGTGCTCACGCTTGAGAATTCGTAGGTATCTAATGATTATAGAAAGATCAACTAACTCTTATTGTGATACTTTGTTATTGTACTCTTCTCGTTGAAACTGATTCATATCAACATTGTAGTTCTTTGAACGTTCAAACATCTAAGTTTCCTAGTGTGAACCGCGTGTCATGGCGGTATCTCCTAAAGATGTGCACAAAACTTTACGTGACACGCTTTCAGGCTCCTGCCGGTAAACGAGATTGTGTAATAGTTACCTTTCTTTCGACAATACGTTAACAATTTAATTAAAAAATACGCGTATACAAATTGTACTCTAATACACTGGTAGGTAGTTATTTGCCTGTCCTCATTATTGGAATTTGCGCGAATATAGTTTTCTAAACTCTGATAGTACATTAATAAATCGTGTTGTGTATTGTTTTTCAATAGAAATAATTGCATACAAGTTTTTGTATATAAAGTTTGTTGAAAGTTGCAGCGAGACAGCTATCTTTTATGTTGCTCTAATATTCTTATTTTGTAATATAGATATGTACACATAAAATTACACGTATATTCACATGAATTATGTATATACGTGTTATATTTTTGTAACATACAAGTTAATCTTATTGTTTGTCTTATATATCTTTTCAAAATACATGTATTTTATTAATAATGTATATTGTATTTAGTCAAAATTAGAGTCATACAGAGATCAACAGAAAAATGGTGGAGAACTAAATGCAGATCAAAAGATAGCAGTGGCCAAATATGATGAAGTGTTACAAACATTGGATATTACACGGGAATTAAATAAACAAATTGCTGCTATTGCACACGATGCGTTTAAACAACAGAAAAAATTGGCTAGAAAAGAAGCTATTGAAAGAATGCAACAAGATATTGCAAAAGTAAATTAAAGAGTCTATCCTTGTAATTTTAACATCATAATACAAGTAACCGTGTATCAAGGTTTGTCAAACATGCATGTTTATATAGGTGAGAGAGGTTCTTCTTATTCAAGATGCGCTCATGAACTTGGGAACAGAATGTGTTAGAGAAGACTTTCTTGCTGGAAAAAATGGTGCTGTGAAATTATCAAAAGAAGATTTGAAGTACTTGGACAGTCTATATAATGAAGTACTGATGAAACATCAACGCGAAGAAGGTGAACCACCATTTCTTGAGCAAATACAAAAAGTAGCAGAACATTATGTGGCCATTGTCGATGGAAAGCAAAGAGAGGTTGTTGGTACAACGTACAGCAAATTAAAAGAAATTATCTCTTCTATTAACCAGTGTGGCTATTTCGATCAAGTTCGTGAAACCGAAGCTGCAGTAGAAGAAGTAAGTTGTAGTGTTTACATCATAAGTTATTTTATAAATTAAAAGTTATTTTGTTAAATTTTTCTTTACAGGTTACAGAAGCAGTTACAGAGACACAAATATCAGATACTCCCATACCGGAACAAGTCAATGAAGAATATAATAGTAATGACAGACACATTCCACCAGAGTCTATGATTCCTATTCCAAATTTTCCAGTGCAAGTTGCTCCTATCCCTGTTGTTTCTGGCACTGCTCCGGTTACTGGTCCTATTCCCGTAGTAGCACAACCCATTCCACCGCATCCGGCTGCGCCAGTTGAAACATCTTACTACACAACTGCTCCGGGATTCGTTCCTCCGCCACAGCCACAACAACCACAGCAATCTCAACCTCAGCAACAGCCACCACCGGCTCCTAGAATTAATGATGTTATAGGTACACCGAATTTCTTTTTTCTGCAAGAATCGGAGCTCGATTCACCAGATGTCACGTCACAGACACCTATTGTTTCACACATTCCTGCTGCTGTAAATGCACCTATTCCTTCACAAACATTTACAAATCAAAACTTTGCAAATGCACCAGTAGTAGCACAACAGGTGATATATCAACATCAACCACCACAGGACATGTCCCACATTCCTGGATTTGCTAATCCTAATCCACCTCCACCTATTCCAATGCCACCATCTCACCAACAACCAAATATACAATATAGCCCACAACATCCTGCAAACTTTCAACAGCAACCGCAACAACAAGCTCCTACGCAACAAGCACAAACACAGAATTTTGAACATCAACAAGAAAATCAACAACCACCTGCGGAGGTAAACTCAATTTGATATTCAATGTGCATTAATTTGCTATTTTTATAATAATTATAATATTGTATTGTCCTGTAGGAAAAAATTGAAGAAAATCAAGAAGAAACAACAGCACCAGAAACAGAATTGGAACAACCAAACGAATCTATAGATTGGTGTCAGATGACTGAGTCTAACGATTGGAATCAAGCAGATCAATCACAACAACCTATTCAAGATACGCAACAACCGCAGCAACAAACGTCTCAACAAGCTTGGGGTGACCAACAGCGTGGTGGATATAAGGGAAAGGGTGGAAGGAGAGGTAATTCTAATGGGTACAATGGAAAGGGCCGGGGCGGTGGTTATCAACAAAATGGACGAGTTGGGCAAGGTGAACAATATAAACAAAATATGTTATTAATTTTTCAAGGCTATGTATTTCATTCAAATATAAATTTTCTTTTTAGGAACATATTATCGTAATGATAGCAATTATCAAAATGGGTATCAACAACGTTCCTGGGGAAATAATGACGGAAACAGTGGTTATAACTCTGGTTATAAGAGGGGCGGTGGTGGACAGAGAGGAGTTCCACGAGGTGAGCGTGGCATGGACAGAGGTAGTCGAGGACAGTTTCGTGGCCAAAGGGGAGGAAACCGTGGCGGTTATATGCCCCGTGGTAAACCTCACACGCCACAGTAATAAAAATACGATAGAGCAATGCACAGTGAAACATTATAATAATGCTGTAAGATCATAATTCAATTGTCTATTTATGAATGAACCTAAGTCGTATTTTTAGCACGAGTAAAACTTGGGCAAAGTGAATTTTGCACACAACAAGTCGTGTACGCGAATTTTAATACATAAAATAGCAACTTTAACATTTAAGATTGTTGTTCGATGGTTTTGTCAAATATACAAAAGAACGTAAACGACTAATTAATTGTGTCTTTATGTGCATTACAATAAGAAGAAGAAAAAAAAATGCTGATGTTGCGTGGTTTTATACCTGAAGATATTGCATTTAATCGTTTTAAAAACGATAGAAAAGTAATAAATTGATACAAAAAGACACTTTTGATGTACTTTTTTTACGGCTTAGGATATTTCTTAAATAAGACATTGAATAACCAAAATTTTGCATTTGAATTTGGTATCTGCGATTATCAGGGAAAAGATCCTATTAATATTAACGAAATAATTATGCATTGTGATATAAGAAGAGATCAACCAAATTCAGAAGTGTGAACCCACCATGCAAGTATTATTGTGTTGTGACAGAAGGCAGTTTTCACAGGGCAACAACAGCTGATCAACAAAGATTAGAAATATAATTTTATTATAAAAAAAATACAAAAAAAAAATGAGAACTCATACAAGCATTTCACGCAAAGACACAAGGATGTATTTAAAGAATAACATTAAAATGACTACACGAAATAGATGATCTGCACGACCATCTCTTTGTCTTGCGGCGTATCGTTCTAGAGAATTTTTTATGATACCAGAAAAAAGAGGATACAGTGAGCAATGCCTTCTAGCGCTATATATCTTCTTAACTTCATATTCCATTTTCGGTCTATGAATTTGCGAAGCATTTAGAAAGTTAAAAGTTATCGAGATTTAGCAGTTGGAAGAGATGAAAATGCGTGATACGCAAATCTCTAAAAACGTTCTTTGTGAAAGACGTTCTATGTTTACTACGATTTATGTCGCTCCCTCTTCTGTTTTTTCTGTGTGATTCCAAAATTCTTTACGGTCGCTCACGCAGATTGTCAAGTAAAAGAGATTGCAGTGCAATGTCTAGTTTATGAAGCAACATTACCTGATTTTTTTTATCGCAAAATATATATGATTATTTTTAAACGAAAAGAAGCGATAGTGCGGAGCTTTAGCATGTAAGTTGAGTGTACAATTACTGACTAGAGCCAGAGAAGGCGTGTTTGACTACGCCACTGATAAAAAGCCACGTTCACACCGCCAAACACGTGATAAGGAGTACCGTATTGTATTTCGTTTGTACATTTGTGTTTAATCACCTCCATCTACAGTTATGTTCAAATATCCTATGAATACCTATGTATCTTCCAAATAAAGATCTAATTCAACCCTGCTAACTAGCCTATCTATCGTACTCATTGTCAACACGAGGAAACAACGATTCACTCTTCAGCTTGTTCTCAAATAAAAAAAATGGAATAAAGTGTTTGATTAATCGTATTTGAATGATAGTCCCTATTTTTTTCATTGTACTTTTATATCTATTTATATTATTTGCCTGTGGTATAAATGCGTGGTAATTTAGTATATAGGTAAACTGATTGTTTAACCCTTTCGATACGAGATAAGCAGTACATCGATATATTTATCAATCGCTACGAGCGGTTTATCCGTATCAAAAGAGTTAAGCTTCGCGTTTTTATGTCTCAACAGTTTTGCAATTGAAACAAATTTTATTCGTGAATAATGAATGAAAATTTTAGATTCATTCGCCTCAATGAAACTAAAATGTTCAATTCTGTTATTCAGACTTTAGCCGCTGTGTTTTGTATACTGTGTGCAATCCTGAGGTAGATTATTTGAAACGAGTTACACCGCGATCTTTAATAACTTACTGGTGTGTTAAATGTTACAATATCCAAAATGGAAAATCCTTATTTTGTAAAGAATGTTTTAAAGAATAGAAACATATCTTTTTCGGTTTTTCAGAATAAAAACCGCAATTCGAAATTCATCGTGTAATACTATGTATACATGATACTACAGCATCCTTGACCTACCCATTCATAAAGACCCGGTATGTACACACGGGAGTCTGTTAAAGCATTAAGTCTTCTGATTGGTGGAATACGGTGTTTCCACTATCGTTCTACCAATCGGAAGATTTTACGCTGTATGCCAGGTTCAGTGTTCCACTGTCTGTACATCGGTTTGCACGCGTGTTTCACCCGGCTGGCAACACAAACGATAAGTACCTCAATTGATTACAGTAGTCAAATATTGTTTCGATTCGAATTGAACGTAATTTTAAAACTTGTTAGTGTTTTTATTCATGAATTAATGTATACACAGTTAACGCGAGGAACGTGCTATAAAACTTCTAACGAAATATATATTTTACTGCACATTTAACAGTAATTAATTATATCTTAAAAGTAATAAGAAAATCGTAATAACGATCATTGTAATGAAATAAAGGTAAAACACAGTTTGTATTTTTTGGTATTCGGATTTATTTACATTGAGTCAGTAAATATGTTTACATATCGTAATTGCAATTCCAAAGTATATTACAGAATAATTTTTAAATACGTATAGTAGTATTACTATTAGGTTAAGAATATCGTATTTGTAAAATATATGCACGTATTTTGTCAGTGTGTGAGAAAGTATTTCGTTGTAATTTTATTTAATTTATTTGTTATATTAGAACAATGATTGAAACTGCTTGTGATCCTTCGATTGAAAGACATTTTAAAGGCCATGACAATATTATTACAAGTTTATGTTTTCATCCTGAAACCACTCAACTCGTATCGAGCAGTTTGGATAAAACTTTAATAATATGGAATCTTAAGGAGTCTGTAAGGGCTTACAGATTTTTAGGACATAAAGATGCTATTAATGATGTTACCTATGCTCCATCGGGAGAAGTCATAGCTAGTGTATCTAAAGATAGGTCTGTCAGAATTTGGGTCCCTAAAGTAACAGGTCAATGTTTAGAGTTCAAAGCGCATTCAGGGGCTATTAGATCAGTAGAATTTAGTCCAGATGGAGAGAAGGTATTACTATTTTAAATGACAATAAAGTCGATCGTTTATTAATTTCATATTTGCAAATTATTTTAATTTATGTATACATTGATATATAGTTACTTACTGCATCGGACGATAAAAGCATTAAATTATGGACTGTGTGTCAAAGAAAATTTTTGATGTCTTTAGTAAGTCACACAAGTTGGGTCAGATGTGCTAGATTTTCTTCGGATGGTAGACTTATAGTCTCCTGTAGCGACGATAAAACAATAAAATTGTGGGATTTTACTAGCGGACAATGTATTAAAACTTTTAACGATGTAAAAGGTATAAAATGTGGTTTTATTTTAAGTCTTTTTGGATTTTCACAAAAATAATACTCTAGAAACTGACATGCAAATTGAATAATTTTATTAGCTTATAACACATATGTGGAATTTCATCCAAGCGGCTCTGTTATTGGATCTGCAAATATGACTGGTAGTATTAAATTGTTTGATTTGCGTTCTTCTTCTTTATATCAACATTATGCAACTCATAAAGGTCCCGTGAACATGGTCAAATTTCATCCTAAAGGGAACTTCATGTTAACTGCTTCTGATGATTCCACAATGAAGGTAGATTATATTATATTATATATTTATGTATTTTATACATTTATCTATATCGGATGTGTTCAAAATTCTAAAACAGGTTTTAGATTTATTAGAGGGTCGTCCAATTTATACACTTAAGGGGCACGCAAATGGTACAAGTGTAACATCAATAACATTCTCTTCTAATGGGGAATTTTTTGCTTCTGGTGGAGCAGATCGTCAATTATTAATGTGGAAAACTAATTTTGATAAAGATGATATTGATCGTAAAATTCCCTGTCAATCACTTTCATCCACTAAAAAATTAATATCCAATATTAAAGATGAAAAATTACATAAAAGTAATGATGTTTTGGAACAGGAAGAAGAAGAAGAAGAAGAAGAAGAAGAAGAAGTAGTAGTAACTATTATATGATTTTATATATCAATATAGAATCTTTATACAATTTATTTGACACACAATTTACACAATGTTTTATTATTTTAGCTATTAAATACAAAATTTGATAAACTGAATTTACAAAATACTAGAAGTCATTGTAAAGTACCTGATTTTGAAGACTTGAAAGAGAATGTAGAACAAAAAATAATTAATTTAAAAGATAAAAAACCCACTAAGCAAGATCGTACAGCAAACGAATTACACGTATCCAAAAACATTTCCGATCCACAGTTTTCTAGACATTCAAGCAATATAGTGGATGCACTTAATGAACAAGTACAGTCGCTACGCGATGTTGTTGCTGTATTAGAACAACGCTTAACAGTGTTAGAAGAAGAATTAAGGAAATAAGTAAAATATATTTTATTTATGAAGTTGACTGGTTATTTTATTTATATACATACATATATATTTTTGAAATACATGTTTAAAACGGAGTTCATGTTTCTCTGAAATTCATTTGTGTCTTTTACATGATTCGAAACTTATTTTATTAGCAAGTCTTTGTTTAATGATTTTTTACAAATAAAATCATTAATTCTCCAAAAATAGTTATTAGGTCTGTATCTATGTTTATTTTTTTACTCCTAAGTATTGGCACTGCTTTCCAGTTTTCTTAATAACTTGTAATACCTCGTCAGAAGGAAGTATAGATGTTACGGATACCTTTTTCCCTTCCAAATCAATTTTAATGTCAGTAACGCCTAGAAATGAATTTCAGTAAAATTACAACATATGTATCTACTTTCATGGACATGTTTTCAAGACATTGTAAGTCTTATAAATTTTAAATATCATATTTAAATAACTGGAATTAAAATACACAATTTTATTTAAAATTGAAACAAAACGTAAGCTTAGTTATTAAATCAAAGTTGTGAAAATGTCTTGTATATATATAACATTGATCAGTTACCTTCCTTTTTATTAAGTACATTTGTTACGGCATTAGCGCATCCGTCGCACGTCATTTCTACATTGAATTCGTATACCTTAAATTTATATTATTTAGTTCATTTTTTATTCTCGCAATGAATTATAAAAAGCTTTATTACCTGAGATGCCATGCCAATAATCGTGTGTACTTGTCGAATGACGTGGCGCCTTGCAACTGTTGTACATAACAAGTACAACACAGTATTTATAATTGTACCAGATATAACTCTTATCTAATTTTTAAAACGATAATGCACAATTATTCTAATACTGATCGAGCATTCTTGAATTTACTTGTTTCTAGTTATATATTTATAAATATCGCTGATATTGTTTTTCTTAAACGTACATCATTGATACCAGATGTAAAACAATTAACGGAAAAATTAATTTTTTGGACAGTAATTAATAATGTACATGTGCCGCCACAGAAAAGTAAAATGTTAATTCAATTGATACGATACACTGTGTAATTACAGATTATAGGTTAACATATGGATGCAGCCGTTCGTATCCAAGTGAAACATGTCCCTAGCTATTTATAAAATAGAAGAAAAATAATATGATTCTAAAGAAATATATTTGATAATCAAATAGTTGGATTTTTATTTGTATTAGCTTTTTTTTTTAATTTATTACGTTATTATGTTTACGTGCATGCGTTCTATGGCAGCAATTTTAATTTTCAATATTTAATTTGTATCAAAACTCAACGCGAGTTTTTATATTTCTTTAATTTATAAAAAGTCGGTTTTAAAATGGAAAGTAGTTTTATTTTTCTCTCTCACGATATCTAAACATTTAAATACAGTTTTATATATAATTTTCATAACAAGAATTATATTTTAGAATGAGATTTCGAAAATTAACAATTAAAGCGTTATCTTCAGAGTCGTATTTCTTCTTTAGATGCAAAAGAAATATTATGATCGTGACAATGAAATTATACTTTAATATCGCGCAAAAACAATTTTATCACAGTAATCAGTTCTGCTTTTATTAACAAAAATATTTTTGTATCTCTTTAATACTTTCTGCACTTTTGTTATTAATTATGTCTTGTAATATCGATACTATCAGCATTATTATTTATTTATTTATAACCTTATTTTGCATATTCAATCAAATTGTTTTATAATATCATAAATAATTCTTAAATATCAAATTTGTTAATATTCTTTGTCGCTTAGTACATTGTGAAACAGAATCTTATTTTAAAATAATATAGAATTGTACTTACTGTGTTTTACTTTTATTTACATTTAGTATTATAGTAAAATTATTCTCTTAACAGATCGATGTATTTATACGGGGATGTATAGTAAGATTAATAATTATTTAAAATAGCGGGACTAGTTTGATATACCTAGAACACGATTCCTTAGAACAAAGTTTAACCGGAGCACTGTGTAGTAGATACATCAACATTGGTTTCTATTAATACGGTTTGCTGTTTATAGGAGAAAGGAGGAAGTCGTACTAGAAAAATTTCCTGCGATAAATTTACATATAAAAGAAGACTGATTCGCATGTACATTTAGATACATGTTTTCTTTTACATTTAACATTGTTTAAGTACATACGGCTTAAGTGAATTAATTATCATAATGGATTATTTTCTATAGTCTTAAAATATTCTTTCAATCGCTTTAATAGAATACAGTAGGGATGTGCGAGAACCCGAGAATGTCAGGTCGAATCGGGTCAAGATCGCAAAATTATGTCACGACATAAGAATATTAGTATTCCTTTTTTTGGAACAAAATTTGCCATTACCGAAAAAAAACTGTTCATATTCTTGATGTTATTCAATGGTAATCACATGATAATTACGCTACGATTACTCTGCAATTAGTCAATAACAATAGTTACGAACCCTGTTTCATGTATCAAAAATTTTGTAAATATCAATATTCTTATGTCGTACGATATTTTCGTAATCTCGCCCAATCCGAGGCTCGGATAACTGAAATTTCAGATTTTCGCATACCCCTAGAATACAGTTAAAAAGGTTGCGATTTACGAAAATAGGAGTTAGTATATCTGAACGTACGTAAAGGAACAACCGTAAAAATCATGTTTTAAATCTTATTAAAGTTCTGAAATGATTTGTGTATTATATCATTTTAAAGACTATATCCATAAAACTGTTACATTCGAGAATCTAAATACTACTTGCAAAATTTAACAAAAAACATTTCAATGAATATATTCTTGGAAACTTTTCTTGCGAGATTGGAAAAATTGGAAGCAGTCGATTTGAGAAAATATATTATTTATGTAAGTGGAATAATACACTTTTAAGTGACCTTTTAGGATAATATGTAGTTATAAGCCCAGCTTAAAGGCTCTGCCTTTTAGTGAGTTAATGGAGAAAGTACTTAATCTAGAAGTCTAACTGGGCTATAGCTTGATGGTAGAGTATTGTGAATCCATTGTCAAAAAAAACTGTAAGTATTTTGAATGGCTCTACCACTAGATGATGATGAACTTTGTTGTTCCACAATGTTGTTTTGTTGTTCCAGTCTTTCCAGTGATTCTATACGTGTTCTTATAGAACCTCCATATGTACGCACCTATATTATTAACAAATAGGTGATTATTAGTTTAAAATTTTTTTCAATTAAAGTAACCGAAATTTTTCTTAAATTTTCTGGATTAAAAATCGTAATAAGCAATATGGCATGAACTGATCCTCGTCCTAATTTAATTTTTAGTATTGAAAAGTCGAAGGTTTTTTTAAAAAGAGAGCAGAGAATAACATTAGAATTCTTAAACGGAGGAAACCAGAAATTTTAAGAATATTTTATGTACAAAAGCGAGCTCCTTGCCCCACGGTCATACTTGTTGAGCATCATTGTCTTTCATAATATCCAAAAAGTTCTTCAATGCTAAGAATTGTCACACATTTGACATGAGGCATGTTACATTTTTAACAATTACTCCTGTCACAATACCAGTTATACATATGTATAAAAATATTTGATTAGATTCTACGAAGTTTCCACATTCGGATTTAAAATTTATGAGTACATACACTTAATATAAAACTATTGAAAAATATTATGAAAATAAAAAAACAGTAAAATTAATAAGATAAATTAATTGTTTTTCGTAAAATAACATAGCGAGTATGCGAAATTTATATAAATTTATTTTAAAACGGAAATACATAAATTACAGTATTTTGTAATAAATTATTAATAGAGAAAGTAAAAAATAGTATGTATAAAATTCTGTTCGAATATAAAAATGCAAAGTATCGTATAATTTTGATAAAAAAAAGAGGGAATATCATTGTTTACTAAAGAAACATTACATATTATAATATCTACCATCATAAATAAGTAAAAAAGAAACATTAGCGACAAATAAATGACACATTAATAATATAAAACAATTTACATTTTAAACAAAAGAGGTAATAGTGTTTGAATACTTACAAAATAATCCGAATATGGCACTACATGAACTACTAAGGAACTGATGAAACCTTTGCGGACACACGAATATTAATTTAGTATATATGTATATATTTTCAGCCGCACGAAAAATGGGTGCATCACTTTAGTTGGTTATTTACTCACTGTCTGTAGATTAGACTTCAGACTGTGGGTGTTGGCCACTCGCGTTCACTCAAGAGGAGTTAGACTTCCACTGCTGACTCTTACTTCTCTGGGCTCCGGGGCTGCTGGAGGTCTTCTTTCTTGTAATTGTTGTTGGTTTGTTCCAGTTACATTATGATGGCTTGATCGTGTAGTATGATTTGCCACAACAAACTCTGTCAAAGTTACATCTGCAGTTCCACCAGATTCAAGAGGTATGGCATTTTGACGGAAGTGTTCGAGCATATCATATATGGCAGGAAAGCAAAGATGCTGAACTCGACAATGACCTTGGTCGTTTAATGTCATACGTAAATGCTGTAATTTAAATTAGAAAAAGGAAAGAAAAAAAGGACGAATTATTTTATATAAGTTTTATATGAAATTGTAATATAGTTTAACTAAACGCTAATTTTACCTTTGCCCTGCCTTGAAAATTAAAAGTTAGTACAAATTCTCCTTTTCTTGTTTCACTTTGGCGAACAAGAAAGACACCATGACCATTAGCAGCGCTATGCAAAACAAGTTGTGCCGCATCCGACCTAGGAAGAGTTCCGTGAAACCATGGATACTCTCTTAAGCTGCTCGACAAATCCATTTCACCGTCATTTGTAGCCACTGTAACGAAATTTGATTTTCTCTAATCTGTTAATTACACAATTTCATGTGCTTTTCGTAGATAAAAATATCTTACTCTGTTCAATATCTTGTTGCGATGAACACAATTCCAAATTGCTATTACTTCTTGTACGAAGTCTTGGAGGTATTTCTGGCGGATTGCTTGGTGTCTCGTCTCCATGTTCATGCGTTGCAGATCGAGAACTTTTACTTGCAGAATTAGCTCTCAATCTATCCCCTTCATTACCAACAGCTAACAAACCATGTCCTAAAGAGTCTCCAGTAGCGTCTGTTCCAGAACTTGGATTCATTGCATTTTGTTGAACTGTGCGCATACAATATTTAATAGTTGCTAACCATGACCTCATGTCATTTGAATCATGAGCTTCTATTACAAATTCCATATTCTGTGTTTTTAACACAAATGTATTTTCATGATCTGGCATTTCCAATGCGGTCGTTTCTCTAGCTTCTATTATCGCAGAACAAAACACACCGCTACGTGGTTTTACTGCTTTCGGAGGGGAGTAAAATTCTAACATATATCCGCCAATTGCTTTTATTAAGGCAAGTCTAGATTTTTCCCATTTCTGAGTACCATCAATATTTTCTCCCATTAAGGAATTAACGATGCCTTCTTTTCTACATTCTACCACAATCTTCGAGAGTTTAGTTTTTGAGTGTTTGTCCCTACGATGTTCGCTATGGGATAGTTCCACTTCGTCGCTTTGTTGCTTATGAAAAAAACTTTTACCTTTCTTAAGCCCTTTAAAAGACAAGCGACGAAAAAAAGGTTTATGCGCAGGTTTTGGTGATATCGCATCCCCATCGTGTTCAGAATAATCACTAAATTCTTCATGGGACGAAGTGCGAATAGGAGCACTATTGTTTTGACTTACAACATTAATATCCCTATCATTGATCGCTGTATGTCTTGTATTGTACAAAGACGGAGACCTGTAAAATATAATAAACAAAGTAAGTCACAATTTTATACGTATATAAACAACTGTATTAATTTAGGTAATATTCAAATAGTCAAATATAAATTTTGTATAAAATATGAAAGAAATTTATTAATTAAAGAATATATTTTTTAGGATTACAACAGACCTGACTGTACGACGCAAGTATTCGCTTTCAAAGTGTTCACAGAAGCTCTCGACGAATTTCCTTAAAAAATCACGGTGAGAGAGATTCGATCTGGCGCTTTCGGGTAAGTTTAAACTGACATAGGTACAAAAAGCCTTAGCAAAATCAGAAGCCGAAGCGCGGGCGTGTCTCTCACAGAATTCTATCCAACCAGGTGCAGCTTCGGGCGACACGGCAACCGCCGGCGCCGTTGTTGTTGTCGACGTAGCCGTCGTCGTCGCTGTTACCGCTACCGCTGCTGCCGTCGTCGTCGTTGTTATCGTTGTTGTTGATATTGTTGTGCCTGTCGTCGGTGTCGGCGCAGTTATAGTATAAAAACTCATTACCGGCGTCTGCCTCGCGAAGGGGGCTATAGACCTCCCCCTGCCGCTATACAGCCACCGCGAATTTCTTTACGCACCGTGAAACTCGTGTGTGTGGAATGCACACAAGCACGTATCCACGCACGCATGTATTGAACTTCGTCTCGTATATATACGTTCGAATAAAAACAAGATAGCGTAGTAGCGGATACTGTTATTAATCGTAATTAATTACCGATTATAGTGCTCGAACGATAAAACACACTTCCTTTTAAAAGAAACGAACAGGTAACATTTCCGCCGATGTAATTGACCTTTCTTTTTTTATCGCATGGCCGAATGTTTCTTTGGAAAAAGAGTGGATTTACGAAAACCGATCAAAGAGTATTTTAACCAATTATAAACGATCGATACGTTTTCGCTTTAGTTTCTTGTTGACGTAGCCAATGAATCGAAGAATTGACCATATTGTTATTTTCCACAATTTTGTGTAACAAAATCTTTATTTTGCGGAAATATTTTTACCGACATTATGAAATATGGAACCGATGAAACCACTAGCGCGATCTATCTTGCATGGAGTGTAAATGCGTTCGAAAAATGTTGACGAAAAATGGCAGTTTCATGGAGAGTCTCAAACTGGTGAAGTGGAGAGCGGACAAAGAAGGTAAAGACAGTAAATATCGTTTTACTATAATTTTCATTATAAAGTGTTTAGATTTAGTTAGTACATTTTTTAATTACAATTATTTTCTATTAACAAGTATATTAATAACTTATTTAACTGTCATTTATGTATAATGGAACTTGTTTACCTACGCTAAATTACATCCCGTTCCGATAGATAATGTTCCCTAGATGTACTCTTTTGTGTCAATTCGTATAATGAGCTAAATAGTTATGTGTATATAATTCAATACAACATAATAAATTGAATATCATTTTCTAATATTTGTACGATCTTTGTGCATGCACACGTTTATAATTTTATATCCATGTACGATTTAATAACTCTATGGAACATTTTTAAGTAAATTACCTCTGTAAAAAAAGATTATTTGGGATTTTTCGTATTTAGGTTCTTCGTTGCTTTTATTGACGTAAATATTATAGTTATATCGAAGGCATGCGAAAACTGTAAATTTATGGGAAAATATAAGACAAAATTTACATTATAGTAACTGTGCAATACAATGTATGTATTATTTCAATTTTATTCTTTGTTTGTGAAAATGAATCTAAAAATATAATTTATAACGATAGTCTTATTATTTACAATAGTACATACATGAATTATTTTCTTTTAATGGGCAGTGTTTATTAAATTTCAGATAATGTTAAACATTTTTTTACTTTTAATTGCGTCTGATCACCTCTATTTCTAATTAATTTGTATATAATATGTCGTAAACTGGTTTTGGAAGATAATCGCTACACAAAGCCTGTATCCTTTCTTTACGAGAAACTGGTGTGTACCTTCTAATAGGAAATGTTTTTATAACACCGTCGGTTAAAGCTCTGGTTACCGGTGTCAAATCTGCTTCTGGGCCTTGAGTATATTTCTCCAGGGCTAACATTTCTTTTTGAAATAATTCTTGTCCGTATTCTTTGCGAGTCTGAGGATCTAACTGGGTCCACATTTCTCTAGCTTGTTCCAACAGTGAACTATTATTTTTTAACCATGCGTTCCCGGATACATATTCACCTGTTTCAACGATAACTACATCTACTCCCCATCTTCTCATTTCCAATCTAAGACATGCTCCCCAAGCTTCAACCGCAGCCTATTATACACATGGAGGGTTACTTTATACATTTATATTTAATAAAATAAGGTATTATTAATTTTAAACATTAATTTACCTTAACTGCGCAATAAATGCCTCGAACGGGACTTGGTATACGAGCTAAGAGGCTGCTGACTAACACAACACGACCTTTCGATCTTCTGATCAGAGGTAGAAAAACCTTTAAATAGAAAATTATCAGAAATATTAATTGTTGAACTTTTTAGGGCAATTTTGTATTTACATTTGTTAAGGTATTCCGTGTAGATCAAATAACATAATTTTAAATGTTGTGGTTATTAATTTATAAAACACTATATTAACAATTATAATGAATTATTTTATTATTGCATATGGTACCTTAACCTATTGAAAACTACATGAAGAAGTTCCGGAAAAGTAAACATTATTTTGAAAAGTACAATGATTAATCTTTTTCAAAACACGATTATCGATGAATACATATCGAAACAACAAATAATTGTATTAGTTTTCTAAGAAGCTATCATTTTGTTAGTGTATTGTTTCAATAATTTGTATATTTAAGTATTATAATATACTGATAAGGTTACCTGAGTTAATCGAGCAAGACCTATGAAATTTATGTCTATGCTACGTTTCAAAACTGAAGAAGGCACCCATTCGCATTCGCCTAAAGTTACCCAAGCCGCAGCATGTATCAATGCCCATAATCCTAATGTAGAATACATGTAATGAAATATGAGAGTTTTTTTTTATACACATTGAATAAACAACTTTGAATGTTTAATGGAAAGTGTAATTTCAAACCTGGTGCGCCATCCGGTAAGTTTTCATTTACGTAAAGAAAAGTTGAATGAATATCATGTTCACTGGTAACATCTAATTGTAATACATGTAATCTACCAGAAGCTTCTTGCTTTAACTTATGCATCACCTCTTCGTTTTCCTCTTTAGTACTAAATCCAGCAAAAACTGTAAATCCCTTAAAAAATAAATTTCTACGTGTATAAAAATATGAACGGACGATAATATTACTAACAACGATATATAAAGTTCATTTTACCAATTCATCTAATTGTTTACTCAATGTATATCCAACTCTTGAATCACATCCTGTAACAAGAACTGCTTTCCCTGCAGCAGTTACCTGCACCATTTACATCTGTATGTACTAATATTATAAAACATTTATTTATACCAGTATGTTATTTGCATTGGGATTAAGGAGAAAATATTATATAAAGGTCATTAAGTGCAGTTTATTGTTACATTAGAAAATGTCAAGGGTACTTTAAGCTTTTCTGCATGCAAACATAGAAAATCTGTTACAATTTCCATTTGATTATTTAAATAGTAGAATTTTTATATAACATTATCGGGTGTAGTTGGAAATTAGTAATAATATTGACTTTTGGTCCCAAAACATGTTCGTGCAATTTACTTTAATGTTTCTACTGATTAATTATAAAAAATAAGTAGTTCGCGTTTGTTGATATAATTTTACTTAAACTAATAGCAAATATATATAATTTAAATAACATACCTTTAAGTTGTGGTAGAATAGCGTAGATCCTATGGATATTACTAATAATAAGAGAAAAAGCACAAAACTAGATGTCTGTGATATACCTAATGTATTTAATACAGTTGCTAAGATGACTGCAACTGCATGTGAAAATGCAATTGGAAGAAGACACCTTTCTGCCAATTCCCATGTTTGACTGTCATCCGGTTCTTTATATCCACTCGGTAAAGGCATCTCTGTTATTGCTTTATCAATATTTTATACAAATTTAATCGATTCCATTCGGACAAGACTTGTGGCTCGGCTAAGAGCCCCAACTGGGCTAACTCTGAGCTAACTTTAAACTTAAAACAGTATCTAGTCTCATTGATCTAAATTTAACTGCAGTGCTGTGTCTTAAGTTCAAAGATCCTAGTAAAATTCTATGTCCTATCTCAAGAATAATTGCATTTTAGTAAATCAGCCTTTGTAAAATATCATTTTTCAGCCAAAAATTATTCTTATATAATTATTTTTTAAACGTTTCAATGGTTACAATTGTAAAAAATGTAGAATTTGAATATAGATATTATACCTATTAATATGTAAATAGTAAAAAATTGAAGGTTTGAAAGTTTTGTCAAAAATGATTTTATTTTATAATTCCTTATTAAACATTAAATACATATATGGAAAAATATTAATCCATTATAACTTATGACATGTTAATATTTAAATCGTTTAATACGTATAATAGTCTTTTCTTATATTTTTCAACAAAAGAAAGTGAATGCTATTTATAAACGAGCTTTAACAAGAAAAGGGTAAAGTACTGGTATAAAAATAATTCAATGCTCTATACATATGTGTTTTCTGTAGAAACATGTAACATTTTTATCTATTTTAAAAGACTTGAATTTTTATTTCACCTTCGGCTCGAAATTGTAAATATAATACATTCATTAACTCCGTCATTCTATATAAATGTAACAATAAGTGAAATAAAAATAAACTGATCGGAGTTGATATATTTTCACTCGCGTTGAAAATATTTTTATCGAATAATCGTTGTGGGCATTATCGTTGAGTAATGTAAACAATTCGTCTGGCAGTAATAAAAAAATGATACTAGAGTGGGGTAGGTTATTGATTTCTGTGTGGGTGCCATGTTGGGAGGGAATATCATGGGGGGTGTCTCTTGGTCGTACCATACGCCGTAGTCTACAGAGAATATAAATAGGAGGGGTAGTTGCACCATTGACCCAGTGTTGAGTTGACATACGGTCAGTTCAGTCACTCGGGCGTAACTCGTCTTATAAGCCTTTCAAGTTTTTTATCCGTAGGTATATGTGAATTGTTAAAAATTGTAGTAAACTCCACGTAAGAACCAACGATCTAATGCAATCCAAAAACACTGCCCTTTCTTACTTACGTTCCAACCGTACAACTTTACATCCGTATCGTCGACACGTACCTAGTGTTTTAAGTGTCGATGCAAACGTTTTTCTAATGAAAAATTAAATAAAATTTTATCAGTGTCCGGTAATAAGTATACGACTCCCTCGTATTGGTGCGAATACGAATTCTGTGTTACGATTTAAGTTGAAGATAGTAGCGGCATTGTTAAATCAATGTGTAACGATAATCAGGTCTTGGTTACAGTAAATTCTTGTGAAGGATATAAATTTTTGACGAAATAAATTTAATACGGTCGAACAAATTAGAGAAGTGCGGACTCTTCGTGATCACCTTCTAGCAATTCGAAGCAATATGTCAGAAACAGCAGGAATATCGCAGGGATTGGGCAATCCTTACAAAATTGTCGATTATGCCAGAGAAAAACGAAAGGGGATCACTGCTTCCTCCCTGAAGGAATTAACCAGTATCGCACGAAGCCGGTTGTCGTTGCCTTTGGATGCAGAACTTACAATTGTTTTAGAACAAGATGGTAAAAGAATATTGTATCACTAATGAAATAGATGTAATTTCGTTTTAACGAAGCGCCTTTGTATAATATCGCGCGAGCAACTTTATATATAATGTGACATTTTTTTAACAGGCACTGAAGTAGACGACGAAGAATATTTTGCAACATTAGAAAGGAACACTAGTTTAATGGTGCTATATGGTGATCAGAAATGGGTGGCAGCAGGAAGTAGTAAAGCTGCTTCTCATTACATAGTTGTCGACGATGTAGATAATGTAGAAGGTGGATCGAGAGGAGATGAAGTCAGAAGACGTCGCCCGCCGATAGAACCGTTAGTCTCATCATTGCATGGCGATCCTTCCCATATATCATTACTTGGTGGAAATGATTTAGAATTACTTAGTGATATGGATCCAGACAGCTTAGCTGATATAGTGCCTGACAGGTACATGATTAAATGTAAAAATCGCACAGTCTCTGATATTAGAATATTTATTATTATTTGGTTTAAAAATAATTTCAGAATATTCTTGGAACAATTAAAAGAAGCCTCAGGTAGATTTCTGGCTGAAAAACGACAAGCGCAGGAGTCAATGGCTCTTCTTCAGATGTATGCAAGTGGCGGAGAGATGGAGCGAGCGTAGGCCATGTGGGGGGTGGGCGCCCTCACATTGGCTAACATGTATCGAGTGCGACGTCGCATATTTTATAAAGGTCGTCAACTACAACAAACTTTAATCCTTTTCTGGAATTGAGCCCATTACATTTATAGCGCACCAATCTATCGCGCCATCCTCTACCATCGCACTACTCATGAAATTTGAATGTTTGCATTGTCGATGAAAATCTTGAAATTCTTCTATGCAGAATTTTGAAGGATCAATGGTAAAGAAACACGTATAGAACTAATGTTCTCATTTTTGACAGGCGGTCAAAAATTATTTCCGAAGTATTGCAAATATCTACTAAATATGTGAACACATAAATTTGTTAGCAAAAAGGAACCGCATTGAAAGTTAATGCTTGCCCATATTATAAGTTAATACTATAATGATATGTAGTATTATTTTTTATTAATAGTAAACTACTTTTTAGTGTTTTTTTTTTTTATTTTGTGCACATCAATGGCGCAAGTATACTTTAGCATTTATTTATTTTGTAGAATGTGGCATAAGGAATTGCATTCCTGCAAAATGAGGTTTTAAATACAATTATTGCATACATGCAATTTAGCCGTTGAATAATCTGAATGTACTACATAAACAAAAACTATATAGAAATATCATGTCAAAGAAAACATTCCGTCACGATGTTGTCATATCAGTATTAGCAGAAAGACGACATGTTTGGTTTATGAACTTTTGTACGTAGATATATTATACCAAGCTTTAGTTCAACGAAGATCGATGAAATGTTTAAGACTGAATTTATAGAGAAAGAATGCATCCCCATTATAATCACCAATTCATTGTACACTAAATTTAGCGTTGTAATAGGAAAAAAAAGAAACAATATCAGCCTTTGATACCAAACAAAGTTATGCATTTGATAAAAAAAAAAAAAGCTGCAGAGAAAGAAGAACATGCGCAGATGTTTCTGTAAAGATTATGCATATGCAAAATAAACTGTTACATCAAAATAAGAATTATGTCATTATATCTCTATTTATTATAGGAAGAAAAAAAACATCTTAATATTCTAAAATTATAAACTATTAATCTAACACATGACATTTATTGTGAATTTTAAATGAAGTACGCTCAATGCTTATGTTTATTCTTTGCAGAAACACTTTTAACAGAATATCGTGACATTCTTTGATATATACCTTAACATCTGTATATTGCAAAATAACATTTACATTTATTGTCATTTCGGTATTTAAAATGCAACGATCAGCATACATATAATTGATAATTCGTAGCAACCGACTGCATTTTAGTAATCATAAATTCGTTCAGTATGCAATTTTTAATGGTCTTTCTTTATGATGCATTAAAAGAAGTAATATTTTACTTAAATTTTAAGACATGCTAGGAAACAGTTGATACATTTAATAGAACTGCCAATTAAAGAGAACAACTATTGCTCAATAATATCCTATCCAGTAAATCCTTTAAAAAATAGTCTGCTTTTTCTTTTTTTACTCTTTATTTTAATCGATACTGATATTTAATATATTGACGCTGATGAATATATTGCTGTTACTGTTACAATCATCATATTACGTCCATTACATATTCTAATAAGTATCATATATATTTACATAAATTAAGTTTTAATAGAATGTATAAAATTGGCATCTATGAGTTGATGTAAAGCGTTTGAAGTATCCTTCGTTCGATTACCGGCGCTACGTAACTGACAGACAGCCTCTTGAAGAATAAGTTCACTTCTTAGCAGTTGTCGATTAACGCTTGATAATTCTTGAACGGCGGTGCCGATCGTTTCCTCGGTCATTTGCATAAAATCTTTATCCAATGCTTCATTGCAATCGTCTATTCCATTATAAGATACATCAATTCAAGCATCAAGTATTATTTGTTCGGGAAATGAAACGGTACATATTATTTATACAATTACGTAAAATACTCAAAAGCAGAATGCCTCTAAATAATACAAGTTTCAGATAAAACGATATCAGCCTGAATCTGGTAGAAATTTACATTATTTGAATAATTACGTTATTACATATTTTTCTGCGTCAGAATTATTAGAGAATACTCTAGCAATAGCTATGTGTATTGTACTATTACAAAATTAATAAAACGATGTTAATAAAAAAAATATTTTAATACAGTAAAACCTCAATTTAACGGGTACGATACTACGACCCTGTTGTCGGTACATTTCTGAAATGTATACCGTTCATATCAGAAAATGAAACCGACCTCGAACACAATTTCAGTATTCTTGATCTTTGTTTTACTTTGAGACTTATTATCATCCGTAGTTGAACATTATGTACATAACTATATCTATTGTTTTTAACGTAACGCAATGTATTTAACAGATTTTTGCTTTTTTAGAAAAGTTTGGAAATAATGGACATACTCTCTTTCCAAGAAGTTTACCAAATTAAGATTTTACTTATACCTTTAAAGCAAACGTTTGAACTTACGTAATTTCTTATGTAATAAACTGTTGTACTTTATGGAACTTTTTTTTGATTTTGGTATTTTGATTTCAGCATAGGGCATACAAGCCATAGCATCGACTGCCCCGCTAATACTGCTCAAACTTGTTCCATCTAGGAAATATTAAATTAAATGAAAAGGACCATTATTACTACTGGACAAATTCTTTGCTTGTAGTATAAAAATGTTCTGTTTCGTTATGCAAATAAGATTTTAGAAAATATCTTACCATCATCGGATTCTGGAGCTTCACCAGAAATGATAGTACCACAGTAATTGGTATTCCGCATAGAAGGAAATCCCATAACCTGTATAAAGTATATTACTTTCTTTTTTAATCAATTAAACAATTTCATGCAAAGATATGAAAGTGACATACAGTGGCAATGTTTGTATTCTCATCATCAGATTCTGGTGCTTCTCCAGAAACCACAACAGCTTTCAAATCCATATTGAAGATGTGAATTTAGAATATGCAAGCGAAAGCTTTTATATTCTTTGAATGTCACGGTGGCCTATTACATACAGAATATCAAATCTAGAATAAAGAGTGGCATCAAAAGTGTAATAATATATCTGCAAATTATACATTTCATAAAACCTCAATTATCTTGTTTTATATTTGTGCTATAATTTATGTAATTTAAAAAAAAATGAACTGCATTAAAAATTAATTTAATTTAATTATAAATTGCAGCGATATAAAGATATACAGATGTAATGCTTATCTTGTTTATCAATCATATAAATAAAGAATAGAATTTCTGGCCTAACAGTTTCCCTGCCTGGGGGTTGCAGAATATAATATACTCTGCGGCGCACTGAGAGCCTGCGCACTGTGGCCAGATCGAGCATAATTTAGTGCATAGAAATCGACAATAGTGACGACGAACTTCCTTAGCGTCTAACAGAGTGGTGGGAAAAGCCGGATCCTTCAATCCGTTCAAAAGTTCTAATGTTTTAAACATACGCATGAAATTTCAAGCGAACATTTCTGCATCTTTGAAACATTATAACTTCTGAACGGATTGAAGGATCTTAATGTTTCAAGTTGCAAACAACGCGTATTTTGGCGAAGAATATGTAGAAATTCTAAGAATATACGAAATATATAGGCAAATATACCATGTTCAGTTTTATTGCATAAGTTGTTCCATAACAGAGATGTAAAGACCGAGCGACATCTGTGCAATTTTGATAGACAAATTGTCCCTCAACATAAAATTAAAGAATCATTATTTCAATAATGGAATACTTATAGGTATATATAAAGCATTTCTACATATTCTCCATCGAAATACGCGTTGTTTGCAACTTGAAACATTAAGATCCTTCAATCCGTTCAGAAGTTCTAAATGTTTTAAACATACGCATGAAATTTCAAGCGAACATTTCTGCATCTTTAAAACATTATAACTTCTGAACGGATTGAAGGATCTTAATGTTTCAAGTTACAAACAACGCGTATTTTGATGGAGAATATGCAGAAATTCTAAGAATATTCGAAAAATTGGTGCGCGGGCTAGGGGGCTCGGTATTTATGCAATTTTGTTGTTTATGCAACTTTGTTAAGCAAGTGTCGCCCCCAGCGGAGTGTCGCCCCGAGCGGACTGGCTGCTGATTGGCTGCTGATTTTTTGTGTCCCCATGCATAAAAAGTGACCACAGCTGACCAACTCTTTTCAGTACTTCCCGCCAGGGGTACTGTCACGCGTTTTTTTCTGTTTCAGATATCTTATGCGAATGCTGACCAGAGGATCACCCTTTGGTATACATATAATTAATATTAATATAACTAATCCAAATATTGTGTTTTTCATTTTTATGTATATATATAGGTATTGTTATATTTGGGTTCTTCGTTCCGATTCTGTTATTCGTCTTGCGCTTCGTTGGTTTGTATTTTTCCAAATTAATCTATAATTCACACGTACACATCGTTGGTTTGTTTTTTTTTTTCGAATGATTCGTTTCTTTAACTTACTTCGTTGGGTTGTTCCAATTCCTTATTTCAAACTGATTTGTTATTTAGGTTTTATTTTTGTACATGTACATATAACTACTAATTTTTACTTGAGCTTTTTACCAGATCAATTTCTAGGACATCAATAGATGACGTCGGATTCATCGGCCGGGATTTGAACAATGAGATAAGTTTTACTATTGTAAAAGTTACGATCGTTTGAAAATTGACAATTTTTCCGAGCATTTTGTCACTTTACGACGTTAAGGAACAACTTTTCGTATATCCTTAGAATTTCTACATATTCTTCACCAAAATACGCGTTGTTTGCAATTTGAAACATTAAAATCCTGCAATCCGTTCGGAAGTTAAAAAGTTGCGTGAAGCGCTGACCACACGTAACATGCGGCTGGTGCGGTAGGATATGTCGGCTTTCCCCACCACTCCGTTAAACGCTAAGGAAGTTCGTCGTTACTAGTGTCTCTGCTTGTGACCAGATTTGGCATAATTGAGTGCATCGACAGCGACACTAGTAACGACGAACTTCCTTAGCGGAGTGGTGTGGTGAGTAGACATACATTACCGCACGGGTAGTGTGTACATGAGCTTGGTATTTCGCAACACTAAAATGATCATGGAGCACTTTATTCTTTATTATAATAAACTTAATATTGAGCTTCAATATTAATTTGTATTATAATTTAAAGTATCCCCCTCTATTATAGCTTTTAACATTTAAAAAAAAAAATGAATAGAAATAAATGTGTACAGGAAATAATAAATTATATAGTTTTACATATGTAATATGGAGTATTTTATAGTAAATTTACTATATAATTCACGATTTGTAAACAATGTCAATGAATCTGCAATGGGAAAAAATGAAATAAAATTACACCATGGTTATAAAAGTAAAAATATGTAGATTTTTAGTGTATTATGTGTATCATACTTACAGAGTTAATCTTAAAGTAGCGGATAATTAACATTACAATTGTTATGTACAAATATTTTAATTCGTTGAAAGATACCAAAATAATTATGACAAATATTGTTCTAAATTTAAACTTAGGAACAATGATTGCCATTTGGATCAAATAATTTATTAACACTGGCGTAACTTAAATAGATGTCAATGATTTTTGTTACCATTACTAATAACTTTGCATTTATATATTTCCAGTATTATACAATATTGTTTATACAATGTTAATAAATCATGTGAATATGATATAATGTTTCATCTTAACAAACGTTATTGAATTTTCAACCTCTATTTAAGTACACGGACAAAATAGGAAAAACAAATTCTTGTTATAAATGTCAGTTAAAAAATAAACTGAGACAAATTTATTCATATATTTGCAGTTAACAAATCATAAAATTAAATATTTTACTAATGCCTCTGGCATAAAATTAAAAATGCAATTTTATATTTTGATATCCTATTGTGTCTAATGATTTAATACCCTGCATTTTTTATAACACACAAAATTGGAAACTTCCATAAGCATTGTGAGTTTTTGTAAAAAGGTTTTAAAAAATTACGTTGTGTTTCTGCGAATGTAATAAAATAATGTACACAAAGACCTATTTAATACATATAATTGTGCACATCACAGAATCCAGCTTATAGGACTCTGATTGACTGGCAACTTGTACACTTAGTTGGATGTATACACATAAATATTATACTAATAGTATACATTTAAATTTACTTCCAATGGTGCTTTGGCAAATACATTTTCATAGCACCATAAAAGTGCAATTTCATTTTGAAGCATGCAATTTTGGCTAACCTTTGTACTACTTCAACCCATTTATACTTCAACTATGAAATGCAAAATTATTAATTTTTCGGTAGAAATTCAATATTTCTGAATGAAGAAAATTTTGCTAAATATAATAAATAAAAATGTTTTTCTTTCATTCCTCTAATATTAGTCTAGATATTCAATATTACACAAGTCAGTTGCTTAATTCAGTCATTTTTCAAAATGATGTTAACAAGGCTGTACAATTTTGTAATTATTTTCTGGCTGATAAAATGAGCCAGTCGACAGTTGAGAGTTTTGTATTCTTACAGTTTGTACATATCAATCTAGTAAATCTGAATTTTGAATTTCACACTTATCATACAATCAAATAATTAATTCTCTATATTGCCTTCATAGAAGGACTCACATTTTTCTAACAAACGTAGAACTGGATTTATGTTATAAGGAAACAAAGCTTTAGATACTAATCTATCGATTGCTAAACGAAGTCTTATCAATATTGTCATGGTATCATCTAGCTCTCTTCCACAACAAGAGACAAACTCTGTCCAGTTCCTTTTAACATATTTCAGAAATCTCAATAAGTATAATAAGAAACAAGTTTCATTACTAACAAGTAAATCTAAAAGAACATCTGGATCGTGTGAAACAGCATGTATAAATTGTATAAAAGTTAAAGTTGGGCTAAGCATGTGACCAAGGTCATTTTGCGGAGGTCCTCTATAAAATAAACCAACCGCTACGTCCAAACAACACACCATCCCTTCAATTAGGAAGTCGTCTTGATCGTGAAACATTTGTACAACCCATTGCGATAAAGGCATTTCAGGATGAAATGGCATTAGTGTTTTTACACACTGATCCAGTTGTCGTAAAACTTCTCTTATGCTTCTCTCAATAACTGCCATATCAGCATCAAGATCTTCTGCTTCTGAACCCAGGGATGAGTCACTAGAATCGCTGCGCGTCTCTTTAACTGTCACGGCAACACTTTTTAGAACTAAGAGTACAATTTTTTGTAGAAGGGGGCGATCACCTTCCCCGGAACCTCCTCCAAATCTTCCAGAACCATGTCGATATGGTAAAGCATCTAATAATCTCCAATCTTTTACAGCACGTACAATAAAATGTGCAAGAGAGCAAGGCTCATCTGGAAGTACATCTTGCAATGCTAAAGTGCTTCCATAACATAATACTTCATTAAATAATCCAAGAAGATGTCTCCAAATTACACCAGGAACATTAGCATTCAAGAGTACAACCAGGTTGTCTAACTGAGAATAGAAAAGTTTAGTGTCAATAACGGACAAATTAGCTTTAACAGAAATAATTGATTCCCACAAATCAAGAAATGTAATAACTGCTGATTCGTGTTGAGGTGTATATGAACTAAGAATGGCATCAAATTTTGATACTAATATAGTCCATTTAGATTCTAATGCTTTGACGCACATTGCTTTTACAGGCGTACTATCAAAACTTTCTGCGTCTGAAATTGTTATTGTATTACAATGCGACGGCTGCGCTATACTATCTGTGTCTTCAAGGGGATGAACACTGCAGTCCTTATGTTCTACAACTCTTTTTACAACATCCAAAGTAAACAGCATTTGACTTGGGGAATGAGTGTTCACTAAAGACTGCGTTAGTCTTTCTAACCAAGCCGTATCAATATTTTCCTTTGTTACAATAAAAAAAGATGCAAGAACTCTACTAGCAGTAAATGATATGAATTTGTTTGTTGTACACGATAGGTCAATTATCTGATCTATAATGCCATGCTCGTTTCGCGCCAGCGCATCACAAACATCTACCACTCTTCTGCACATTAAACCTCTGGTGTTCTGTTTGATAGCCAAATCAAACAGAAGCTGTAAAGCACTTAGGAATTCTAAAGTTTGATCGGGTCCCCACTCTGATAATAGCGAAGATCGAAAACTGCCATCGATTGCTTCCACTGTTGCACTAGTGAATGGTTTGCGCAAACTACTTTCCGGTATATTACATAAGCATTGCGCCAACAGGCTATTCTGAAGCTGTTCAATATCTGATAACGTATTCCTTTCAACTTCATTGTTTTCAATGCGTTGTTTTTTCTTCGCTGGCTCCTCCATTGTGTTGTTAGGAGGACAACAATAACAGTGCCAAAGCACCATTAGCAGCACTATTCTCTGTTCTTGGTCCGTAATGTTCTTTCATCGGGTAATCTTTGTAGTACATATAATGCTCCAACGAAGAAAACACCATATAAATAACAGATGCAGCGCGGCGAATATTAGCTTCTTGCGTTTACAAAAGCCATAAATATTTCAGCGAATACAATGTACCTGTATTGACAAAACAAAAAAAAAAATTAATTAAAATTCTGAAAATTAAATATTCTCCTTTACGCGCAATAAGAAAAATAGTGTTCTCTGTTCTATAATTGCTACACTTAGTATGAAAATGTCATGGGTAGATAATAATACTTGCATATTATGAAATAATTCTTGTTATTCAACAATATAATAATTAATTGAAATTTTCTTAATTAACAAATTCTGAGTAGATAAATGTATTAGCGGTAACAAAAACATAGATAACAAAAACGTTAAAACTTACAGGAACAATTGAATCTCACTTTAAATTCCAACACCTTGTGAATATATGTAAAGAAGTGTATGTATATGTTTACATATTCATTCATTCAAGGATGTATACATATATTTTTTCTACGGCGATTAATCAATTAATTAATGGACGGCATCCTTTTAACAAGTATCAAATTGTATTTATTCTCAGATATGTTCGTAAAATACTAAGCATGAAGTGTTTAACACAGGTTGCACATGTAATATATAAACCGACGCTTACTGATGCGATAATTTACACAGAAAAAGATTCTCTACCGATATCTTGACGGACAGTTAAATATATCGATGGTATATCGGAAAGCACTCTTTTAGAGTTACACCGTGTTTCACTACTTTAACAGTGTAAATATATTATTGTTTGTGCTCGAAGAATTTCTTTTGACTAGGAAGTGACAGAGCACTCGACCACTTTGCTCTGTTGCCACGTATACATGCTACCGAGTAAAAATAAGAAATACGGTTTTATATCGTTTAACCGTGAATGTATCCCCGTAAAACAGTTCATATCTTATGTCAAGCGGTAAAATGTTAATCCGATAATGCATAAGACACGAATTCTTCGTGTTTATTACGTATTTTTCGGGTGGCATCATGCAGAGCTGCGTAACACAGTAGCTCCTCCTCGCACATTCCACAATGTACTGAGTACGAATTATTCGAATTACTTGATCAATTGCATTTAAATAGCGATCAATGATCATTAAATATTCCTTAAACGTCATTCCTACGATTTTTCTCAATAAAAGTAATCGAAATCAAAAAATCGTATAATAAATAGACAAGATGATCGGCAACTCTGCACCGATTGCAGCGCTCAAACGTTTATGCATACATATCTCTATTTATCGTGTAATTGGTATTTTAATAGTTTGCATAATCCATACTTAATCATTTTTTACATTTCGTGCAAACGTATGGATAAAGAAAATTTATATAATTTAACAGAATCTGATAATACAAAGTAATACATAATGCTACATCAAACCTAATCGAGCATACATATCGTTTACTTTATCAACTGTACATATATTATGCAGCCGAATTTACCTTTTCAAATTTCAATATATCTACATTTAAAGTCAGATAAATGAAATAAAATCGTTATATTATTAGAATATCATTGAAATATGTTATTAGACATCATCACCGACACATACAGAAATTAAATCCGTCGATTCTAAAATTAAACAGATCAAACGATTCGCAACGAAGACAAACAACACGTAATGCGAGCCCGTATACTTCTCAATGTATAATATTAAAGTTCTCATTTAAAGATTTAATTAAATTCACGTTTACCATGAAATTTGTATAAATATTAGGTTTGTTCGATCGAAGTTATAAATTTTATTTTTCCTTCATTTTAGCGTATAAAAAAGTCGATTAACAATATATTTTCGATTGTGAATTGTCTGTGAATATATTTTAGAAGACCAAAGCTACGAGAATTAGACAAATGAAAGAGATCGTCACTGTGAACACGCTTTAGCGTTACATATTTTACATCGCGCGTATATCCATCTACATGCTGAACTGTCATAGGTACTTTCAATGACGTAGGACTGCCATATTTTTTTCTATATGGGGCCTGCCAGGGGGTCAGCCAAATTGTTGGGGGTTTGGAGGTGGCCATGCAAGATGTTTTGTGATAATCGAATGGTGCGCATAATAAACAATTAAACTAATATAATAAAGGGGCGCGTCGTTTCGGCAGATATGCTCGAATCGTTCGAGCAAATGGTCCGGATCGGCAAGGAAAGAGCCTTTCACACAAAACATCCTTCTCACATGCGATAGGAATTTTACGTGACAAATTTGATTCGGGAACGAGTGTGTGGTGCCGCGTCGAGGTTATACCAGAAATTGGGACAATGGGGCTTTAAGATTCGTCTACGTTCTATCGTTTAACTATTAACATTAAACAAGTACTGTACAGTTTCGCTATGCAATACAAATCCGTTTTGCGATACGAGTTGTCTTGGTGATTTTGTTGAATACGGTGATCGCCGAATGCGGTGCCCTACCCCGTCGCACTATTTTTGTCTGTACGTTTTATTTACACGTATTTCTCTTGTTGCGTGTTTTCTTCGCCAAATATTTTGGCTATCTTTGTAGCAGTTACGTAATTTCCGACGTGAGTAATTCCGGCACCATGGCCGATGATGAATTAAATGAAACTCGATTGTTTTACACGTAGTGGCGTGCGGACATATATACTACATAAAGTTAAAGGGAATTGATTTTTGACATTCTTTGTACAAGGATAAAAAAGAGTCGGAAGCTTGTTGGTAATTCGCTGGTAACATGAACGGGAAACTACTGCCGCACTGTTGTAAACAAAATTAATGTTTAAACAGTGAAAGTGATCCTAGTTAGATATGTCTATTGGAAATTATCTTCTTAAGGTAAATGATTACTACATAATTACTATTATGGTATATAATGTTTATGTTTGCACGTTGTTTAAATGTTTTTTAATACTTGCAAATATAAAAATATATTCCAAAAATATTTTTCTTTTTTTTTTTTAAAGTTTCTTTTATACGTAAAATTTATTTTTATATAATCACAAATAGAACTGTGCGCATAATTAAATGTACCTTCTGTTGTGTATATTGTTAACCGAGTTTTATATTTTTAATATTTGGCCTTTTACTAAATATTAATATGTAAATATACAATTATGTCATATTTAGAAAGTAGTGTCGTTAAATGAAATGTAAAAAGGCCACATCGACAAGTGGCGACTTTGTTATATCCAAGATAGTTGCGTGACATTATCATGTAAATATTTAATTTGTTATATTATAGATGTAATTTCTATGTAGCAAGTTGTAATATATTGATACTAAAATATTTTAGGATTCTCATCACACCATAATGTGGTGGTTTATGATACTACTGAATAATATTGTTAAGAATGACAGAAGTAGTATCCAAAGATTTTGGTAAGGAGCATCCTTATCGAAAAAGAGACATGTCAGATTCGTCGCAACACCAATATAATCAACCTCCTCCTGATATTATGCCAAAGGGGCTTGCGATCAATGGTATGTTATCAGGCATATAATAATAAAAATATTCAATGTAATATATATTATTACACATCATTTATTGGAACGATTGTACCAAAAAAATGAATAAAAGATATTTTTAATAGGCATTGGAGGAAGGTTACGCCAATTGGAAGCCCTTTTTATTGGTGGTCCTGTACAAGGAGAAGGAAGAGTTGGCCACACATTTTCTATCGAGACACTTATTGATATTTTACTTGTCTTATACGACGAGTGTTGTAATTCTTCCTTACGACGCGAAAAGACTGTCTCAGATTTTATTGAATTTGGTATATATATATACAATTTCTTTTTTTTTTTTCTTTTCCTTTTTTTAAATTATAGTTATTTAGTTTAGTTGTGTACAATTAATATACTTTTCTGTAGTGAAACCAGTGGCTACTTGCATAAAGAGTTTGCAATTAGCACGCGAGGATTTTGAGATAGTAAAAGTTATTGGTAGAGGTGCATTTGGGGAAGTATGTGTTGTAAGAATGCGTGGTTCAGACAAAGTATTTGCAATGAAAATTTTGAACAAATGGGAAATGCTAAAGCGTGCAGAAACTGCATGCTTTAGGGAGGAGCGAGATGTACTAGTGTATGGTGATCGAAGATGGATCACAAATCTTCATTATGCCTTTCAAGATGACAATAATTTGGTAATGTTTATAAATAACGTTTAAGAGAATTATTTACATACATGGGAATAGAAATATCTTATTAATTTAAAATAATCATATGTAGTATTTGGTCATGGATTATTACTGTGGTGGAGATCTGTTAACACTGTTGAGCAAATTCGAGGACCGCCTTCCAGAAGATATGGCACGTTTTTACATTGCTGAAATGGTTCTAGCTATTGGGTCCATACATGACTTACGTTATGTGCATCGTGATATTAAACCCGATAATGTTCTGTTAGATGCAAATGGTCATATTAGATTAGCTGATTTTGGATCTTGTTTACGATTGTTTGAAGATGGTACCGTACAAAGTAATGTTGCTGTTGGTACACCGGACTATATCTCACCAGAAATATTAAGGGTAAAATTCTATTTCTGTACTATATTAAATTTCACTCTCATAAATTATTAATTATATATTTGTATTTACTCTGGCATCAAATTATGTATTAAATAATATGCAAATTTGTATACTGCAGGCAATGGAAGATGGACAAGGACAATATGGACCCGAATGTGATTGGTGGTCATTAGGGGTATGCATGTACGAAATGCTTTATGGTGAGACACCTTTTTATGCAGAATCTCTAGTCGAAACCTATGGGAAAATTATGAATCATAAGGTAATTTAATTATAATTCATAATAATATTACTTATGATATTATAGTATGTATTTCTTATAATTATGTATTCACATATGTTTTATACAAATTTCAGAATTGCTTTGACTTTCCAACCGATGATATGTATGAAGTTTCTGAAGAAGCTAAGGATTTAATGAAAAAATTAATATGTAGCTCGGAATTTAGATTAGGTCAAAATGGAATTGACGATTTTAAGGTACTATTGCGCACTCGATTAGCTAAAAATAACGTAATACTATTTAGAATTGAACAACTAATATAAAATTAATCATTAAATGTACATTGTAGAAACACCCATGGTTTGATGGAGTAAACTGGGATACTCTTAGAGACAGCACTGCACCTTACATTCCTGAAGTTTCCTCGCCAACCGATACATCAAATTTTGATGTTGATGATACAGATGTTCGCAGTTCCGATGCTGTTCCACCAGCAGCGAATTCTGCGTTTTCTGCGCTTCACTTACCATTTGTTGGTTTCAGTTTTACCCAAGGAAGGCAAGCAACATTTAGTTTTTTATTTACATCAACGCAAATATAGTTTTTTTTTAATATAAATTTATATTTAATTTACAAATTACAGTTGCATATCAGATCTGGGTTGTTTGCCTGTTATAACTCAAAAGGATAAACGCGTGCAGTTGCTTGAGGAAGAAAATGCGCAATTAACGCAAACACTTGAGGAGTTAAAGAAGCAAATTAATACGAGTCATTCTCCACCTGGAATATCACCAGATTCTAATAATGCAACAAGAAAACTTCAGGATGAAATAAATACACTTACCAAACGCAATTGTGGTGAGTGTGTGTGTGTATATATATATATGTCATTAAAATATATTTATTTTCTACCGTTTTCAATGTTTCTGTTCTACTTAAATTTATAGAGTTAGAGTCTCAATTAAAGTCTATGGAAGTTCCACATGAATTACGCAATCTAGACAACGGCGATATAACAAAACTACGAGAATTAGAAAAGTTAGTGCGTTCTCTTCGATCGGAGAAGGAAGAAGCTGTGAAGGATAAGTTGGATGCACAAGAGAAGCTTAAATATCAAGATAAAGAACTGAAAGACGCATTAACACAACGTAAATTGGCAATGGCTGAATACACTGAAGTCACAGACAAGTTATCAGAGTTAAGACAACAAAAGCAAAAGTTGTCTAGACAAGTTAGAGATAAAGAGGAAGAATTGGAAGTTGTAATGCAAAAGGTTGATAGTTTGCGGCATGATATTCGGAAAGCCGAGAAATTACGTAGAGAGCTAGAAAATCGAGTTGAAGAGGCAATGGCAGAAACGAGTAAAGAGAGAAAGTTACGAGAGCGTAGCGAAGAATATTGTAAACAGATGCAAGAGGAGACTGAAAAAATTAGACAAAGATCTATGGGAAATGATGTAAGCGCGAATCATGCATTGGCAACGCAGGAAATTAATAGGTTAAAAGCCGAAGTAGAGAAACTTGAGGTTCAGTACAATGAAAACTTGAACCAACAACAAAGTAGGTTTAATCTCGACATACGTAGTCTTCAAGAACAACTACACGAGACCGAAACAAGAAGAGATTTATTGGAAAGGGAAATACAATTAACGAAAGAAAAACTAGATGCTGCAAGGTTGGAGAATATTACCGATAGCGAAGAGACCATAAATGATTTGAGCAGACGCCACGAAAGAGAAAAAACTATGCTAGTCGAAGAGAACAAAAAACTTATGTTAGAACTTAACACTCTTACCGATAGTGTTAATAGAATACAAGGTGAAAGGCGACAGTTGGAAGAAGAATACGAAGAATTAAGGAATAAGAAAGAAGCGATTGCACAATGGGAAGCCCAGATTACTGAAATTATTCAGTGGGTGTCCGATGAAAAAGATGCAAGAGGATATTTGCAGGTCTATTTCCGTGAACTTTATTATTTTCATTAAATTGTGTTCATTGATTATTTGATAATTTATAAATTTTAGGCGTTAGCAACAAAAATGACAGAAGAGCTAGAATTTTTGAAACACTCTGGTGGTGTCGGTAGTGTCGGAAGTGGTTCTACAATGGCAGACAAAAACTGGCGAAATCGTAGATCACAAAAGCTTGATAAAATGGAGCTTTTAAATTTACAAAGTTCTTTGCAAAGTGAAATACAAGCCAAACAGGCGATATCTGAAGAGCTTACGAAGACTCGTTCAGATTTAATTGCTGCTCAAAAGTAATTATAGTAATTTATTATTGTGATATCCTAAAATGTTATTAATTATAAACGTACCTTATATGTAGGGATGAAAAATATTGTTATCAAATAACGAAAAATCATTATGTTTGTAGGGAATTAAGAGACTTCAGACAACGATTTGATACACTCACGCACGAGATAAAACGCAAAGAAATGCAAATAAAAGAGTTACAAGCAAGGCTTGACACAGGCGACGGCTGTAAGTACATTTCAATTGACAATAGTACAAGTAACAATTTTTTAAAAAATTTCATTGTTACGTGTTTATAAAAAATGTTGTATCGACTATTCTTATACAAACTGCTACGATACATGCTATATATGTAAGCTGTAAGTGTATCGATCTCTCACGCACTGTGTTTAGGCGATGAATATATATTTATCTATTTTCTACATGAATTTGAGCTATTTGTGCGAGTAGTTTTTTTTTTGTAAATACGAATAGACAGATTTGATGAACGGTACTATTACTAAAGTATATCATTGGATTGTTAAATATGTCGATATTTACATTTAAATGTATTACAGTTACAAACATAAACTTAAGTGCAACATGTAGTACATAGATTTCGCAACCAAGTATATGGTTTTATTAACATCATACAAAGAAAATTTATATACTTCTGAAATATATTACATATAATAGGTGCGACATACGTGTGTATATATGTACACACACATATATATGTATATATATATATATACACAGACATATACATATGCTGGCATAATTTAATTATTATTTGGGGGAAGAATAAGGCACGTGAAATTTAGAGTGACGTTTTCCAAGATTGTTACATTGGCCCTAAAACGAAGAGGAAGTTAACCAAAATATTTCGCTTATAGTAATATGTACTATTCTTAAATATTCCTACATTTATAATTTTTGTTCTATGTTGAAACAATTACATACAATGTAAGGTATTTATATCTATTGAAAATATGTAAGCTACCAATAGTAGAGATCGTTGCTACTGGGATATCTGTCCAGCATAGTAATTCGGTTCTCCGGTACGGTATGCGATTCTGATTTCTAGACTACAAAGTGCCTCTGTTTATTGGCGTAACGAGCTGTGTCTGGGGCCTCTTGTTGCTCATCTTCAAACTGTATTTGTGACAGCTGTCCTATCCAGCAAAACGTCAAGCAAATCTCCAAACATCGTTTGCACCAAACCCCAACGCATCATCGTTCATCAGCCGTCGTCGCCCCTACCAGTAATGCGTGCTCCCCGCGTCACGACATGTCGCTTATTAACTAGATTCGTTCCCGTCAACACATTCATCAGTCAGAATGCCGTCGCCATCGTATCGCCACCTGGTAAATTAAGTGGCAGCAAAAAACGCGATTTTTATTGACTGGTCGGCTGAATTGCTAATCGCAAATCACAGTGCTATGTTTCTTGAACGAGCTGTTCGCTCTAGATGGTTTTTTTTAACTGATAACTGTTTTTCTGTATGTATGTCTCGAATATTGGAAATGCGTTACGTAGATTTAAAAGAAATATTAAGTCTGCTGGGCTGTTTTAGTCTAAAACATAGCTCTGTGTTGATTTTTACGTAAATTACCAACGAAATCAACTATGTGTTTCCTTGTATGTTAAAAATAATCGTCCCTCTATTACGGGTAGCGTTAGTAGCTCGTCGTCGTTTTTAAGCGATGATTGGTTCTTTGTTAATCTTAGTAGCTGATAATCATTCGATTTTGTAATTAAATGATTAACAGGTAATGTTGTGCCTGAATGTTTTCGCCTTTAGATTGTTTGTTCTGATTGACTTTGGTACATTTTATTATATGCTTGCTATTTCTGCTGGTGAACAATCGAGTATCAATTCCTATATACACAATTAACGATTACTACTTTAACAGAGTTTGTGTGGTGCAAATTGCAGTGGAGTGGAGTGATTACATTAAAATGTTTGACAAAGGTTGTTGCAATGTTCACAGTGATTAAAACATGTAATTTTGTAAAAAAGATAAACTCAATTTTTACAAGTTCATTTCAATATATATTTTAATAAGTAATAGATTCAAATTTTATATTTCACTTTTTATTAATCTAACAATACAATAAAAAAAAAGATTACGGTATAAAATTTTAAACAAATATTACTTTACGTTATTATCTTGTTAATACTTTCTTTCTCTATTTCAGTTTTAGAACGTCCTACATCTCAAATGTCATATCTGGAACATTTTTTGAAAGAAACAGCAAGCAGTACGCGTCATGGAAGTGCAGATAGCGTAGAAGCTGATATCGAGGATAATCGTGCGCCAAGTATTTCCAGCAGTAAAAGTAATTTGTCTGAACTTAGCATTGTAAGTGGTTTCTTTAAAATTTAATATTATATTAGTAATCGATGTTTAATAGAGTACCAAAATTTCCGGTATCCGCGCACCCCTAAATGTTTAATAATGCTTAATATTTATTAAAACCTAGGATCCAACATCGCCGTTGTCCCATGAACTTCTAAATAAATCATCAACAGCTCATGGACAACTCAGTCTTCAACCAAAACCCAAATCTCATCAATTCTTAGTACGAACATTTTCTGCGCCAACAAAGTGTAACCACTGTACTTCGTTGATGGTGGGTTTAACGAGACAAGGAGTAGTGTGCGAAGTTTGTGGCTTTGCATGTCATATGCCCTGTTGCGACAAGGTTCCACCAATGTGCCCTGTACCCCACGATCAAAGTAAATTACACGCTATATTATTTTATTCGAGAATTAACTATTTAATGAAGCATAATGATAAACAATTTTTGCAGCAAAACGACCTCTAGGTATTGATCCTACGCGGGGTATTGGTACAGCTTACGAAGGGTATGTAAAAGTGCCAAAAATGGGTGGAGTGAAGAAAGGTTGGGTTCGTCAATTTGTGGTCGTTTGCGACTTTAAGTTATTTCTTTACGACATTTCGCCAGATCGTAATGCATTACCATCTGTATATGTATCTCAAGTCCTAGACATGCGGGACGAAGAATTTAGTGTTAGTTCTGTTCGAGATTCGGATGTCATACATGCTACAAAGAAAGACATTCCGTGCATATTTAGGGTAATTTTTTAGGCTTGCTATCGTTGTCATAGTATCGTTGCTTGCTTCTTTATGACTTATCATTGTTCTAAATATCTTTAGATAACAACATCTCTGCTAGAACCGCCTGGATTGAGGAATCATACGTTAATGCTTGCAGACACTGATAGTGAGAAAACAAAATGGGTAGTCGCTTTGGGTGAACTGCATAGAATACTAAAGAAAAACAATCTTCCTAATACAACGGTACGTAAATATAAATGTAAATTTATGGTTTTGAAATGTAATACAATTTTATTGTGATGTTTGTCGGTTCCACGCAGATTTTTAGAGCAAAAGAATTATTAGATAATACATTGGCGCTCATTAAAAATGTGATGTCAGGAGCAATTATTGATCCAGATCGTCTAGTCATTGGCACAGAAGAAGGTCTCTTCTGTTTAGATTTAGATCGTAGTGGTATGTAATACTGGTATCATATATATTTAATCAAAATAACTACGCACTATGTTAACGAATTTATATTATGCTTCTAGAAATTGCAAGAGTTGGGGAAGGCAAGAAAATATACTTATTGGAATATGTAACGGAAGAACAATTAATTGTAGTTTTAAGTGGAAAACAACGTCATGTACGGCTGGTTCCAGTACGTGCATTAGATGGAGATGAAGTTGAATGGATTAAAGTTGCAGAGACTAAAGGATGCATTACTCTAACAACGGGTATAGTACGTCGTAATCCATTAACATATTGTTTGTGTGTCGCCATAAAGAAACAGGTAAGACATATCTTATTATGTAATATTACGATGTTAATATAATAGATATCACGTGGTTTCAATGTTACTTTTTTTAATTTAGAATGCATCACAGGTGATTGTCTACGAAATAACACGTACGAAAACACGTCATAAACGTATACGTGAATTAATGTTACCATGTCACGCACAAACTTTACAAGTTCTCTCCGAAGGTCGTTTTTGTGTCGGATATCCTTCCGGTTTTTCTATCTACAGCATTTTAGGAGACCATCACCCTATTTGTAAGTATAAATACAATCAGTACCCAGCTTTACGTGGAAGTAAGCAATGCATCCCATCAGATCATCTTTCATTAGAATCGCAATTGATAAAGAAAATGCATATTAATGCCGATTTTAAATATAACTTGACTAAATTAAATATATATGTAATAGACAAACAATATATTAATTTTTTTTCCTTTTTTTGTAATCTAGCATTGGTCCATTCTGAGAATACGCTCTTAGGTTTTCTCACATACAGTGCTGTGGATGCTTTACGTTGCATCGAATTACCACACGGTGAATTCTTATTAGTCTTCCATACATTGGCAGTATATGTTGATAGCCAAGGCAGAAAGATTAGAGATCGCGAAATTATGTATCCTGCTGTTCCTACAGCAGTTAGTAAGTATACTTTTAAGAAGACGCTACTTTAAATCATTTCTAAATATTTAAATAATAAATTTATTATATTAATTTCTATTACAGGCTATTGCGAAGGTTATTTACTAGTTTATAGCGAGACCCACATCGATGTATTTGACTGTACAACAGGAGATTGGTTGCAAACACTTAACGTAAAACGAGCACGACCATTGAATACTTCAGGTTCTCTAACATCTTGCGTCATTAACGATATGCCTCATGTTATTTTTCTGAGCAATTTACATCAACGTGAGTACATTTTGTTAAAATGAAAACAATAGCTGTATTTAGCTGAACATAATATTATCAAACGTGGTATGAATTCTGTATGGTACAATAGGAGAATTACTCAATTTAACACCACTAGACGCAAGCGGTAGACAAATGACAAGACCACGACGAAGATTTTCATTAAGAGAGGGGAATAGGGCTGTTCGTCCTACAGACAGACGTTCCAAAATGATATCTGCCCCGACGAATTTCAACCATGTCAGTCATTTGGGTCCAGGTAATGGAATACAGGTAAGTATTTATTTTATTTCGTTAACTTTACTATATTACATGCCCACTAATGTACAGATTTTTCACGTACAGTTCATATTTTATTTTAGATACAGCGATTGTTAGATTTGCCTACTACGCTTGAGACAGCTGATCAGCAGCATAGTGGTCATCACAGTAGCTCTCATCTTCACAGCAGTCAACAAAGAGTAGGAGTTTGTTATATTCTTTTCATCGTATACTTTTTATACGATCTTACCGTTAACATTGTATTCGTTTAATGTTTTATTTAGTTGTATGGGCCTGCTCTTCAAACACCAAGCAAACCAGCGCCATTACCTCCAAGGCACCCTCCTTCTGACACGCGACGACTAAGTTCTCATATACCTAGAAATTCTGGATATTCGCCGCATAACGGTAATATTCTTAATTTTACATATTAAGTATTTTATATGTTATGCATATGTGATTTTTCTTAGGTTCAACATCGTCACGTAGAGGACCGGCACCTCCAAGACCAACTGCTACTCCACCTTCGTTACCGCGTACTCCTGTGGACCAAGTTGATTCCGAATCCGTGCATCTACGATCCCATACTCCGCTTTCTCTCGGCAGTACCGCATCTTTACACGATAAGGTATTTATTTTCTTTGTTCCTGTTAAATCGAAACAAATATAAAGATTGCGTAGAATATTCGTAATGTATGAAATTATCTGTTACTATAGGAACACACCTCTGGTGGAAGTCCTAGACATTCAATAGCTTCAAACAACAGTTCAAATCCATCGACGCCTCCAAGTCCAGCCCACGATCATGGTTCATCTTCGTATGACTCGTAAAAAATTTAACACTTTTATTGGTACGGATAAGTTACTGTAATCATGTGTATTAATCTGTTCGATGGGATTACAGTATCTATGGTAATGTTTTTACAGAAAACGACATCCGTATTTAATTTTTTAGCTGGAAAGTTATCGCATTTTCTTTCTTCCTCCAATTTTGTGCAATACGTTTCTCAACATTGTGCATTACGCTGAATTTTATTACAAACGTACAACTAAAAGCATAATACTCTTTATTATATAGCATTGAATCGAGAAATTGCACATTTTAAACTGTTCAGTTCAATATAAAAATCTGATAATTACGTTATCTCACATTGAATTTTGACAACGCATTGCAATAACTTTCTGGTATTCAAGAATTTATGCATAATAAGTTATATACTTAACAAGGCAATTTATAATTAATGTAATGATAAATTATTGTAAATAATTTGTGTTTGAAGATCAGCGAGCCAGCTTTACGATGCCATATATTACCGAAATAGGTGTCGTTTTTTTTTCTTCTTTTTTTTAATTTTAGTGCAGATTTTATTTGCATAATTTTAATTTTTAATCACTGCGACTAACTTTCTTCAAGTTAATAAAATCGAAATCTCAGTCAAATTATCTAGCAATAAAAGAATTAATCTATCGTACCTACTTTTGAATCTAGGTATAAAAGAATAGTTTCAAGTAAATTATATACTTAATCATTCGTAGCGGCATAAAGAAATTTCGAGAAAGTGAATTGATCTGATTGCCTTATGACTAATACATTTTATTGCGTCATAATGCAGTAAGGTGCATCATATTATTCAGCGTGTGAATAGTAGAATAATCGTGCAATGTATCGGATGCTCCTGCTGATAATAGATAGTCATTCAACAAGTTGGTTACGAAGCTTTTACACAGTATACGAGTATTATAACAACGGTAAAGAAACGATGTTGAACATTGATTTGTCCTTACTGCAACGAAAATTTTTTTTTTTCTCTTATAAACATATTGTTTTTGCTGTCGTTAAACAATAAGTTACATTACAAAAATTTCCACGTTATTTAAAAAAAAAAAAAAAAAAAGAAAGACGTCGATTAAATATAGATACCAGTGTAGTGCATAATGACTGAGAACAGTATCGAAAATGATTACAAAGATTATATTTATACTGCTTATTTTAAATCAGATACTCTAAAATTTCTATATTAATCAGTTTTGCAAGAGCAGCACCTTTATTACTTTTATATTAAAACATTCAAAAATTAATGGAATCGAAAAAAATTACGTATTATTTCAAAATCATAGAAACTACCTAATAGTCAATAAATTTTGCTTTCAGTTTCTTTTTATAGACATAAGACTAGAATGAACAAGAATGAAATTTCATCAAATACACAGACACCATAAAAATTTTATATGTTTTAATATATAAAATATACATTTTTCATGTACATTTATAAAAATTTGCTAACTATACTGAAAGAAAAAGAGTTGGTAGAAGAAAATACCTATCTCAGGATTCTATGCCAGTAGAAATATGGAATAACATTTATCGATCAAGAATCCCGGGTTGCTTGATTATAAAAAAATATTACGGGAATCGATAATTCTTTGGCTTAAAGTCTTTGGGGCATATCGAATAAGGAGCCAATAATTACACAGTATCGGTTCAACTGCTAAGTACACAAAAATGGAATGCATATAAAAAGTAATTCTGAATTTAATCTTGTATTTGAATTTTCATATATTTATAACGAATTTTAACGGAAAAAAGTTTAGAAAGGTCTCCAAAATTTTATGGAATATTGAAAACGTTACTGGTAAATTATTGACACATTACATTCCGTGCAATTCATCTTATTTCCATAAAACGACGTCGAATACATATAAAACCGAAGTTCTAACTCTGAAAAAATCACCATTGATGGACAACAATGTCGACACAATGAAAATAATAATATGAAAATAATACCAAAAAACAAAAACGATGAAGGCATCGTTTTTGTCAGATTTGCGTAATAATAAGACACGAGAATATATTATAAATAAAATATATATCGACTGCAATAGGTTTGACATTCTTATATTAAAAATATAGAGAGAACCGTTAATAGAAGAAACGTGTTAATGTTATCGAACGAAGAATGTAATAGTACAGGTATTGCTATCCGTATCGGAATAAAATAAAGTTTAAAAATGAGTTCTAGAACCTATTCTAGAAGTGTAATCGAGGTATGTTTATAAATTATAGTAATGTACGTGTTATTGTACTTACCAACGGAATTCAATAATTTGCCTATCTTCCGCCATTGTTACTTAAGGGTTCTAAAATCAAAGACGCATCTGTTTTGTCTTATGTTGCCTTGTCTTCGAACCAAGTCTTGTCTATAGATAATAACATACGAAGAAATAGTCACTTTGTATAGCATTGATTTTATATTTTTGTAAATAATTCAATTTCTAAATAAGCTCGCAATTTCAACTTGATTTTAGATCCTTTAATTCTTCTTGTAATTTCTTTTTGTTTTGGCGTGCACATATACGCAACACCGAAATTTCGAATACATCTTTCATAATATGTAAAAACTACTACGCTATAATTATGCTTTCTTTTTACGCGTAATCAAAATATACGACCGGCATTCTGCACGATAATAGAATGATAATATGTATCCATACATAGATTGTATGATTCGATAGTTTACTTTTTCTACGAACTGTTAGAATACTTTCTGTAACCATTAATAATGATTTATATATCCCCATTGGTTTAGCACCAGTGCATGTAATGACCTGACTATTAATCATCTTTTTTTTTTCTAGCAAACTTAGTTTAGTGTATTCTATATTATGAACTTATTTATAACTAATATGTGCATTATTTACGATATTTATTAAAAACAATTGCAAGCAACTATTCGCATTTTAAATGAAGAATTGTATTTCGTTGTAAATTATTAATAACGCGCTATTACAGTGTGAAAGAGAACCAAACTTTTATGTTTATAAGATATATATCCTCCTGAAGAACATCCGTTTTGTAGATTTTGTAATATTTATATTTTTTATGTCTTACATTTTGTTCGTGCAAAATCTTCGACAATTGAGGAAGTATATTATACATTTTTTTGGTTGAAATTCATTGTTTACCGGCACATTAACGAATAATTTAATTTACTTATGTACAGGAAATATATTAATAAACTAAAAAGCTTGTACGTATATTTCTTGGCTTTAAAATATAGTATCATAAATTATTTGTGAATACAATATGTTAATTGATTTAAAGTACTATCTATGCACTAATTATGAGAGGTTAAATAAACTATAGTATAATAAAAAGTATAAACATAAAAAATGTATTGGATGGCTGATACAGTTTGTATCTCACAAATATAAAATATTTTTTATCCTTAGTTATTATTGCAATCAATAAGACGGTATAGAAGTTGTTGGGACATTTATTATTTAAAAAAGGAATCATTAATAGTAAGAAGAAATTCCCTATCGAAACAATAAACTGAACATCATTGTAAAAAAGATCACTTAGAAAGTTACGCAAACTTTTGTACTTATACTGTATATTGTGCTTTATATACTTTAGTACTTTATTATGCTATTTCTATATCGCAAAAGTAATCAATTTTACGACATTGTATTTCTATTAATACAGCTGTCAGTAAAGAATATAAAACTTAACATGCTTTGCTATGAGATAATTGGTAATGACTAATTGTTTCCAATACCTTTCTCGTAAATATAATACATGTTACATCAGTAAGAAATTTTTTTTTTTAAGTGTACTGCACAGAAGCACATAAGTTTAGATTTATAAATTTTATTATGTTGTATACATTAACATACTAAATAATTTCGGTATTCCAAACTAACTCTAAATTTTATCTTAAAAAAATTTTCGTTTAATGTAATTATTTAAATAAAATGTACTTAATATTTTCCATGCCGTGATTTTTTTTACAAAAAAATAATGGAAAAATTATCCTAAATTTTGTTCACAAATCATCCGCTTAAAGATATCCACTCGTTAATATTGAACATAACATATTTATGAGAAATAACATTTATTTAAATTGTATGCGATGTGTAATTTCCTAATATTGTTTGTAAAGACCGAATGAACAAAAAATTGAATTATATACTAATTATTACTGAATTTTTATGTTAAAATATTTACTAGAATTTATTTCATTTTCACATATTTATATCATATTCAAATTGCTTTATGAATTTTTAAACTTGTAACATTATAAATTTGACGATAACAACAGTTTTTAGCAACATTAGTCATACTTTTTGTATACCATGAATATTTAAGAACTCATTCGATTACATATTTGGCAAAAGCCTTCGAAATTATAATGCATTTGCATTTAATCCTATATTGTGCAAAATTCAAGAGCACTTACAGAATTTTACCTTATGGTGTAAAATCGCCGACTCAGAATATCTCAATTATAAAATTATAAACGATCTCGTTTTATAAAAGTACTTGCTGAAAACATATTTTCGTTAAATCATATGTGAGAAACAAGCTATATGTAACTTGTTCGTTTATTACGTATGAATGTTATTATTTATTAAATTCATTATTCATTTAAAGTTTTTAACAATATTAGTGGCAGCTGTACAGAGAAGATGTTACGTACTATAAATAATAAAAACAATTATAATAGATGAGTAAATCGAGTAACTGAATGTTTTGGAGATACATTACAAAATATATTTATAATATAATGTAAAATTTGTATGTGTAATGTACAATTTTAATTACGCATATGCATTCTAAAATAATTTCACAAATATTAATCTTTAAATATGCTACAAAATAAAAGCTCTTGCATACATTAAATCTCAGCCACGGAAAATTTCTTAAAAAATTAATGCGATTAATCAATAAACGAATTACGTCCAGTCTCTTTACGGCTTTGATTTATGACTAATTACCTATTAATTATATATCTATTAAACTTCGACTGTATAATACAACAAAGAACACACGCGACATTGTATACTGCCGTCCTATGTTTAGAAGACGACATGTTGCAAGAAACGCAATTCTTTCAGTACTATTAATCACCAGTGGAATTCAGGAGTACAATATTAAATTTGTACCTCGTTTTGACGGTTTTGTTGCTCGGATTCCATAATCCTGGCGATATATATTCACTGTCACGATAAACTTCCTTTGCTTGTTGCATAAATTCTCTAAAAGGTGTAACTCCTACGGCATTTTGAACCTCCCCTTTCCACAGAATTAGCCAAATGTTACAAGGAAGTATCGGAAGGTGGTGTGCTTTCATGGTAACTGACTTGACTCAAAGAATGTTGAAGTGCATCAGGGGTTAACCATTCTTTTGGTAAACAACGTTGTAGGAATGGTACACAAGAACTAAAATACGCAAGACGATTTACCCAACCAGGTATTTCTTGGCCACATAAAATCTGTAGTTTATAATAAAACTTGTTAGCATTACTTCAACGAACAATTATTACATTATAGTGTTATATACATACAAGGGTAAGTTGGCTACTGAAGTGATTACAATTTTTATTCATTAAATGGTAACGATCTCCCCTAAAATCTTTTCCTAATTCAGTAACAATTCTGTTCACATCTTCTTCTGTGAAGTCTGTATAACCGATGTGTACCGATTGTCTATAACGAAAAGAACATATTGCTATCTATAACATAGAATTTGCATAAATTTACTTTCGCTATAAAAATATTTCACGTTCAAAAAAATTCAATTCACCTATATCTAAATTGCTCCCCTAATTCATCGGCAACTCGTGGTGTGATTTCAAAAATTCCAGAAATTGGTTTAGAATGGCCTCCATACGCATACTCTATCGAAAGATTAATATGTTTAATTATATTTTTAATAAGGTAAAATTTTAATTTTAAAGAAATAACAAATAAACATATATACCTGTTCCATAAATTTCAACTCCAGAATGAAAGACACCTAATCCTATAGGTGTAGTATATTCATTTATCCAATACTGAAATAAAGAATTTACTTGTTCAATGTGATACATTCATGAACATTGTGAAACAGTTTTCTTACCATATCATAAACATTAAGAATTATTGGCTCACGTGCCATTTTTGGTATTAATTCTTCACTGTCCTGTGGGTAACCCAGGCAACTGGGAAAGGAGAGATTACAACTAAGACCTGACGAAAACATCATAGAGATACTTGTACTCGAAGAGATGAACAGCGGCACTACCTATGTTCCAACGCACCTAATAAGCAAATACATACAACTATATACTGGACCTAATATAAGCAAATAGCCATGAATAACTACAAAATAAGGATTATGTCAAACAATATTTGAAAATCGTTTACAATGTTTAAATTTAAAACAATTTTCTTAAAGCCATACTTGAAAATTAAACCACTTTCTTATAACAAAGTTATATCACAAAGTTACACATAAAAAAAAATCTAAAATTCTAGTAAACACTAATCCATCCAATCTAATAATCATTAACGACCACAATGAAATGTGTATCTTTCTGTCGTGTACCATTGCATATTATAATATTACCTATTAATAATCAATAAATGCATGCTTCTTCGATAAAAACATGTTAACATATGCAAGATACACAATATCGGATGCAGTTCTCTAGCAACAGAAATTTATATGAATAAAAAGATAATATAATAAACATTGTATCCTTTAATTTTTAAAAGTTCATGTAAGAACAATGCTAATACCAAACATAAACACTATGGTTACATTTCATGATTCAAAATTGCTATGTTACGGCTAGAAAATAATAAAACGCTGCATATTTTAATGCAATGCAAAACGTTGAGTAATAACGTAACTCGAGTAAGATACTACGAATGATTTATTTTATAACGTAAGGATAAAAAAAAAAAGATGCAATATGAATCATCGGGTCGAGAGTTTAACAGCACGAGAAAAATAGAAATGAATTCTATTACCTAAAAAACAAATTTCGACTTCAGTGCAATCTCATTTCTTTATACTTTGTCATGAAATAGTGGAGTACACGTCAAACTTGAAAGTTTCTTGAAAGAGTTGTTGATGTCAAACAATACACGAAGTCATCGTACGATTTCAAACGACCGAGTCTTCAATGGCTTAAAAATTGATCATTTATCCAGGTATGACAATTTTGATAACGATTATTGAATCTCTTAATATATTTATTGACAGGAAGCACTTAACAATTTAAACTTATGAAAATTACTCGCAAATAGCATACATTGTATCGGTAAGAAGTCCTCCCTCCACCCACTTAAATCATACTAAATAATCAACAAAAATCTTTCTTTCAAGATTCGGTTACATATTCCAAATGTTTATAGTTTATTTTTAATCACAAACTTTGTTAATTGTACACTCATAAAAATCGCAACATCGCAATTTTTTAAAGGAATTTATACAAATTGTTTATACCTAGAAACGATTACCATTTGTCTAGTGATATCGAATAAATTTCTCTAGGTAAATGTCAAGTTGTATAAAACTATACATACTTTTGTTTAGCACTCGCGCACGATTTTAATACAGTGTTAAAATATTTTATTTATGTTTTGAATGTTTTCAAAATTCATTGCCATACGTGCACAGTGTATAATCGAGTGCATCGACGTCAACAGTGTTGACTGAACACTAGAAACGACGAACTTCCTTAATCCCTTCCCGTGCCATTTAGCTCGACGAAATCCGGGCCCAGGCCCAAACAGACCCGATTTATGCCAAACTGCTTTGTAACAGATATTATAAGAATCGTGACTAACTCTCGTAGCGTACTGATAGCAACTGAAACTCAAGGACGATGGTGATTTGCTGTCCTTCTCTTCGCGAGTCTGGCTCGTGACATTCAGGTTCGGGCCCAAATCGAGTCAGATACAATTTCGAATCTTGATTGTCCAGACATTTTTACGTTCCGACCCATACAGGCACATTTATACAAGCAAATTCCATAATGCAAAAGAAATAAACACGGAGATACACGTTTTAAGACCCACTGATCATGTTTGACATAAAACAATACTTTGGAAATATATCGTTTGAATATAGTTTATCAAGTAAGACTTTCGAAATTATTTTCAAACGATTTATTTTCTAATTCTTCTATTATTTCAAATAATAATTTTTTGATTCTATAGCAAAGAATGTTTATTTAATATCAATTCAATAAATTCAATTTGTATTTGTATATTTTTCGCCTATACATATAGGCAAATATACCATGTTCAGTTTTATTGCATAAGTTGTTCCATAACAGAGATGTAAAGTCTCTGAGTTGTTAAATATAAAAGTTGTTCAGTTTGGTTGTTCCCACAAATGAGATTTTCTTGGTCTTTAAAAAGACCGGTTTGTCCCTTGGCCGCTGCTCGTGAACCATCTTCTTGGCCATCCTCAATTTTGATTGAATGGAAATCTTCAATTAAATTCTTCATCTCGATACGGTCCGTCTTGCTTGGCGGTTGGGCGATAACTCCCCCGCGAGGGCCTCAGGGGTCTCTTATAACCTTTGTTAAGCAAGTGCCGCCCCCAGCGGACTGGCTGCTGATTGGCGGGCGATTTCTTTATCCGACTGCATAAAAGTGACCACAGCTGGCGGATTCTTTTCAGTACTCCTGGAACCGCCAGGAGTATTGTCACGCGTATGTTCTGTTTCAGATATCTTCCGCGATGCTGACCAGGAAGGATCACCCTTTGGTATAGATACAATTAATATAAATATAACTAATCCAAATATTGTCTTTTTGTGAATCCAAGTATTGTCTTTTAAGGAACAACTTTTCGAATATTCTTAGAATTTCTACATATTCTTCACCAAAATACGCGTTGTTTGCCTTTAGAAACATTGGAATCCTTCGATCGAATCAGACGGTATGATGTACTGATTAAAATTCAGCTAACAAATTATTTTAGTCAATGGGGGGGGGGTAGAGGGATTTAAGTCCCTAAACTCTGCTAAAAATATGAGTGGAATTGTTATTTAGATGTGTTAGTTTTTGTCTATTGTCTTTTTATTGCTTTGAAGGCTTGAAAATCGTTTATACTAGAGGCATATTACCTACAATATTTGAAAACTATATACACCAGTTACATTGTCATGACATAAACTAACAAAGTTATCACAATAATTCTATCAGTGTTTATTTACAAATATATAATATAAATATAGATACCACTTTTATATGAGAAAATTTACAATCAATCATATTATTTTTATACAAAATAAATGTGCTACATGTTTTTTTATTATTAATGCAATTGACAGATAAATAAAATCTTGAATATTTATAGTAGATTTTGAAAAACTTCAAAATAACCGGTTTTTTTACACTTTACAGACCTGTAAAGTTAACTAAGAATATACATATTAATTGAAAACTTCCTCTTATTAAAATTTGTATACTCTTAATATACTAAATTAGACTTTTAAATATACGAAAATGCATGCGATTTGATTTTATCTTTAATTAATATTAACCTGAATGTGTTTTATTCAAAAATACAATAATCTATAGTTAAATAAATTTCCTATTACTTCTAAGTGTTTTATCTAACAAAATAAATTATGCTTTGCTAACAAAAGCATAATTTTTTTTTTACAAAGCATTGGTTGTCATCTTAGTATAATAAACATGATGTTTGCTAAATAATTTATTATTCAATTTATATTGCAAATATATTATTTTAAAGTTATGTATTTGTGGCAAATAGTTTATACAAATGTAACAGCAACACAATTTACGTTTTCAGTAGATTTAATAGTCTAGTTGTGCCTGATTGTTCTGTACATATTTAATTTTTATGAATGTATGCGCATTATTTATGTATAACACGTAACTTTAAAAGTTCTGTTTGCATTACAAATTGTTCTACAAAGCTTAAAACATTTTTATTCGTGATTATATAATGAAGAAGACGGTATACGTATTATGCAATGAAAAATACTTGAGAATGGCAATTTTTTAAATCAATTCTACCGAGTGTTGTTAACATATATAAAATGTCTTATTATATGTTAACTTTCCCTTTATAAAAATTACATATATGTCTATAGACCGTAAAAAAATCTTAGTTGTAAAGCTCATTATTGTATACATTGTGTTTCAAATGATAAACATTTTACTATGTGTATAGACTAAAGGAGGTACATTAAATAATTTGCCAATTAAAAAAACATAAAGCTAACTAAACCTTAAATAATTAAAAGTATTTGTATCTATATAAATGTACAATCTACCTGCATAACTGTACGATTAATAAAATAAACTGTACTCGACTAAAGAGCAATAATAGTATAAATTTGTTTTTGAAGCGCACAATAGTTTTCTGAAACCTAACATTCATGCTTACTATACAAGTGTATTTAAAGTAAAGTACTAAGAATATGAGTACAAGTACAGTAGTACAAAATATTTATAAATACCACATATGCTACTTTAACTAGTTTGGACAAAACATCTGTGTAACAGTGACAGAACGGATATAAAAATATAAAAATTTACAGTTGTTTAAGCATATGTAAGTAACAAGAATATTACTATTCAAGTAATGCAAATTACATGTTCTTAATGTATTGATAACGAACAGTCTGAACAAAAATTTATAACATTCGTAAATCAAACACTTCTACAACTGTTTTAGTTTTGATAATATATGTATATGATTTTATATTCCTAATGATATTAAAAAATAACTATATATCATAATCTTCATCAATATTGGCAGTATGAGCAAAGTTTGATGTTGGTTGATTACTTGTATTTACACCAGATGTGTTTGTACTTAAATTCATAGGATTAACTTCTGTATAAAAGTTTGGTTGACTAATTTGAAATGCCGTAGGCACGGATATTTGAAATTCTGGAACTTGAGAGACAGATGCATTTATAACTGTTTCGTTAACAGCGCCTAAATTATACATTCCTGTTCCTCCGTTATCCTCTAAATTTTTATGTTCTACATTTACTTCAGTAGTTAATCCCATTTGCTGCTTCTGAAGTCTATAAAAATACAACGGTACATTTACAATTCTAAAATGACAGTTTATCCAATATGTTACTTACCCTATTTCGCAATGTCGCAATGCCGATGTACAGATGGACGAATTTGATATATTTGAATTTATTGGAGCAGGCGTCAATGGCGGTGTAGGCACTTCATCATCAGGTCCTGAAATATCTGGCAAAGACTTCACCAGATCTTTCAAAAAATCAAACCGACTTTCTGATAAAATACATTGTTTCCTACAAAAAAAAAAAATTGCAATTTAAACATTATCGATATATCGACAATTATTATTATTACTGTTAAAATAAATAATTTTAAAAGACCACACTTACATATGAGATGGACTCAAAGTTTTAGCATTTTTGGCACTTGTAATTTGCATAGTCTTTGTAAGTAACGAATGCACAAACAATTCTAATGTTCTAGGTATATAAACAGTCAAGGAACTTATTATTAAAGTGGAAGTGTCATTAACCATCTAAATATTAACAAAATATGTACCGAATCGTGTAAACGTGTTATTGAAAATTGTTGTTTTTTTATTAATTTGAAAAGGATATAAATTATAATTGGCACTGCTTGTGCAACTTTTCCAACTTCTTCGTCAGTCTGCATAATTTTCTTGATCCGACCCTAATTTAGAGTTGCAGAATTAGGTTAAGCACGAACATTTAAAATGTTTGCGCACAATTGTTTATTTATAATGTTGTGTCTTTTCACAGTTTAAACATAACTACGTGTTAATCGCGATATTGTGTTTATTAAAATCATAGCCATGTAATTTATGTTAATTTTCAATATTTTTGGAAAATCATCCCTTTCAAAATATATATGTTATTTTGATACTCACAGCTGGAAAACGTGCATTATATTTTTTCTTTTTACTTGGCATTGTAACGAGATTGCCAGTACTTCACACCACGTTAAATTAAATATAAAGAAAACGACAAATAAAGCTTTGCAAAAAAAAAAACGCGTTTATGTTGTATTTGCAGCAATTGAAGTGTTCCGAAACTTGACACACATCTGTAATGTGTATTTTCAATAATTCATAAAATATTTTATGTTCGTAAATTTAATGGTCGATATACATATAACATGTTATAAATTGAACGAAGTGTGTTCGAAGAAAAGTTTTCGAAAACACGTAACTTCTAACGTATATTCATTAACATTTGCTTTATTTCAAATTGCAACGCGGATCATTTTTTTTTTCTCTTTTATTTCTTGTAATGTGCCTTTTTCTCTAGAATAAAGTAATTTATTTTCACTGGCCGTACGTAAAACTGTTAGTGGTAGCAATGATTAAAGATGTCTTCTTATTATAGTTAAATTATACGGGATAAAATAACTTTAGGAACGACAAATTAGTTTTAAATTTGAATGGCGTTTTTAGGGAATCGTAGTTAAATTCTATAGTTTGTTTACAAATTTTCGTGGCTGTTCGTATACAGAGAAACATTAACGTTGGAACGGTATTGTTTTAAAAAAATGTAAACAATGATTTTGCGAATACAAGCACGATGATTCGTTTATTTATAAAGTTTTGATAAATGGGTTCAATGGTGTAACAAAAATATTTTTAATTTCCGACTTATAATAAGTTTACGCAATTCTGTACAAAATTTGTTTTACAATGGCTAATTCGAACAACGATAGAATCGTCGTTTTGATAGATATGGATTGTTTTTTTTGCCAAGTTGAAACAAAACTTCGACCAGAGTATGAAGGAAAACCACTTGCTGTTGTACAATACAATCAGTGGAAATTAGGAGGGCAAGTATATATTACTAACGTAAATTTAACGTAAAGTTAAGTTAACAATAAATTTAATACTAACGAGAAATTACCATTTTACATTTTTAAATAGAATAATTGCTGTTAATTATGAAGCAAGAGAATATGGCGTTACGAGACACATGAGAGGGGAGGAAGCTAAAGAAAAGTGTCAAGATCTGATTTTAGCTAGCGTGCCATGTTTGCGTGGGAAAGCAGATACATCGAGGTACGTTAAAAAATTATTATATCAAGTATAAATAATTAAAAGGTATAATTTTGCTTCATCTATTTAGACGACTTGGTTTTGGTTGAGAGTATAAAGAATATAAATTTATCAGTTGTAAGGAGCAATCCAAGTAACTTTTATTATTTACAATAATATTTTAGCCTATGGTTTATGAGCAATAAAATTTATATGTTTAATTAGATATAGGAGTGCTGGTCGTGAAGTTATCGAAGTTATAAGAAAACATTGTAACGTAGTTGAACGAGCTAGCGTGGACGAAGCATATATGGATCTGACCGACACCATTAACAAAAGAATGTTAACAAATTCTACTATTTCCACAGAGCATTTAATAACACAACTTTCAAACACATTTGTAGTAGGATACTCTGAAGTTGGAAAGAACAACGAAGGTAAAGAGCGAATCATTATAAATCTTATTTGTAGCTAACATAATCGTATTATACAATTTGTAGAAGACAGAAGCAAGGGTACAAGAGCTTGGATATCTAATATTTTTGAAGAGCTCGAAGATGTAAAAGCTCAAAAACTTGCAATGGCTGGTGCGATAGTCGAAGAATTAAGAGATGATATATTTAAACAGACAGGATTTAAATGCTCCGCTGGTATCGCGCAAAATAAAGTAAGATGATATTTTTTTAGACATTAAATACGTATATTATAAGAGTTAAAGGAAGTTATATCGGTATAATATGTTCTTAGATATTAGCTAAATTAGCATGTGGATTACATAAACCAAATCGGCAAACAATACTACCCGCGGATGCAGTATCGTCTCTTTATTCATCATTGCCAGTTAAAAAAGTTAGGAATCTCGGTGGTAAATTTGGGGATGTTGTTGTTGAATCCCTTAATTGTAACGTTATGGGTGACTTATTGCAGTATTCGCTGCAATATTTACAAAAACGTTTTGATGACAAAACAGGGTATGCTTCTTAACGTTTCTCTATTGTCCATTATTATATTCTACGGTTCGTATACCAATAATTACTATTCCCAATTTATTAATAAATGCGTTTATTTAGATCATGGTTATATAATATCGCTCGCGGTATAGACAACGAGCCTGTTACTATGCGACTTGTGTCAAAATCAATTGGAGCATGTAAAAAATTTCCAGGAAAGCAAGCTATTACTTCGTTGGATGTAGTAAGTTATAAAATAAAATACGAATAGAAGTTTTTTGAATACGCGTATATAAAAGTATAAGTATGTTACAAAAATATATTTTGCAGTTAAAACATTGGGCCGGAGAATTATCGGCAGAAGTTTGTGAACGCCTCGAACAAGATCTAGAGGAAAATGAACGACGTGCGACATTACTTACGATATGTTATCATTATTATCAAAACAAAACTGTCGTGTCTCAGTCACGTTCGTGTACTTTAAATTCATATAAACCAGAAAAAATGGCAAAGCAGTGTGTAGAGATTATATCCAGATCGACACAGAATCCAGTTGCGTACGTAGGACTATCAGCTGGTAAATTTATACAAGCTAAAGGTAGCGAGAATTTCATAAACTTCTTTAAAGCAAGCAGTTCAGAACATCGCCAGAAAATAAGCGTTCAACCAGAAAATACAGATATGGAATGTATAAAACTAACAAGTAATACTGTTGAAACAATAACGGATACTTTGGAGATTGGCAAAAATATTGGCACGATTTCTAATACGCATGAAACAAAGAATGTATCAAACGGTAGATTAAAAAGTGCTGGACAAAATTCTAAAAGCAGTGCCGAATTGAACGAAGAAATTCCTAATATGGAAATAGATTGGTCACCTACTTCTAGAAGATTAAATACTTTAATAACGTCTTTAAACGAACGGAATAAGAAAAAAACCGTTTATGAGAAGAAAATCAATAATTCTAATTTAAACAAGTCCTTACATCAAAACCAGTTCGAGGGATCATTTTTTTTAAATATTTTTAATCCAGAAGAAAATAAGTTAAAAGGCGCGCGCCGAAAAGAAACTACTGTATTAACTGAACTTAATGAAAATGTTGATATCGAGTACGAAAAGTTTAATGAAAATATTACAGAAGAGGTTAAAATTGAAAATGATTGCAATATACCGAAAGAAAAAAGTACCGATTTTAAGGGGCATGAAAATATCACATCTAATAATAAAACTAACTCTGCTAAATTAGACGTTGATAAAGCACAGTGCAGTTATAGAGAATCTGTGCAAACATCTTCAAATGCAGCAATAAATGGAAACGATATAGAGATTAATTCGCAAAGTACTATAAAATTAGGAGAAATATTTCCTGATTTAAATAATATTGATCCAAATGTGGTTGCATTGTTACCTTTGAACTTACAAAAAGAAGCAAAATTATACATGAAAGCACAAAATAGAGAGACTAATGCAAGAGAAACTTCGACGAGAAATTCAAAGGTAAAAGGTAAATCTAAAACTAATGTCACAAAGGGGAAGAAGAAGAGCAATGGCATTTATAGTTTCCTAGTCAAAAGAGATTTGCCTAATGTTACTGATGTACCACCCATACGATGTGTACATTGCCGTGAAATGATAGCCGCTTCAAAATACAACGAACATTGTGATTTTCATGTGGCTGAAAATCTGCAAAAGGAATTAAACAATTCAATGTTACGCATTGTAAATATTGAGAGGAAAGTAGATACGTACGAAGTAAATTCAAATTCCATGAAACGTCGTTCGAACGACGATATTTTAAAGCCTGAGAAAAGCTATAAATCTACATCATTTCTTTCATATTCAAGTTGATATATTTTAAATGTGGCAAAGTATAAATACGAATTCTCATATCTGTTATTTGAAACTGAAATAGCTTTCATGAATTATTATTTAAAATATTTGAAACATTTTAGAATAGTGCGCGTAGTCATGGTATTATTTACACTGTAATGTAAATAAGAATTTTTCTATGCGTTTAAAATTAATGTTCTACTTAAAAAGTACAATAATTGATCTTTCTTTCCCCGTCGCTTTAAATCGATTCTGTTTTTAAGTCTACCCGAGATAAATGAGTCTCGTTTTATTTAATTCTGTAAGGCAATGGCTAGTAATGACGAAGTATATATAATAAAAAAATAATTATTAATTACGTTGGATAGAGAATCTCACTGTAAAAGACAGATTGATAAACGTGAGACTTTAACGATAGATCTGTACGAAAAATAAAAAAATATTAGTATGTTTTTATTTAATAGAGTTAGAAATTTGTAAAACATTCTGTATCAATCAAATCGTACTACATACTCCATTACCTTTCCCATTAATTTCTTAATTTTTATAAATTCTGAAGTTCTATAATTACTTCAAATATTATTCGAATCTAATTAAGTTCTTCAACCGTTCCTCTATACACTATTACATGTAATTAATAAATTATAAACGATTACCGAAAGCGATTCTTATTCGAATATTGTGCTAAAAAGTGCCGTAAAATAGTGTCGCCATCTAATATCAGGGATTCGAACTGCTAAAACCGTGCCAGGATCACAGAATGTGTGAGGAGGTATCCGGAGTACAGGTTCCCCCCGCCATATATGTATATGCATTTTAACAGTACAAATCCCTGATATTAGATGGCGATACTATTTTACGGCACATTTTAACGCATATACTAACCTAACTGTTTGTAAATAAAGTGATCTTTTAATAAAAAGAATAGCAGAAATCATGACATTTGCCGAATTAAACTTAAACTTATGGATAGTTAATCAATGCCACTCTCTAGGTACGTATCGACTTAAATGTCAATTCAATTGAAAAGTAGAGAAAATTATTGTGTTATTGTTTATTATAGGTTTGAAGAAGCCTACGCCAATTCAACAAAATTGTATTCCAAAAATATTAGCAGGTAGCGATTGTATTGGTTGCGCAAAAACTGGTAGTGGTAAAACACTTGCATTTGTGCTCCCTATATTACAAAAATTATCGGAAGACCCTTATGGTATATTTGCTCTCGTTTTAACTCCTACAAGAGAGCTTGCTTTCCAAGTATGTTTAATAAAATATCTATATGCTATACAATTTATATTAATCTTTTTTTTGTAAATTTAACCATATTTATCAAATATTCCATTTTATGTTTGTAAACGATACAGTAGAAACTTTTACATGTAGATCGCAGATCAGTTTTCAGCGATAGGAAAATCTGTTCGTTTAAAAAAGTGTGTAATCGTTGGTGGAATGGATATGGTTGTACAAGGCTTGGAGTTATCGAGGCATCCGCATATAGTTGTTGCAACCCCAGGGCGTTTGGCGGATCATTTAGAGAGTTGCAATACATTTTCTCTGAAGAGAATTAAATTCTTAGTTATAGACGAGGCTGACAGACTTCTAGGAGGTAATTTTGATAGTCAGTTGAAAACTATATTCGGTGCTTTGCCTCAGAAAAGGCAAGTTCTCCTTTTTAGCGCAACAATGACAGACACTCTTGATAAAGTGAAACATATTGCGTCTAACGAGGTATTATGAAGTTTCGCTTAAAGGGTATAGCCAAATAAACATTATAAAAGCACTTTTAGTATGCTTATTCGGTTACATCCTTTAATATTAAAATCGACAAATTGAAGCATGTAGTTATATTAATCACGTTTCAAGGTTTTTATGTGGGAATCTAAGGATGATTCTGGCATAGCTACAGTAAAAGAACTTGATCAACGTTATGTACTTTGTCCAAGCGATGTTTGCGATTCTTTTCTGGTAGAAGTAGTTAGAACATTTCGAACAACAAACAAGGATGGATCGATAATGATATTTACAGATACTTGCAAGTAAACTGAAAATATTTACATACGCTATATTCATTAATATATGTCGAGCATAAACAATAATTATTACATATTATCTTTTAGGCATTGTCAGTTGTTGTCCATGACATTAAATGATATTGGCTTTAAAAATGTAGCCCTACATGCAATGGTAAAACAAAAAGATCGTCTTGCGGCACTTAATCAGTTTAAATCGAATCATATAAAAATTTTAATAGCTACAGATGTTGCAGCAAGAGGTTTAGATATTCCTGCAGTTGAATTAGTTATAAATCATTCTGTACCAAATGTACCAAAGGAATACATTCATAGAGTTGGTAGAACAGCTAGGGCAGGCAAAGGAGGTATGGCAATTACTCTGATAACACCATACGACATCAAATTATTGCACGCCATCGAGGATACGATTGGGACAAAATTAACAGAATACAAAGTTAATGGTAACATATTTTTTAATTTATTATTTAATCGACTGAAAGACAAAAATGTATTAAAATAACATTTCCGAACAGATAAGGAAATAGTCACGATCATAACGCAAATATCTGTTGCTAAACGAGAAGCTGAAATGAGATTAGATGAAACAGACTTTTATGAAAAGAAGATGATTAATAAGCGTAAAAAGCTCATTCTCGAAGGAAAAGATTTAGATGAAATTGAGGAAATATTGGAGAATAATACATCTAATACATCAAAGAAACGGAAAAAGAAACTTGTCAAAAGTACACGTAATGCAAATAAGTGTGATTAACATCAGATTTTATTATCTGGAAAAAATATATGTATATTGTATAAAGATTAACAAATTAAGCTATTGTTTAATGAACAATTAATATATGGAAGGCACATATTTATGTTATGTACTGTATAACATACAAATATAATTATTTTATAAAAATTATTATTTTCTATTTCAAAAATAAGAAATATCCGTTTGTATAAATTCGTATGTGTTAAACAATAATTTTGTTAAACAAGTACAAAATAGCTATAAAATATGTAGTCTATGAAATAATCTCTTTTGTCTTCTTAATTAAACATTAATAACTGTAGAATCATTATTTTCAATTAAAGCATAACAAATGTTTCTATTTACAGTCATACACAGCCAAAGATAACTCGTTAAAAATTTTTAATTCATTATGAATGTAACAACTCATATTTATTTTTTTTTTTTTTTTTTTTCAAATTAATTCAAATGAATCAAGGAACTACATATTCAGCGAGCAATATATCATTTAAGAGTGTAAGTAATTAGATATTATATTGCGCATTTAGAGACGTGCTCTCATTTTTTCTTCATTTTGTATTAAACGTAATTTATTCAAGAAAGCATAAAGTTCTCCGACATATTCTTTTGGATGGTTTTGGAAGTGTCCAACATGTGGCGATTTCTCAAATATTTTGACATAAGTCTGAAAGATAGAAATGTCAAATTAACGAGGTACTGTTTTATTTTACATATTTGTAAATATTACCTTCACACCCAAGGATTCCCATTGGCTGCGTACTCTCATATTATTAGTTATTGTACCAACAGGATCCGTTTTACTTACAAAAAATAATGCTGGACTGTGTACTAAATTCGAATGAAATAATTGACTAGATCGTATATAATACTGTGTAGATTGTTTATAAAATGTCATCATATGATATCTGAAAATCATTTTAACGTCGATTAAATTTAAGATGCTGAAAATTTTGGTATACGTATGAAAATAATTACGATTAAAACTCGACTCACTCTAAATACTTTTGTAATACATTTTGTAACATTTCATTTTTTGGAAATACAGCACGTGGGGTACCGATTGACAATTCGGTTACATCTGCCAAACTATCCCAGACTTGGCCAACAACTCTATCTATCACATTAGCATATCTTTGACGGTTGCTTTCAATTAAATCCAACACTTCTCCCCACATATATCCTCCCACCGAGAACCCGTGTAACAATATTTGTTGGTAATTTTCATGTTGTATTAAGAACTCTAGTAAGTCTGCAGCCACTACCTAAAAAAAAAAAGACTTTACACATCCACTTACGTTAGAAACGATAATCTATTTTTCATTTTATTTGTTTCGTAAACTTACCCTTGATCCTGTAATGGGCCACAGTAGTTGCCAAGGTGTCATTGATACTAACGCAACATCAAAACCCTGTTCTGTGTACAAATTAATAAATTTCATAACATGTCTACGTCTTGCTAAGAGCCAACTGAGTACAATTAACAGTGGTCTACATTCTGTATTTTTATTATGTTGCGTTTGGTCATTAGAAACCAAAATTCGATTATTCTGTGTAATGTGCTCGATGCTCTTTGTGACACGGTGACTGGATAGTTTACATGCCAATAAACACAGAGTCTAATTAGGGAGGAAAGATCAATTAGAATATAAAAGTTTATCGAAAGTGAATTAAAAAAATAAAAAATCTACGTTACCAAACTTTGCCTCTGGTTTAATAACTGGGGCTGAGCAAAGGAAACCGATCGTGTCCTTGTCAGAGTAGATGATAAAATTCTTCCAACGATCATTATTGCCAGCAAAGATCTACCCAGTCTATAAAGCACTCAACTGATTTAATGAGGATTTTTAACAGTAATAATGTAACAATGAGGCGTATTTATAAAAATACATAATTTATTTATTAGCTTATAGAATATACTGTAATTAGGGAATTGCTCTGGATTCTGCGTAAAATTAAAATTACAGGTTAGAACTCTACAATTATTCGAATTCTCGGCATGTTAATTTTTTTGGTATATTTATTTTTTACATTCGGTCATGCGATGAGACTAAGTAGAGAACTCATTCGTTATTTAGAGCCAATTGACCTGTTTGAGACATTTTTAGTTTATTCGTTAGATATACTAATCTTTCCTTTTTACGCTCTTTCTCTCTGTCAGTAAAAAGGTCGTTACGCGCGAATATCAAATTTCATTTGTATATTCGCATTTCGCCTTTATGTAATGCCTTGCAGTAGTTTGTGGAACGAGCTGCTCAGGCGTCGTTATATTTTCCCCACTTTTTCTACCGACTGTGTGTACTCGTATCATTGAAAATCATCTGTAAAACCTTGGAGAATTCATCCTAAAAGCGCATTTTTTTCAAAAAGGATTAACAAAAATTCGTATTGAAAACTAGCGAGAAGAGATATGAACGTATGGGATTGATCGTGACTCCTCCATGATAAAATATATTCCAATTCTTCATGATTGCATTTAATTGTTATATTCTTCCGATCGTATTCATATATTATTATTATACACGTCATGCTAATTATTGCAACGAATCACTGTATATTAATTAAACAAGTTTCAATTGCAATTCATTTTCATTGTAATATGCGATTATTGTTAAAATAAGAATAACAAAGAAGGAAAGAACTTACAACTGTTTGATCGAGCACTCTGCTAGCTATGATGCCTCACTGACAATGAATTCATTTGGGGGCTCTTGCGACAAAACTGATTGGCGGTATGCAGTTCACTTTATGCATACGATGGACAATTCTATAATGCGTGCATAATATTTAATGCAGGATGCCGAAGTGCAAGATTACTGATAACAAGTTATTGACATTTCGACAAAAATAAAAAGAATCTTCGCCTTGATAAACGAATTTTTAATTTGCACGTGATACGATTTCATTTTCTCTTATTAATGGATACCCTTTATATTATTATTATTACTGTAACGTTGTATCGATATAACAGTCTTACCAATTAGTTATTAAGTATTTTCATTTAATTTTTTAAATTTTATATCAACAATGATATTCATTGAACTTTGATAAGCATAAGTAAATATTTTAGCCTCCGTAATCTTTATCAGAAGTTGGAGATTAAAGTACGTCATATACTATACTTTCCGAGTTACGCATTTCTCCAAAAAGTAAATAAGATTTGTGCAAAATTTGTCGTTACTTCAATAAAAAATCACGAACTATATTTTTCCTCGGATGGACATTTTCCAAGATTTTTCATCTTCGTCGCTAATTTATTTTCTAAATTTTTAATTACAAATAACGTAGTTTCACTGCATCAAATAATATTTTTATGATATTTTTTTCAGGTACAATAAAATTTATTGGCAATGAATCACTTACAGTGTTACAATAGGGAAAGAAAATTATTCATAAATGTAATGTTTTACAATAGTTATTTGTAGAATTTTATTACACCTTTTATTTTATTATTTAAATGTTAATTCTATGGTGTGTAAATTACGCTGAGCATAATATGAAGACGGATTTAATGTAATATGATTTTGTAAGAAAGTAAAAAAAAAATAATAAGCTGGGCCGTGACAAGGCAGGTACAGAGGGGGGCACGTGCTCCTGTGTGCAATTTTATAAGAGAGAAAATGAACGCCCTTAAAAGTAAAAAGAATTAATTATACGTTTTGTAGTAAATTTTTATTTTATTCGTAGAATATTTTCGATGCTTTTGTTCGAGTTATCTACGTAAAAATACTCGATTGTACTACAATACGTATAATTCCCTTCTAATACAAACATTATCCAACATCATAAAAAAAATCGAATTAACTAATTTAACGCTTTATTTATTATTTGTAAAATAGTATTACCGCTTTAAATAAGTAATTGTATGAAACTATTTCTCGTTACATTTCTATCTTAATCGATTCGCCTATAATAATTCAAAATTTGAGGAACAATAGATAAAACTGAAATGGTCTTAGTTACTTTGGTTTTTTTTTTCTAAAAAATTCGTTTATAAGAACAATTCAAAATATCTATATTATGTATATTTATCGCAAACAGAATGGACGAAGGGTGCTGTATTCATTTATCGCCCTGGGTGCTAAAATACCTAGGCACGACCCTAAGTACTAAGTAACACGTGAAACTAATAATAAACAAAAATATCTATAGTAAGATAAAAAGTACTATATCGAACTTAATAAACATTATTGACTTGATTTGGTTATTGTTTACACACAAGTTACTCAAATTTACATACAAGTAGTTAATTTTGAAAAGTGTGTACGACCGTTGTGCCTATGCGTGTTTCACTATAAGCTCTCCCTTATAACAAAATTTGTATGTTATAGAAAATTGAGTATAATAATTACAATTTTTACCATTCGTTATGCTACATCATCCTAAAGTATACTTAAAGTGTTTTTACCGCACCATCGTATTTTATTTACAATTCTAAGCAATTTTCGATTTATGCTTATTTTATTACGCCAATGTCATGTATCAAGTTAAAATGGAAAAGAACCCAATAAACATAAACCATAAGTTTTGTTAGATTTTCATTACAGTATTACATGAATGCATACTGTTCTTAGTATTACTATTTGAAATTGATTTATTATAATGAAGTAATGTTTCCTTTACAAGCTATTATCATTATTAATAATAAATTACTTATTCCTATGTTATATAAAACACATACATATAAATACATTTTTATGAGATGTATGCTACTGAATATGGAGACATACATTTTTCTAATGCCAGAGGAAGAGGAAAAAACAAAATTGTTTTATTCAAATGTACATTTTAAGATTATATTATGTAATTTCAGAGAAATGTATTTTTACTATTACTTAATTCGATAAAATCTACAGCAGGATAACAAAGACTGTAATTCTTTATTTGTGACACACAGTTTTTAAAACTCTTTCTTTCAGTATTAGAGATGATAAAATGAAAATGTAACTTTAATGAAAAGTTTAAATATTCTTTAAATAGTTAAAACAAAGCCATTTCATTTCTTTTCATCCATTCCTCTCTTCCTCTGCATCCTACTCTACATTGTATACGTATATATAGGATAAGACACCTAACGTCGTTAATTACTTTTGACAATATAAAAAAAACTCCTTGAAGAAAAAATAATTTGGTTTGGTGGAATAAATATCACAATTGGCGGTTTATTTTTTTGTCAAGATTATATTTTTCGAAATCGAAATCATCGATATTTTAATAGAATTACATACGAATAGTACACGACCCTAGATTTGTAGAATGACTGTCATAGTAAAATGCCTGCAAATTCAATGTAGGAGACTGTTATATCGGATTGAACCGGCAGATCGATAACCATTGAATTACGACACGACGGTAATAGATCCATGCGCTGATAGATTAGAAATTGGTAGCAAAATCTATCATGGCGTCATAGTAACAGATCTACTGCTGCATTTCGGGGACTAGAACCAAAACCAAACGCGGAGGCAGATGGCTATGGATTGCGTAGTATCACTTAACCTGCCGCTAATTTCTTGCCCCTCTATCAATAAACTGCTTACTGGGCAATTACTGAAATGTCTGTACAGAACTGAAGTCACTATATTGGCCCCAATATCAACTAAAACACTGAACGCAACAAAATATAAAATACCGTTACAAAAAAAATTATCGATGATTTCGTATTTCAAATGAAATGTTCTTCTAATTATAATATTTACATTATTCCAAATCAAACAATTTATTGCTTAGACATTTTGTTCGCATTGTCAAAAGAAACTGAAATTTCTGCAATGATATCGTTAGGCGCCAAATCATGTATATCAAGATATAGTATAATAGTAAACATCTATAAAACAGTTTATTGCAGTGTCTGGAAAACACAAATATATAAATTAAATAAATTACATTATATTATAGAAAGGTAATACATGATCAGACTTGTGAGTGCTTACTGAATTTTTTAGAAACTGCTAGCATTATTTAATGTACTTTTGTATGTACTATCCTATGAATAAGCATCACTTAAAAACAGATATAATTAAAAATTGTAATAATAACGATGCTAACATGTATACCTACTTACAAATGTTTGTGCATGATTGTAGATAATATATTAAATGGAAAATTAATATAAATTTGCACCTAAATACTGATCGTTATTCGGCCTCTGGAAGCACATTACTTCAACTTTAATAGTTCCTTATAGGTTTACATGAAATTGGCTGTTGTGTAACTTCTTATCATGCACGAACGTGTATGTACATGCATTGTAAACAAGAAAAAGAATATATGTCCACAGTATAGTTATAAGGACGATTTTAATGGAAATAGTAAACGTGTAGCTCCATTATTCTGCTAAAAGACTACTTAACTGAAGTCTATGGTTGTGCAGAAATATAGGCCAGTCTTTGACAATTACATATTTAATAAAATTGTCATTTTATGTTTTTGCGTAACTTGAAATTAGCATGTGAGTTTAGATATGTTTTTTATATAAATAGAGAGAAAAGTAACTTAACAACGAAGGCACAACATATTCTACGAAAATGTTGTGCCCTTTTGTATACTTAAAATTGAAAATCTTATAGTATAAGGGTAGTATAACATGTATTTATAAAAGAATATTTGTCAAAACTGACCTTATTGAGATAGAAAATGGCATAATGATAAAAATATTTGAAATTCATATTTTAAATACAACTTTAATGATATCACAAAACATATCGCATAAATTCTTTAAAAGCAACAATTCAGAAAGAATCAAGAAAATCTTAACGAAATCCAGTCTATTCATTTCTTTATAAAACTGGAACTTAAACAACAATCCTTCGGCATCGTAAAGCAAAGATTCATAGAATAGTAACACATAATTTAATAATATTATAATCCATGCTTTACAGAAAATGTAGTCTTAGTCATTTTCTTTTTTATTGATCTAGCATGAACAAAAAAGTTTAAAGTATAAATACATCAAATAAACTTCATAGATTCTTTGTTGTATCGTGAATAATGCGTTTGATTTTATTCTAATGAAAAAAAACAATTGAGTATTAAAGTTTTTGTTTTAAATATTCTTGTTCAAATGGCAGTATTGATATAGCACAATCTCTTACTTCCTTATTAGTTCCCATGCTTAGTATACGACCAATGGCAGTATGTTTTGGATAATTTCAGTACACTTAACGTGTGTTACGATTCAAAAGACTTTTTTTTTTTTATCGTAATCGCGGCAAAAAACCGCGCAAACATACTGCACGTAATATACAAGTATGTATATCCGACATAATGTTTAGTACATTGCTGTACGTAGCAATTTCATTGTTTAAATCGTACACTTACCCTTGTACCGACGACCATACCCCTAATAAACTCGAGAAATGACTCGCGGTAAGTTACGTTTGACTTTTTGTGCAGTATTATATACAGGTTTCTAATACCAAGTGACCTTGTGTTGTATCTCAGAAGGCTTCGACAAAACTCGCTGGAAAAAGTCCCGTACGACCTGTTCTTTGTTGAGTACCTTTATACCAACCATCATCACGTTTTTTATGTACATAAATTATGTCCCCTACACGAAGTTCTAGTTCGAATTCACTGTTAGGTGGATATGGCACAATGCAGCGGAATCGATATACTCGTTCTCTGCAAAAATAAAACCATTATTCGGTTGACTTAAGTATAAACGAGAAGTACTACACGTAGGTGAAAATTAAATAATTTTATACCGTTCGCGAGAAGGTTGCTGCTTTGTTTGTTTTCCCATACCAGCATCTAAAGAGTTGCTCTTACGATGATGATTTCCGACTGTCGTGCACACCATTCCAACCGTTTCATTGGATCTATAAATGTTATAAAAAATGTGAGGCCGATAAGAAGTCTGGTAGTTTATGGGAAACATTTATTAATTATATCCAGCAGTTATAAATCGAATGCCACGCACACTAAACTAACGAGCAAACTTTTAACGAAATTTGTGATCATAAAATGAAACAATAAAAGCAATCAAAAAACGTGAGCTAAGTAAAACAGGCGTGAAATATAATGCTTTAATGCTAACCACATACTAAGCCATTTATAACATAAAAGGTTTTCCAAATTTCTGTAAACATACTTACCTAAATATAGCATTTAATTGTAAATATTAATGCAGACAAACATGTGCACCACACAATTATTATATACACGTTAATTTGCACAAAAGACAAACTGAATTTCCATTTTTCTATATATGAGCTGAATAGATATAGTTTACTGTAAACGCTAATTTTTTCCGTCGGTCTACCTGCCAAGTAACTTATAATTACAAGCAACGACTAACCTCTGGAGGATCGAGACCGGTAAAGATGGTCTCTCCTTGTATTTAAGTCTTTGTGAAGATGTGACGTGCCCTTGTACAGAGCCTGGACACAAACGATGATGGTTGTTTGAAGCATTTAATTCCTGCGTGGCTCCCACCTGTAGCAACTGACTTGGGCAAGATCCCGATCTAATTTCAAATATACCCACCCAACCCACCCCCCGTGTAGAATTAGACAAATAATTCAAAACGTGCAGCTCATATTGCGTTAAAAAAAAATATAAAAAAAAAAATCAATTAAACACAAATACAGACGAGACTTAAGAATTTATACTATTTTGTATGTACATTATATGACTGACCTATCAATTTGTTCATTATGTATGTGCGCAAGCATCAAATTCATGCAGTGATTTCAATAAATATGAAGAATGTACGCCTGCACGACACACGGTGAAGGTCCATATACACACATACACGTAATTTATGTATATATAAAAACGAACGAACTTGAATAACAATACATGCGAATTATTAATAAATCGTGTTAGGTATGCTATTGTCATGCAGATTATTATTTGGAATAACTTTTTTTTTTGATTTATTAGAAGTTGTGATATAAATTGAACAAGGTACATTTGACGCGTTATACTTGTATAAAGCATTGGGCTGTCGTTTTTTGTTACAATAAATAAATCTTACCGAACATGCACCGGGTTGATGGAATTACCATCGTCAAATACAGGATTGTCCATTGAATACGTAGCGGGCGGCGGAGATTTTGATTTCTTGATATTTGTTAATCGACGCATTAAAGAGACACACTTATCTTTTTTTTCTTTCTGCTGCAATTGGACAGTACATATACCAAATTAATGATCGAGTAATAACAGTAATAACGCTGGTGGAATTACGAACATGTATCAAACAGCGTAATTGAAAACAAAAATCATACGTAGAAAAACACGTACCTTTTCAGTATTTTTAGATGAATTAGCAGCAGTGGTAGACGAGGGAGAAGCAATTGCACGTAGAGTACTATTTGGGCTTCTATTCATTTCAGTTACAATGGAAGAAGTAGCAGCGACAGTTGCGTTTGTACCACTGTTATTGATATTAGCGGTAGTAGTTGTAGTGGTTAATGATTGTGGTAAAATGCCCTGTTTCCCAGGCGAAGCTGGAATACAAAAACGTATCTCATATATGTTGATAACGAACACTTAACATAATGATTACATACATATATTTGATGACATCACGGCACTGTGACTACGTCCAAGTGGATTCACCGGATTTTGTTCATTGTGCCGGGGAGGACTTTTCTCCTGACTTTGTGTTTGGCTTTGACCGTGCCAAGACGAGGACACCATCGAAGAAGGACTGATAGCGCGCGGCGGCAATTCGGGTGGTAGCAATGTGTGTGGATTATACGGTTGAGGCGCAGGTCCTTTATTTTTGGTGTACGTCACGGTAATTCGTGACTCGGAACCGTTCTGACCGGTCGACGATGGGAAATTCTGATGTTGCCCTGTATTTGGTGATCCCCGGCACAAACTACGTTGACATCTATCCGGATATGCAATGAGTTTAAGATTAAGAAATTTTATTGCGGATGTACACTTCTGCAGAAAACTGAAGTATCACTTTATTTACGGGAGTGCAAATATCGATGACTTCCGAGTCTTTAGACTTAAAAATTCATCGACACCGTGATTTTTGTACTCCTCGCAGAATTACAAAACCCTACATTTCGCTACTTTTCGATCGATTACAAAGATTCTCTAATTTTCCGGGGAAGTGTAGTTATTAAGAATGTTTCGCATACTTAGCGGGCGTAACATAATTTCCAGGAAAGACTCCACACTTTTGAGTACGATTAGACGTCCCTTTGAACCACCCATCTTGACAGCGTTCCATTACCATATAAATTCCACCTTTCCTTAATTCAAGTTCGTCCGCTTTTTGTGGTTTATATGGATATAGTGCTATATATGCAGCTGGCAAATGAGTATTACCGGTTGTAGTAGTGGGCAAACTTTGCGATGGTTGTGCAAGAACTAGATCGCTACTGCCGCTTCGTCTATGTCGAAGATTGTGATCCACGCCACTGGCACTAGTCTGATCGATACAAATTTATAATTCAATTTGAATTAAACTCTTACCAGACTCTAGAGCTCTTCTAGAAATTAATTCTTACTTGCAGCGGGGAAAATGAATCACTGCTGCAGCTACTGTTGCTGTTTCCAACAGCATTGTCCACCGGTGGACTAAGTATTTCAGCGCTGTGTCTATGGTGTGGATGGGATTGGTGACCGGTATTAACAGCAGTAAAACTGTGGCGCTTAACATTATGTCTATTTCCAACTGCCGGAGGCGACGTTGCTGGGCTACTAGGACTGCTTGGAGCTGTGCTAGAACTGCTAGAAGTACTTGAACTATTGGGAGTATTTGGAGTAGTAGTTGAAGAACTACCTCCTGATGATACATTGGAAACAGTATCAGAAACTGGTAAAGGTGTATTCTGTTCAAAGATATATTAATGTAACAATTTTCAAACATTTAAAAAATAATTTCAATTATCAATATTGTTAAAATTAATTTAAAAATGTTATGAAACCTGCATAAGTTGGGGCCGAGGTTGACTCGTTGTTTGTACATTACGTGAATGATCAGTTGGTATCAGAGGTGTGGTTTCTTCGTTAGTAGGAGTAGGAGGTGCTACTCTTGATGGACCAGGCTGTACACTAATTAAAAAAAATACAATCATCTTAGATGTAAATATATAAACACTATGTCTACTCTGTCAATTTATCAAAATTACTTAGTTGAAAGTTTCATTAAAGCTCTTGCCACGCTATTCAACTCCACAAAAGCCAATGGAAAGATGCCAATTCTGTCTAAAAGTTTTCCTTCTGCCCAATTCTCATCCACTCTTCTGATAACACTAATAACTTCACCCTATAAACATACATTTTTATTTCTCTTAGAATTCTGTTTCAATGAACAGAAGAATGTTACAGAAAAATAAAATTTAAATTTACATTTACATATCATTACCTTATTAAATGTAAGGCAGCCATCCTCATCATCATTTGTCATCCTAAAATCATATAGAGCTTTGCACTGAGGAACATGTGGTGTCAATGGTGTCATTACCTACAATATACAATTAATTAGAGTTAGTAGACAAAACAATTGTTCATAATAATTTTGAAATGCTTTAAAGTACCTGAACATAAGACAGGGGAAAACACCCATAATTGTTGGCATTTTGTCCAAAATACCAATTGTTATCGATCTTTTTACGAAGAATGACAATGTCACCCTTTTTAAAAGAAAGATCCCTGAAATATCAAATACCCGATAAGACTTTGATCATATTAAAGTAATTATAATAATTATAAAATATTATATTCTTACCCTGGAACTTTCGATATATAATCATAGATAGCTCTACCATACGCCTGATTGTGTAACTGAACTTGCTTGGCTGCAGCATTCGCGTGTCGTACAGATTCGTTCGCGAATGTAGTAGGTGTGAGACTAGTAGTTACGATAGGAGCTGGAGTAACCTGATGACCACCGAAAAGTCTTTGCGGTCCTGAATTGGACTTTGTTACGAATTTTGCTGTTTGTTTAGGAGCAGCATTACGCATTCCTTCCAAAATACGCATTAACAATACATTAGGTGGTAAATCGTCCACTTTAGCATCGACTAAAACACGGCACTCGGGACAACGTAATTCCCGATGGGTACTGACAATTTCTTCTAAACATTTCTTGCAGAATGTATGTTGACAGGGAAGTACTTTGCTCGATGTATCTAATCGTTCAAGGCACACCGAGCATTCTAATAAATCGTTCAGCATGCACTCATCCATTCTGACTAACGAGTTTTTTATCACGTTCACTTTCAAATATATTTTTCAGTTCGTTTGTTCGTGCCCGTTTTCTCGATGCCTGCTTCCTCTTACTTCTCCGATCTTCCCACGCGTCCCGTCTTTGTTGCACCCATAGGCCGCCATACACCTGACGCACTTGCCTCCTCATATAACAAGCAATAACGTAACTTAACAAATAAGTGTAGTCCACCAGTAAATCCACTTCACGTGCAAATACGCGGACATGTTACCCGATCCTATTCGTAACTTTCGAAAACTACTTTTCCATCCTTTCATTCACCGCAAAACGGAAACCCTTGTTAGGTGCGTCAGTATATACGCTGTCATCCTGGTATTCGTTACGTTGCACACAAATGCGCACACACACACACACACATGCACGCGCGCGCGCACGAATCAAAACCATATCGATCAATCGGTCTCTCGTCGATTACAGTCGATTCTAAAACAGGCCACAAATGCTTTGCAAATACATATATATATTGTGTACATATATATATTATATATATATATTGTATAACCAAGGATGTTACTATGGATGTGCAATATTTGTGTAATGACTGAAATAAATTTTGAAAAGGCAGCAAAGCAAGGAAATTTTGTTCCATTTAAAGTTTGTCAGATGATGTTAAATTTACTTCTATAGCTGAACCTGCCTCAATATAGGGAAATAAATGGAGATAAGGTTCTAATTTTTGAAGAAATTTGATGCAATCATAGAATTTTCAAGAATCGGTCGCTGTTCGCAGCCCTCTGGTGGTAGACTATCTAAATATATGTAATACACTGAAAAAGTTTTTTGACTTTGATATGTTTGTTAATAAACTTTCTTCGTGTTGAATAATTCTGCTCATTTTACTTACAAAAATATGATTGACGAGAGATACAAGATATTTCATTCGTAAGGGTCGATTTCTGATAATGATGCATTATGCTTGACATGAAGACTCGCCAGTCATTTTTGGTATCGTGTGATATCATTATTTTTTCATCAAAATTGAGACAAACCAATCTTAATTCTAGTCCCTTGGTGGTTATCCTATACTTAATTAAAAAGGTTACTAGGTTGTGCGAGAAGTAAAAAATTCCTAGGTTCGTGACTAAAGCTTTCCGCGAGGGAAGAGAAGATACTCTAAAACGGCAAGAATTAATGGGCATACGTATGACGTGTGTATACAAGGTGGGACGTTAGGTTGATACTGAGCTACTCGGTACAGTAGTTGGAAAATGGCGGCATCAAAAAGTCAGCGTTGGATGATAGATTCGGGGATTCTACGTAAAAAAAATGGAGAAGAGGAGCCACAGGAGCTGTTGGTGTTTGGATATGGCTGCAAATTATTTCGAGATGATGACAAGGCGAAAATGATTGATCAAGGAAAGCATTTGATACCATGGATGGGCGATAGCACGTTGAAAATAGACAGGTCCGTTTCCCTAACCTAGACAAAATTTATCATCTAGGATATTTAATTCTTGCATAAATGCACCGTACGTGTAACCTTTAGAAGAACGATGTCAGACAGAACTAAGCAATGTGCAGCAGTTCGAAAAATGCTACCACAAACGGTTAACGTACGGATAAGCAATCTGGAGACTGTTTAAGGTTTCTGCAGGTGTCTTGGCTGTGAACAGGCGGTGTGGAAGCGCGAATACGTGCTCTACACGGCCGCAGAGCAGCGTGCTCTCGCGACGTTGGTGCTTATGGCTGACCGTCGGCGCAGCAGCAAGGTGAGACACAGCGTAGAGAGACAAACGGCAGCTGACGGTTGTAGGTACTACAATCGCTCAGCATGGTATGTATTAGCGTTCTAGATTCGGCCATACACTGGCATAGTCACCCTACGCGATTAATATTGTATATGGTATGGTTAGTTTTGTTACACAACGCGTATGCAGTTACAGTGTACGTTGGGTCATTAAAGAAATCAATTACATGGACAAAATGTTCTAGATCGTGGCATATAATTGTCGGCCATTGAGTACAGTGTCAGGGTTGCTTTAAAACTTCATAATGTAACAAATTACAATTTCTGCAAACTTTTTTTTCAAAGCATCAAGTTGTTACTAGCATCTAGTCTGTGATACCTTGCCTATATTCTCCTATACAGTTCATAGTCTCGGATATGTGCTGGCAACACATAATATAATAGCAAACAAGGCGAATGTAATAGTATGTCGTCGAGTTTTGTATAACTGTATTCTATTTCAGCGGAATGACTTTGACATGGGGTTTGCTCCGTGGCATAACTTTCAGATGATTGGATCAACCAAACAAACTCAAAAACGCGAGTCATTTTCTTCCTTTAACTTGGCAATTGTATGTGTATAGATACGATGGACGCGGAGCACTGGGGGACTTAAGGATATACGAACCACCGACAGGTGGTTTTGATCAGCGAACGATCCTCACAGAGGACGAACTCAAAGTGGAACAACTATGCGACGAAGAACGGTATCGATCTCTTTACAACAGTGATATAGAAGATTCTGTATACCATGGTAGGTAAATCTTCGCGTATAAATCACCGATTTACGTAGACGTTCTCGAGATATCAGAATGATGAATAATTTCAGAAGAAGAGATGAAAAGATTGCATCAAGCCCTGGACTCTGAGAATACATATGGTCAGGTAGCGTATAATTACAACGAGGAAGGAAACAGTTCGAAAATCACGTGTGACGATTCGCAAAGTCCGAAGCAATCGGAGGGTTCTCAGGAAGATCAGGCTTTCGTTCCGCCTCCTGAGCTAGAAATTCCAGAGGGTATTCCGCTGGTTTGTAGAAGAGTTCATTGGTCGACGGGTGTATGAATTCGTAAGACTTACGTTTGGTTCTTTTTCAATAGCCAGAAACGCAGAAACTGAATGCCATCATAACGAAAACGGCATTGTTCATAAGCCGCCAAGGGGGCCAAATGGAAATCTTGATTAAAGCGAAGCAGGCAAACAATCCACAGTTTTCGTTTTTGTCGATAGACGGACGGCTACACCAGTATTACAGATACATACTGGACGCGATCAAGACCGGAAAGTACAATCCCGAAAAGCAGCCCGAGAAAGAAGAATCCGGTACGCATATTGTTTTATTTAAGACAACATCGTGTGGTAATGTTGATTTTGATATTATCGAGTTGAAATGATTGAAGCGACTTAAAGCAGGATTTGATTACCCACATCTACTTTGAATTCTACTTAGTTTTTCTTGCCGTAAGTACTTCTACGCATATTTGTTAATGTACACTGATCTCTGTGTGACATGTAGGAAGTATTAGCGAACGTAGGCGTGCACATTCTACTTGTAATTCTTTTTAATGATAGAACCTGAAGAAGGATCGTCGGATCAGGATGACGAGCCGTATCTCCATCCGAGTCTGGTGCCATCATTTACCAAGATAGAAGCGGTAAGTGTTTTTTTCTTTTGGTTATTAATCATCTACAGTGTGTTAATTTCGTTTAAAGGCCCCCAGTATTCCGAGTATACAATATAAACCATCCGCGGATTGTGCTTATTCGATGCTTGTGAATAAAATCACTGGAAGGCCGCCACCGTCGAAGGTGTTGCAAGTCCCCGAAACAACCGTTCAGCCAGCGACTACTACTCTAGGATATTATCATCCTGTACCAGGGCAGGTAATCCGAGCGTAATATAAGATTGGCGTTTCACTGTAGTAACAAATAGTGTTATAAAGTGCGCGCGTTGCAGCAGCGGAACGCCAGCCCAATTCAATTACGAATTTCTTTGTTTCAGCAGGGCTATAATCCTTATGTTGCACCAGTGCAGTATTCTCACGGTCCAGTAGTATACGGACCAAATGGACAAATACAGTCACCGGGGCATCTTCCAATTGTGAGCGTACCAACGTCCGTGAATGATGTGACCGCACCGCACACATTGACCATCGAATCTCCCGTGCCGTTGGTCCCTTATGGATCCACGCCTCAGAAGCAATTGAGTAGACCTTCGTTCATCGTGCCACCGGCAGACGTTCAAATAGTCATCGACAAAATGGCCAGCTACGTGGCGAAGAACGGTAGGGATTTCGAGGCGATTGTGAAGAACAAGGGTGATCCGAGATTCAATTTTCTCGAGCTGTCGCATCAGTATCACGGTTATTACGCGCACAAGTTAACGATATACGAGGGCGCTATAAACCCTAAAGTCTTGACGGAGGAGGAGCTGCTGCAGAAGCAGGAGCCGCTGGAGGAGAAGCAGAAAAAGTTGGAGGAATTGCAAAAGAAGCAGCAGAGAATGGAGGAGGTGCAAAAAAGGGTAAAGATGATACAGGCGAAGAAGAAATGCGATACAAGAACAAAACAGACCACGACGGGAACTAAGCAGATCACCACTGTGTCGTTCTCCATAAAGAAGCCAAAGGACGGGGAAACTGGGGTGATCGAGAAACGGAATGCTCTTCCGTTAGAGGAGAGCGACGACGAGATGGAAAACGAGAACAAGGACGTGAACTCGAAGCCCAACTCGCCGCAGACCAGCGAGCATAGTTCTTTAACCGCGCTGGGAGCAGACAAGGACACGTGGAGGCCGGAGAAGAAGTCGAAGAACGAAGAAAAGGAGCTGGTAGATCTTACCGACGAGATTCTGGAAGATTGTCAAAAAGAGATCAGGCACAAGCAGGCCGAGGATAGGATCAAGGACAAACTGGTCGCGGCAGCGCGGGACAAGTTAGCCGCTACGTCCAGAGAGAGACAGCTACAGTTGGAGAGGAAGAAGAAGGCAGCAGCGTTTCTGAGTCAGATTCAGACCTCTGTGTTGTCGAGATCCAGCGGGACGACTAGCCAGGGTATTAGGAAAGACGATTCGGACGAGGTGCACTCCCTACCTTCGCCGTCGCCCTCGCCATCGTTCGACGATGTAAAATCCTACGATTCGAGGACTAGCGGCAACTCGTTAATGGATAGATTGAAAAGCGCCGATTTGACCGGCAAGCGATCTAGGCCACGATCGAGGAGTCCCAACGGCAGCCGAAGTCACACGGACAGACAAAAGTATCACAAGAGGCACAAAAAGAAGAAAAGCTCTCACAGAAGGTACCCGATTTTTATCAGTAAGTTTGGTAATTAATATAATTAACAGCTTGCACGCACAAAGTGTAATCGAGCGTTAAGATTCTAACTTGAAATCGAATAGAAAATTTAAGAAATATAATCTCGCGATATGGTTGAATATGTTAGGTCATCTCCTCGATTTCACAAGATGATAATTTTTTAACGACGTCAACTGCTGATATAAACAAAAATATTTTTGTTTATTCAAGCATTAAAGCATCAACATGTATATAAGAACGCGGAGATCATTTTCCCGCAACTTTAATAAAGAATTGTTATTATAATTACTATCTCTTTTTTTTTTTATTGGGAATTAAATTTTCTACTCGATTCTCGGTTATTTTTTCGTTTTATTACACAATGTGGAAGTTACAAGCTTAAATATTGATTAACCAAATTGTTTAACAATTTCGCAAATATTTTTTGGGTGTATTTACCAATAACTAATATCTTTTTGCGTTTGATTGGATCGTAGCAGTCATGACAGTCCAAGCAGTTCCCGAACGCACAGATCGAAGAAGAGCAAGAAGACCTCCTCCAAGCACAGGTCTCGTTCGCGAACACCGTCCCGTAGGCATCAGCACAGTGCACGACGAAAGGGTAGCAACTCGTCTTACTCGGACTCTAGTTCGCCTTGAACTTTTATTTTGGTCAACTTTACACGTGTAAAATTGTATATACATGCACATTCATACGTACATACACATGCATAAATACATACATACATATATTCATATATGTACTCGCGTGCGTGTCCAGATATTATCGTATCGACGATAATTTTAATACAATTTTTGTCCAAAAAAAAGCGATGGGAAATTATTAAAAAAAAAAACATTGAAAAATAAAATGAAATTTCAATAAAGATTATACATCCACCAGTCGTGCATTGATCGTTTCGATCTGTTCGAAAAAAATTTCTTCTTCGGTATTACGGTTCGTCCGCAAATTACATTGGTTGGCAAGTTGTTTGCCTGTATTATCTGCGGTGTTATAAATTAAATAACTTTAGTAATTTTTTAGATACTTCGGTATTCGAAATGTATTACACTTCCTTCACCTATTTTCCAAAATGGCGGCAATTCCTTGTCTCTGACCTTTACAGGATTTTTTTTATATCTCGAACGGTGCGTCAGAATAAACATCAGTGTCAAATTTTAACACTTTTTTTTATTTGATTTCCGTTAATTGGATCGTAAAGAAGAACCGAGATCTTAGTTTTCGCGGATCGACAGGCTGTATTTGTTTCGATACGGATACACAGTGATGATAGTATGGGAAGGAAAAAAATCACCTACTGTTGCACAGTATCGTATCGCTGAATGAAATCCAACGGCGATACGCTACGAGAATACGCAACAAGTGGACATCTAGCTTTAAAGGTTATCAAATTAAAGTATTCCACGCTTGTACGCAGCATCGATTGATTCAACGTGTGAGTATAGACTAATTGTTCACGGACACATCGAACGCGGGCTGGTCAGTAAAGAGTTTTTTTTTCACTCGACTTCGTTTTCCGTTTGTTTTCGTATAGCCTTTCTCTGTGGTCAGCGGAGACGCTGTAGATTTCCGTTCTTTGCTCTAATCGTCTTGTGTTTTTAGTTTTATAAAAGAGGTCAGGTTGTTTATCATTAAAAGTTGATTGCAAGATGTTGCAAAATCGGTTATTTCTTTCGCCGTTTCATTTTTAATATACATATATCGACATGGAATGATATCCAACTGATAGTCGCTCTTTAACACTTAAATCGACACTTCATGTTTAAATGACAGCACTGAGATTTAGAACACTTTTTCTATGCAAACTTAAGAGTAACAATTAATTAATAGTATTGCCCTTTTCAATTGCCACTGAGTACAATTATTTGTATTTCAAAATATTTCCATTCATTAACTCATTTTTAGTGATTTGGATTGCACTTTTGGGACCATAAAGAATAGTATATTTTTGGTAGTATCTCTCTGATGTTATTTCGATAATTTGATTCAAGACATACAATTCATTATAGTAAACAGTATCATTATTATGTAATTTGGTTATAAATATAGACTTTTCGGCGATAATTGCGTAGCCTATGTCACGTAAGGTCTTCGAACCATCAGTCTATACCAGATTACATCGGTTTTCGTGTGATTAATTAAAGTATTATTCTAGTAGTTCACAGAAGAAGGGTTTGAAAACAACTTTCGCTATTAATTTTTTTTATGATGTTTTGACTAATTGTGATTATCGCGACGAGGACGTCTCGTAGAAAATTTTAAAGTTTTGGTCTGGCAGCCGACGCGTTAATTGAGATAAGCGCAAATTATTCGAACTATTTACTTCGATACCTGGTTCGGACAATAACGCAATGGTCCTGTTGCTATCGGCGATTTTCAAGTATTATCGATTCACGACCGAATGGAATTTTTATCCCCGTCGTCGTTACCGCGATAATTGCTTCATACTGTTCCCGGAAGAATCCAAAGCATTTTTTTTTCGACGAATAAAGAGTGCCATTTAGCGGTAATATGCGCGCACGAATGATATCTTCGCGTGTATTTTTCGCTTGATTACGTTCTTTGCCGTTTCGCGCATTACTTCTAATGAATGCCAATTAATGGTACTCGTAATACCGTTGCAACTTGATAATAGCAAAACGTGGCTTCATTTCCGCTAATCATCGTTTTTCTCGTCGACGGATGGCACAAGAATAACTTCGAAAAACTGGACTTGACGACCGCCGACCACGTCTATGAATCATCCTCGAACAACCGACTAACTGACCCTCCTGGTCGCTATCGATACCAACTGACCATACCTATCTATTTGATAACCACTGTTACTTGTGGAGTTTCCGTGCATTCTAAGCCGGGTCCTTTTCGAAAAATGGAGATCAAATTTTGGGACGCGCGATCCGTTTTCCTATAAAAATCGAGTTATCAAGTCCAGTCGATTCGATCCTAAAATCAGCTGCACGGTGCAGCATCGCGACGCGTCGCGTGTCTTCCAATTTTCCTTCGTTTTCTTTGATCAAATAATTGCTTGAAAGAACTTAGATCCGATCTATCTCCTTTTGGGTCTCCTTACGCAGCAACCTCCTCGTGGTGAGACCTGGTAATCGGTGTTACCCACGTGGAAGAGTTATTCCTCGTGGGTAACACCGAGCTAATGGCTGCGAATTTAGAATCGTTTATTAAAATCCATCAAGGTCTCAAATATATGCAATACCACTATAAAATAAAACGGTTAGAGATAAAATATACGATTCGATTAAAAAAATATTCCTTTTTATTGAGTTTTCAGGGTAAATGGACCCACTGTGCGACTGTTGACGGAAACTAAGCAGTCAGAAACTGACTGATTACTGTTCGCCGCGGTGGCGTTCCTTTGCTTCGCGAGTCGTTAAATTCTACGATATTTTTTTTTTATCACGTACGTTTGTCTGTTAAAAACTGGTGCGATTGTGTTAGGACGAGATAGCGTGTATCGAATATTACGCACGTGACCATACTTCGATCAAGCAAAGGTCAAGGGTGAATTTACTCATATTTATAAGTTAACTCGATCGCATGGGACTTAGTCAGTCAGTGTTGCATACCCAATACCAGCCGCAATACAATATAGCCGTATAGATACAGATGTCGGCCAAGACGATCGTAAGTATACCCAAGGGACTCGCCGATAGAGCATCGACGCCGCTCGTCGGAGCTCGTTTCTTTCTTTTAGTTTACGATTAAATCTAACATTTTTATTCGCGAGGACTGTCCGCCCATCGTCCCGACAAGATCGTTCCATTTTCCTTTTTTTCCCAATTTGTTCTCGACCGCGGGAAAACTTGCAGCTTTTCGCGCGATTTTGTTTCGGCGACGCTGTTTCCAGTTTCCTTCGTCAGAAGTGCGATTATTATTTTCGTCGACAAAATGGAGATCGCGCGTCCAAGTGTCTCGCGATATTGTATCAAGAGCAAGACAATCGAAAGTGGAACAAACGGCGATATCCTGAGCAACGGTTACATTGAAACGGGACTATTGTTTAAGCAAGACGATCGCTGCGACTCGGATAGCAGGATCGTCGATTTTTCGATAGATCGCGATCGAACGAACGAACGTCGATAGAGTTCAGTGGTAGACGAAGAAAATGTCAGATTACAACGAGTACTTTCCAAGTGTCACCGGCTCGGGGCCTCGAACGTGACAAAATGACGAGGCGAAGGTACACGAAATTTTTCTAGATGAAATTATCGAAATGTTTTCGTGTACACTGGGAACAAAAAATGACCGAGGAACAGCGAAAGCAGATCGGACACGGTAAAATCGAGAAAGTGGATGTACTTTATCTTTGTCGCGTTAGAAGAAGTGTAATTTCTTCGGCCTTATTAGGATGATTTATTCTAATACCGAGTGGGTAAAGTCTCTATCGGGAGACCATTCCTTTCCGCATGCGATAGCATTAATAATACGCTAGGAAATTTTTAACATCGTCGACAGTCTACGAAACGGCGATACGATTATTGCAGCGGGAAATCATTTTCAGCAATTTCTCTAGATCACGAATAAAAAGTATTTACTTTTTTTTCATACCGACTAAGATTATAGTATTACAAACAAATAAATTGCTCGTGCAAAGTGAACTCGGAAAATCGTTTACCACTTGCAATCCGATGCTTTGATTTCGATATACAATATGAGCAGTTAAAGTTAACTGGTATCACTCTCAGTACGCTATTTATATCCCTGTCAACTGGTCGCGAGGCGGTTTCTGTGCGCACTTGTATCAAAACACACGTGTCTATGGCGTTCGCACGCGTGAAAAGTGGTTGCGTCTCGAAAGCGTAGGCCTCAGATTGCAAAATGATAAATGACATTTCAATTTCTTTCCGCATTCGTTAACCGATCCGTTGCATCACTAGCGCTGAGATAATGTTCAGCCGAGTACTCACGCTCCCCCCAGTTTCACAACGCGATAGTCTCAAACGCGGTAATTTTTGATTACTCAGGCGATTTACAGTCTTTTACATTAAATAAAAGGTCTCAACCCTTCGAAAGAATACACTGTAATACACGATTCGTTTGACGACAGTCGCAGCTGCAAAGGCAATCCATCCTGGACCCTTCGGACAAGTATCGTCCGGAGACCGTCTATTCTGGTAAAATGGTCTCAGAATTCAGGGACTACTCCACAGACCCACTGGACCCAGTGAAGGAACGCGTTCGGCAAACGTATCAGAAGATGCACACTTATCAAACCGTCGAGTTTGTGAAATGTGAGTAACAGCGTCCAAATCACAGATTTATCGACAATTTGCTCGAAGGCCTAAACGTTAGACCCCCCAAGCAAGCAAAGCTACGACAAGAGTTAGTTTTTTGGTGAACTTGGAACGGAAACGTGTTCGCCATTTGTTTAAGCTCGCATGGACAAATGGCTGCAGTTCAACAAGTTCAAGATGACGGTGAAGGATGCGCTGATCAAGCTGAACAGTCTGGTGGACGAGAGCGACCCGGACACCAACATGCCGAACATCGTGCACGCGTTCCAAACAGCGGAATCTATCAGAAAGGAGCATCCCGATCAGGATTGGTTCCACTTGACTGGTTTGATCCACGACTTGGGCAAGGTAAGGGGCGCTGTTCGTTGTCTTGTTCCAAGAGGACGGAGCTGACGAGCCTCATGTCGACGTTTCTTGTTGTTTCCAGGTAATGGCATTCTACGGGGAGCCGCAATGGGCCGTGGTGGGTGACACGTTTCCGGTCGGTTGCGCTTGGGCAGACTCGATAGTTTACAGAGAGACCAGCTTCGAGGACAATCCTGATGGTAACGACTCGCGATACAAGTAAGGATCATTGCACACGAGCTACACGCGTCACTTTCCAGCCAAGTCAAAACAATCCCGTATTTTGGCAGTACAGTAATACTGGGAGACGTTCGAGAAGTTTCTGAAAAAATGAAGAAAACATAATATTTTTGGGGGGTTGAGGTCTGTACCCATTCAATGGACGATTCGCAACTCGAGAATTAACCCTCAACTATTCGATCACTTTTGATTCTATCGTTTAAACTCAGAACATTATTGGAACATAAAAATGGCTGTAATTTGGGAGCAAGTGTTTCATCGTTTTGTGCCGGGATGTACCGTTGCATGACACCAAATAACGTTTTCTTTTGCTTCCAATGTTTTAACATCTCCATGCTTAGATTGAAACTGAACGGGCAATGCGATCATCAAAATGGACGCTTGCCGCTCAGGACTCGGCTGCAAAGTAACGACTGTTGCTCGTGCGCCAGGTGTAAGAGTACGATAAAGAAGCGTACCAGGAAAACGATCACTGGTTTTTCTTGAAAATCGACCCTCGATCGTTCCGTTTCAGCACGAAATACGGCATGTACAAGCCCAAGTGTGGCATAGGCAACCTGACGATGTCCTGGGGACACGACGAGTACCTTTACCGCGTACTGGTTCATAACAAGACCAAACTACCGAAAGAGGCTCTGGCCATGATTCGTTATCACTCGTTCTATCCCTGGCACGCGGGTGGCGACTATATGCACTTCTGCACCGCCGAAGACATGGAGATGCTCAAATGGATCAACGAATTCAAGTAAGTACGAATGGTCGAATACACGGTTTAGTGTACCGAACAGAAATCGAAACCGATATTACAACTGCTTTCAACCCCTGGTCGTAAGGACTCGAAGGTCCCAAACTTTATTACAGCACAGTTACGCCAGGTGATGGCCTCAAAGACCCTCAAGCCTCGGATTTTTGGTTTATTACCCCGCAACATTCGGAACCTGGGATTCTTGGACAGTTGAATGCGACATGTATAATGCATTGTATGTATTATACACACCGAGCATTTTTACCGTTACCCTCCAACCGATATCCAGGAATCCCGGACAATGCACGGGAAAGACGACAGAACTTGTTCCTTTTCCTGTTTACGTATCGATAGATTTGACACGCCCACGCGAAAACACATAACTTAGAAAAGCAATCACTTCCACCGCGTCTTGTCAGGTATACAACCTCGATAGAAGATAAAATACTTCGAATCGTCGGACGTTAACGTTTGAAACGTCTCGTACGGAAACTCGTGGAGAAAACAGATGAAAACTCGGTGGAACGCAAGTAAAAAAAACTCGTTTCCAAGTTAGGAAATTCAACGTTTTGTACGAGACTTGTATTGAGTCTTGCCCGTCAGAATTACAAATTATTTATAATTCATCCCATTGTAACGTCGAAGTTTTGGTCAACATTTTGATGTTTCAGTAAATACGACCTGTACACCAAGAGCGACGACGTCCCAGACATCGAGAAACTCTGGCCGTACTACGAGAAGCTGATCGACAAGTATATACCAGGCGTGTTGGAGTGGTGAAGCCAATCCTCTATCGCTAGTAAACGGGAACCAATCGATCACCGATCAACGGCAGCGGCGACATCGGTAGAAGCGGAAACAAGACGAAGGACAGAACGTATTTATCGGTAGACGTGGCACTCAATCGCCAGGGGATTCGTCGACAGTCCGAAGCGCGCCAATATGTTCGTTTATTCGTCTATTTGGCGGGACGCGATCGAATCGCGTCGGAGTGACGGACAGGCGAGCGTGACTCGATGAAAATCCAAACGCGCCAAGATGAGTAACGGGGAAGGACGATGCCTCGTTCGAGAATTTGACTCACCTGTCGATCGATAGCCTGGCCACACGCGAACCGTTTTCCATTTGCCTCTGCGCTGACCGAGAGACCGATTTCGCGTTCGTTCATCCGCGATCTTTTAACATATTCGAGACCGATGTTTTAATCTATGAGTCACTCTACCCTTCCACTCGATTCGGACCGTGGCTCAGAACAGAACTGCAAAAATGATGGCGGCTGCATCCGACTTGTGTCACGCAGCTCCCTGTAACTAGAAAGTTTCAACAATTAATTCCTATAAAAGACACCAGAGTTAATCAATAATACAGAATGAAATTTTGTCTATTTCTGCTTCAAATAATATTCGGTTTCGAATGTGATTTTTTTTCCGTATTCGACCGCCAAAAATGAACAATTTATTCAATATAGATATCGTTATTTTTACGAATTCAACGAATATTAACATTTATTAGCAAAAGATAATTAAAAATTTAGTTGCGCATACTTTAAAGTAACGAAGGATACGTAACCCATCGTTGCAGCTTTCGTAAAAAAAATACTAAACAAGGTGCTAAACTATACAATATTTTATGCTTATAAACGATAACACGTTCTATTCTGCATATATTAAATAAAATAAAATGAATGAAGTAAAACTGAAAACTATAACTGTTACACACTTTCCGGTCGAGGACCAAAACAATCGAAAATGATACTTTACAAAAGCAACGCGAGTGTCAACTGTGCGTTGCACTGGAACATTCTGGTTGCCATACATCAGGCATAGCGGAGCTTTCACACTAACGAGATTCAAAGATCGAGAGTTTGATTTTTCCGAAAAATTTTCGTTCGTTATTTGGAAATCAAACGTGCTCGAATCTGGGTACTCGGTCGTCAGGATGATTTTTAACGAACGCTGGAATCCGTTGCATCGCGGTTTTAGAGAGCAGAGCGGTATCCAATAAGTCGATCGAGCTGCAGAGCTGACTGCACGGACTCCTTTCTTTGTTCTCTAATCCGCGATCGTTTCGTTTTGCTCGTGCTATCCGACTTTCGACGCGTCCCGTCTGGCTGTCCGTTCGTTTCCGTTCGTTTTCACCAGAAACCTCTTTTGCGCGCCTAACTTTTCGATTCGAACGATCGTACGCGGGGCTGTGCGAAACGTGGCAATTGAAAACGCGGAAAAACGCCATTTTAGGCAAATATTTTCGTTAAATTTTACATTAAACGGTGAACGATGGAATCAAGAAAGCTACATATGTGTTTGAATTCAGCCAAATCGGACTTTGACGCCACTGAACTGTTTTTAATTATTTTCTGACGGTGTGCACGGATAAGAAACTTTTGCGGTTTATCGTAATGGCGCGGCATTCGTAGATCGCGTCGTTACACGAGCATCGGTAGTCCGAGGGTTAATAATGAGTTAACTCGTACTTGGTCAGTGGACGCGTCAAGGACCACGCATGTTATAGCCCGTTACCTGCGCTAATCACGTGGGAACGAAACCGCGGGCAGCGGGGTGTTTGGTCACTGCTCGGATGGGTCTTCTCGAAAGTCGACGCGCGTTTTCGATTACCCGCGGAAACCGCCGCATACCCGTGGTTACTAGAGCTTCCCGTGGCACCTTTCGTGAGCTACCAAAGACGCGTCGCTGCACCAAGGAATTCCTTCTTCCTCCCCCTACTTCGCGACCTCATCTGCGACGCATCTAGCGAAGACTTATTCGATCGTAACAGAGAATATAGGACAGGGATAGCCCTCTCTACACGAGAAAACCATTTATTCGATTTACGTGGAATACCAAATTCCGACAGAGTTGCGTTCCTTCTTACGTTCTAGCCTGTTTCTGACAAAATAAATAAATAACCTTGCTAACGACAGTCGTTGATGGAACGTTTCGGAATCTGGGTTGAAGTCGAGACCGTTCGTCGAAACTTTGATCGTATGCTTTCTAAAATGGAATTACGTTCAATTGCACGCGGTGTGGTACAGCGTACAAGAGAATTAAGCGATCCCAGACTTTCGAGCGGCGACGTACGCGCGGAGAATCGGCACAGCGCGTCGAAACGGACCACGTAACCCCGTTTCGGGTTGAGTAACTTCAACGCAGCTGTTCCTTTATTACGATACGCGTCCCAGATCGGGAAAGGAACACCATGCCCTTCCCTCCGACCTTTGCAGATGCATCGCAATGCAGAACAGAACCAATAATTACCTTGCCGAGACATGGGCGCCGTTCGGGCCGCCCCGATAGCTCGATTATCTTCGTTAACGATGCGCACTCGGTACTCGGGAATCAAGCACGCCTAACGCGAGATCCGAGTATGCTCGTCGAAAAATATCTTCCTACGTCTTCGTTACGAACAATCTACGAAACACGCGCACGCGATCCAACTTTCTCCCTCTCATCATCGATGTTTCCGTAATAACGTCCGCGCACTAGGCGATACATCAAACACGTAGTTACAATTTAACTTTCTTAGATTCTAGACACTTCATTCTCCTATCTTACAACATACCAAGGTGGACAGATCGTTTATAAATCTCTCTTCCGATCGTTTTGCCGCTATCGGCGCGCGCGATAGCGGTTTCAGGATCGTTCGACCTTGGGAACGTGCGACCACGCGATCTACTCGAGTTCGTTGGACGAGCGAGAAACATCGATGCGGGGCTTCTTCATTTTTAGCGATTCACCGACATTCCGTGGCTCCTCGGAGATACTCGAGGAGGCAGCGTCGATGGGAGACGGTCACCGATGGTTCTCGAAGTTACACGGAGAGCCGGTTGGCTTCGTCTCCGGTCCGCTGGCGTCCATTTCCTTCCGGCTGTGGCATCGAGCCGAGTTCCTCCGGTGCTTGTCGGGATTCCCCGCGGAGATGAAAAATTCCTTCGCGCGGTATCCGTGTCGAAAGGAGAATCTACGCGAATCACATACCGTCGCTTTTTTCGAAGGCAAAGCGAATGCCGACCGGCGGCGAAACGCCTCGTAGCCGTCGTTAAAAGTACCTGGGAATAACCTAACTCGTAATGATACCTATTGGGAGCATGACTCGCGGAACATTTGATCGAGCGACGTTCACTTCGAGATTGACTAAGATTGTGTAACTTTTTTCGTTTCAGAGTTTGTATCCGGACGACGTTTTACGTGGAAGGACCGTTCGTGCACGTTTAATTTCATCGAGTGTACACATAAAACATCGATTACACCTCAAAATTTCACGCTGGATGTTCGAATTAAAAAATGACTAATCGTCATAGAAGAAGTAAGAAAGAACGAGACCACGTTGTCGGACACGATCTCGATAATATAATCAATTTATTAACCGTCTTATGACAAAGACAGATGATAAAGACGCAATACGGGCCAGAATTGGCACACCTTTTTCGACGAACTGTCAGGGAGGACACTTTGTACATAGTATCTTTAATAACGCGATTCTGGCAACTCTCTTCTATAATATTAATTGGATTGGAGCGCCATTCTTGCTCGAAGGTTGTGACGCGAACAGTTCTAGGAACGAAAGACACGCTACGCGAAAACGACGATCGATTCGGGATACAGACGTACCCTAGAGTTATGACTGGTATTCGCTTGAGAGTTTTACCCATGAGAGTGGGTATCGAGAATTAGAGCTGTTTTGCACGAGCGACCGGAAGAGCCTTCGCGCTGGAAGTTGCCTCGTCACTCGTAAGCCCTAACGAGTTTCACTAAAAGAACCTCTTGAGAGACGAACGCTCCAGAGGACCAAAATACCTACAAACATTCAAGGAAATTTTAGTCACGAACAACCACCTGATCCCCTAGCCTATCGCTTCACCGCTGTGGGATTTAGATTAAAAATTACTAAACCTTTCAACGTTCTCCACATTACAGAGGAAATATATACTCGACGCACATTTTCTCTTGGATCTATATTATTCTAACAACTTGTCCAGGGATTCAGCCACGTTTTTGTACAGAGAAACTACAAGATGGCCGACACCAAGGGGGTTAATTTGTACACAGCAACTGTTTCCTTGCACTCCAAGGGCGATGCAAGATGGCAGTGCTTCGTTACGAAGAGCTAGGCGAGTTGGAAATGTCCTTCGAGGTGTCTTAACTCGGTGTATGACTGTATCTCGTTCAATGGAGATTCCCGGACGGCGGCGAATCCTGCGGCGCGTGACACGCGACGCGATGGAAACGGCCTAGTACGGTTTACGACGCGTGGGCACGGCTCGCTGGAAGGCACACGGGCCGCAAAATTGGCTTAGTCATCGGCGTATTACGGAATATTACGGTGCATTAGCGGGAACGGCCGCAACGAGCGGCAACTCACCGCTTTCGACGAGGACGAATGACACGAGGGGCGAGCAGGAACGACCGACTCTCCCGGGTATCCATGAATCACGCTCTACCTTGCGGGCTCTCGCGACGATCGCCGCTTCCAGGAACAAACAGTGCGACGTAACGCGCCAGGCGCACGTTAAACTGCAGGGATTGGCACCTTCCTTCGACGGTTTCGACGACGTTCGCGAGCAAGTCCCATCGACAGGTCCCCGAGCATCCAAGAGCAACGATAATGTCTGGAAATTTTGCAAACGTCAGTGACACAGTAACTGATAAAAGTCATGGGAACATTAAAATCCTTCGATCTATCCATAAGCTAAATTTTAAAAACTTTTTTAGAAATTTTCGGCAATGAATTTTTTTCTCGAAACTGTGTAGGATTTCGGGGGGTACGCCTATTCACCGAAAATGATTGTAACAGACCCCCGCAACTGAAAATAATTTTTCCAGAACGATTTGAAATTTTTTTTTCCATCGAAAAATTTCACACTTACTCGAATTTTTTTCTAGAAATAGGGTAGGATTTCGAGGGTATGTGTAATGACCAAAATTGATTGTAATTGACCCCCGCAACCGAAAATAATTTTTCCAGAACGATTTGAAATTTTTTTTTCCGTCGAAAAATTTCACACCTTCTCGAATTTTTTTCTCGAAAATGCGCAGGATTTCGGGGGTATCTCTATTCACCAAAAATGATTGTAACTGACCCCCGCAACTGAAAATAGTTTTTCCAGAACGATCTGAAACTTTTCAATTTCGCTGAGAAATTTAGGCGCCTATGTCGATTTTTCTTAAAAATTCGTTTTCGACTTTTACCCTTAGCTCGGTGGACGGCTTACAGTTCGAGGTCATAATGTAAAATTTAGTTTAATCACCGTTTAAAGAATCACGGTGACTAAATTGTTTCACAACGGCACACGAAATTCCTTAACCTTTTAACTGCTGTGCTCCAGTATACTCGAGCGCGGATAACAACATTATTCTGGTTGCTCCGGTTAAAGAAAGCGTGAGATTATAAACTTTTTTACATTTCTCGATAATAACTGTAAGATCCGTTTACTATTTCCACGTATAATTATTAAAAAATAAATTGCGAGCATAATCGAGCATCTATACTTCGTTATTATCGAAGGAATGCAGCAGGAAGGTGGCTATGAAATAGCTGAACTCTAAAGAAAATAATTAGTTTTGATTTTTTTGATGAGTTAACTATCCTTTTAAAAGCTTTTAAATCGTACGAAAGTGTAAACTTTGTAATGCAGGATAAGCAAGCCGTCCATCGGGAGGCCACGGATGCAACGCATAAGAAACGTTAATCGGGAAGTTTAATGGCTCATACATATGGATAATAGAAGTTTACTGGTTCTCGATTTATATCGGGTAATACCCGTGCCCCAGCTTTACACGATGCAGTTGAGTAATAGTAGTCGATGTCATGGGACGACTCCAGGTGTGTGAATACCTTGGCGCCCAGCCGCCCATTTCAATCACTATACAGGGTAGACTAACATACAAATGGGAACATCTAAATATCATCGTTGCTTATTGGTATACGACAAAAACATTGTGTGTTCTCAACAATTTATACACGCTTAACACATTTGCGGTCAAAAGATCTATAGACGTCGTCTGTTAATTCATATGATACGACATAATGTCTAATGACGTCATGGACGTTTAGCCTCATATCGATACAACGTATGGAGACGTCGCGGTTTTTATTAACACGCAACGTAACTAAAACCACCAACATAACAACACGCACGCACGTTAACATAATTGAGTGTTTACCTATACAAATATCCCACCCTGTACATATAGCTTTTATAGGATGCAACGAAGACGTTACTATTATTATTACTAATAGTCCATTTTTCATCCATTGGTTGTAAAAACTTTCCTTCCTTTTCTCTCTTTGCATTGTGCTCTTATATCCTTAACATATAAATTTTACTAAACCAATCATTATATCTACTTAAGTCGTAAAACAGCAATTGCTGAACCTCGTGCTGTCACCACACCCAGTGTTTATGTATTACATTCTGTTAAACTCTTTTCGTTTTACACGCTATATTTCTAAGAACCTGAGTAAAGATAAAATTGAGGAAACACCCCCCGTCAAGTGCGTATTCAACGTACATTTAAACTCGATACTTTTATACTTTTACGCGAAGAATCATCTTTCCGGATCTATCGCGATCTCGGAGTCGTATTGTGCAGAAGAGCGTTCGAACGATAGAGTGTTTCCGATAAAGAAGGCTCCGCTGTATCCGGATTTTTCGTGCTTTGTTCCCGTTCGTCGTTGATTCTCGGACTTATCGCGAATCGACCGAAAGCCCCCACCGATGACGCGTCGGCAGTCAGTCACGTCGTGCCTCGAAAGCGCATCGTCGTCACGCGAACTTTTCGTTCCGCGAAAAAAAGCACGCGCGCGGTCCTCGATGACACGGACGCGGTTCTAGCGCGAACTCGTTCCAGGGAGGAGTCGATTCCCCGAAATCCGGTCGCGCACGACTTCCGGAAAATCGCGCCGTACGAAGGGAAACCGAGCGTTTCCGGCGGCGAGAGCCAGGAAATTCGGGCCCGCTCGCGACCGAATATCGCGTCGAATATCGAGCGCGCGGCGCTTGTCATTTCGTGGCGACTTTTGACCTCGCGCGCGATTAGTCCAATCGCCGGGCCGTCTCGATTTCCTCGTCGACGTTGTTCCATTTAACGGTCCTTCCGGTGATAACGAGATTCGGTTTAAACGGCGTCTTTTTTTTTTCTCGCTCGGTCGCGCTTTGTCTAGAAAACTGGAACGTTTGTTCAATTTTTTCTTCCGATCGAGTACTCGGTGGATATTGTTCGAACGCTCGGCACAATTGGGAACAAAGCTTGCGACGTTGAACTCGTCTGAGATTCGATCGGCGTTTCGACAAGGGATACCAAACTCGACTGGTAAAAAATTCGCGTGCAAAGAAACGCAATTTTGGCCGACCCAATACGCGACATGATGTCGTGCCGCACAAGATTTTATGAGCACGTAACTACCGCGTCTTACGAGGGCTATCTGTATTCTGGTCCTCGTCGTGTCGCACGGAGATCCTGTCATCGTCGGCGCCGTGCTCTAACGAGGTAAAGAGAGGCCGGGGAATGACGAGAATGACGAGTTAACGGTGACGGTGAAGGTGAGAGTATGGTAGCGCCAGCCTGGTCAGGGGTGTCCAGGTCTGCGATAGGTAACGTGACTGTATGAATACTTCGAGAAATAATAGCAGTACTTTCTCTCTGTAGACACGGGACGTTTCCGCATCCTTTTAGACAAACCTGATGTCACTGAGCGCTGAACATTCAACGTTAAAAACACTCGTACGATAACCGATACAGAGTTGTCAAACATTACACGAGAAGCACATTGCTGTTTATCTCCGACACCGAGGATCTAAATACAGAATTGGTACAGAAATCATTGTACGCTTTCGATAACGCTCAATGTTTACTATATTCGAAACACTAACAAGTACTACGAGTTTACCCAATACCACGTAGCACAACGTGTGGCGAAAACAATTATGCAAACCATGCGCGTTGATTGGCCAACGGGGCTTATCGCGGTGTTATTCTTTTTATGGACCACCAGCTTCTTTCGGGAACTCGTTCCAATAATTATCTCGGTATGTTCTCATCGTTTATTAATTCTATCTATGGTCGAACTCGGGTACAGCAACCAGTGACGGATCTAAAAAAAGAGAACAATGTTTATGGCGTTAACATTACTGTTGGTGCTATATCGGTCTCAATATACTCGAAGAATTGAAATAGGGATCACGTAATGTTTGTGTGGGGTCTGCTGGACAACGTTGCGTGATTCATATGTACATTAATATTCTTAATTATATTATAATTATACGTGCATGTAGTATATAAAGAGTAGTTGTTAAAAATCTCCCCAACGCTATACAACAAAACGTTAAATAGGGGTTCCGGGAACGTTGATATGTTCGGGGTAAACGATTTCCACCGAATTAGAAAGTTTGTGTGCACGATATACATAGTCTTACATTTTCCTTAACATGTCGATTGCTGGTACATTTACCCTATTGAATTGATTGATATTCGTGAGTACGTATTGAACTTAATCCTGGGAGCAGTAGTAGTAGTAGTAGGGGAATAGTCAGCGGGATATATACGCGAGCGCGCGTTACCACGGTATTCGACAGTCGGCGCGCGGCACTCGAACGGAGCGGGTCGCGTCTTCACGTCCCGTCCCCGAACACTTTTTCCAGCGTCGTTATTTCCGCGACTGGCGTCAAGTCACGGCGGGGGGGAAAAAAAAAGAAAGAAAAGCAATTTCAAAGGAAAGAGAAAAGAAAAACGCACAAAACATTTCACGCAGATCGTCGCCGTGACAGGATTACTGAAAATCGTCCGCGAGCGAGGATCCTCGATCGGTTCGCGTTTTAAGATGACCGCCTCGGCACTCTCTTCCCCGTGTTCCTCTTTCTCCTCACCATCCTTCGTCCCGTCCGTGTCCGCGTCGTCGTCATCGTCGTCGTCGACGTCGTGCTCGTGCGCTCCGTTACCGTCGCGCAGAAAGAAGAAACCGAACCGATTGTGGACGATCGATCGCGATTACACGTCGAGTGTTCGCGAAAGAGGTTTCTGAGCTCTCGGTTAAAACCACAGGAGTGCCACAGTGGGTGGGAACCGTCTAATAAAAATTCCAAGTCGGAGAGACTGGTAGTGATCCGTCGAACCAAGAGATTCAAAAAAAAAAGGAACGAGGAAAAATCTAGAGTGCAAGTGCGCGAAAGGATCCAGTTGAGTCCAGGCGAGAGGCTGGATCCGCGCGGGTCCAGCGGCACGCGCGACTTCCCGCGGCGTTCAACGATCCACGAGGTTAGAGAAGGGAAGAAGAGGCGCGCACCGTGGAAGAGGGAAATAAGAAGAAGAAGAAGCGAGCTAGGCGAAAGGAAACAGAATCCAGGAAGAGGCTAAACGACGAGGTGGTGCTCCCTGGCAGGAGACATCCCGCCGGGTCGGGCAGAAACTTGCATCACGAGCCGGCTATGGGAAAGCTGGCAACGAGTCGTCGACGCGTGACCCGTGATAACGTGGAACAGGAGGCATCGGGGTGCTCGTACGGGCCAGGCGGCGCCAGTTCTGGCCGCGCTTTCGTTGCGGTTCCTATCGACGGGATCGTTCCGGAGGAACGCGTTCGCGTGTGTGAACCGTCGATCATTGGTGATCCCAGAGACAGATCCAGGGACGATCGAACGACAGTGAACAACGAAAGGGCGTGGGCGATCGGGCGGGTCGATCACGGTCGGGATCGTCGATCGCTCGATAATACTGGGACTCGATCATCCGTCGAGACGGCAGCCGTCGACGGGCTGCTCGACGCGTTTCACGTGGCCGGGAATGCGCTGCCACGACGGGATCATCGTCCGTTCTCTGGCGATTCGCGTCGTTCGCGAAAATTAACGTGCGATCGACGGGGACGCGGGTGGTCCATCGCACTGACAGCGATGGCGATCGTCGCTGTTTGCGCGCCAGTGTCGGGCGTGCCGATGCCGTCGCGAACGGATCCGCTAACCGGTCCCCGGCACGACCTCGACCGCTCGACCGGTCTCGAGGACGTCTACGAGGACGCTTTCGAGGACGCTTTCCAAGAAGAGGACCAGCGACCGACGAGAACCGTCCTCGACGACAGCGAGCTGGAGATCATCAGAAGAAGCATCGCGCGAGGTCTTGGCTTGAAGAGGATACCCGACCCCTCCAGGGTGAGTCCCTCAGTTCGTGTTTTACTCTCGTTTAACCCCTCACGGACGGTGTCTGGGTACCAGACAACTTGCACTTTTACCGTTTTCGACGTACAGGCATCTCGCGTACAACACGGAGTTGTGTATGTTCGGAGAACGTTTCGAATAGTCGAAGCATAATATTTTGTTGACAGTATTCCTCTATACGTTGTCAAAATATTTCAAATTATTTTGAGCGGTACCAAAAATAAAAAGTCTATTTAAATCAGTGAATCGAACAACGAGTCCTGCGGGGCCTATTTACCTATTACAAAATGATTCGTTCAAGTGTTTGGCTCGTTGACTGAAATGGGACGATGCACCGTCATGCATAAATAAGAGGCAACCTACAACATCCAATGGAACTTCTTTCGATAACTTATGCAATTGATTATTCAAGATGTTGACATAAAAACAACCTATCAATCTCCAATCGAGGAAAACAGATCTAATTACATTATCGTCGACTATCCTCGTCTATACGTTAGCACTAAATTATTGTTGGTGACTCGATCGAAGAATAGGTTGTTTATTCGGCCCACTGATGAGCACATATTATGAGAACGATTAGTCCATCTCCGGTGAATGCAATTTCGTCGGAGAATAAGACGGGAGATAGAAAATATTGATCGACGATAAACGTCTGCAGGAACCAATTGCAAAAGTTCATTTCGCGAGACAGATTATCTTCGTTAACCCTTTCCGGTCCTACGTAGAGCCGAACGCGGCATAGAATTTTTTCACTAGTACTCGCTATCGCATTCTACGAGCCCGTTACATGTATGCCTGCTATTTCCTGATTTGAGTTATCTTTTCACAACTCAACAGGTTATGAAAATATCAAGCGCTCTTGGTAGGAGAACGATCTAGGCTAACTTATAGAACAGAACAGCCAACAAGGTTGAGAAATATCAAGGAGCTATCGATCACTGTGTGCAAACAGTGCAATAGAATCAGTTATACTAACTCGGTTTGTGATTATAAATTATCGGAGTACCAAAGTGGCTATACATTGGAAAGAAGGTCGAGTAGGACGCATATTTATATGAACATTTGTCGTTATTTTAGTGTCTCGATCGATCGCTAAAGTGGACCCCGCGTATTAGGAGACAATCGGTTGTATATACTATATGATTTAACGCGTTGACTATAATTTATCTTTAGATTCTGCGAGAGTAGACTTTCAGTAACGCCCAAGGGGTTCAACCCGAAGGTGGATCCTCCATAAACTTGGACCGCGTATGGCTCGTTAGTCCCTTCCTCGTGTTCTACCTTCGTTCGTCGGTCGCGGAGATGTTCCTTGATTGTCCTCGTATTTTCGTGTCGCCTTTTCGTTTTTCGTCGACGATCGAGAGGATTGGAAGTGTTCTCCGGTGTCGGCTAGAGGATCGCGAGTCGGCGGCGCCGCTGGCGCCGACACGCTCGTCGGCAAAAAGTCCAGGGGCCCCGTTAACGGGAGCGTATCAGGCGAAAGGTGCTAGCAGAAGAGAGAAAGATGTCGTGAGAGAAACGAGGAGAAGAGAGAGAGAAAGAAAACGACGAAGATGTACTTGCCGATAGACAGGCGGCGGTGGAGAGAGGATCGGTGATGCGGCGAAATGGTTGGCGTCTGCGGCGACGACGTTGGCTCGGGGCGAGGTGACGAAGCGGCAGAAGGATGAAAGGAACGAAAAGAAAGAAGTGGAAGAAAGGAAAGAAAGGAGGAACGCGACAGGAGAGGTCCGTGGTCTCGCGCCGGCCGACCGTTCTCCTCCGCAACCGCACGCCACCGTTTCGCCGTTCACCACTCCCGATGGCTCCTTTTGTACCACTCACAAACGTAACAATTTATCCTACGGTAATAACAACAATACCACTTTTATCACACCGCGCGAAAGAAACTACATACACAATCCCCAGCTCCCTACCCGTTGCACGAAAGTCATCCTAGAAGCACGAATAAATAGAAAATGACTTGTCCTATTCCAAAAGTGTTTACACACCACTTCGACATAATCTTGATGATCTATTGACCGCTTGGCAACGTTTCGAGTCCAGTAGTTTCCTTCAACCCTTGTGTCAATAACCGGATACCAGTCCTGCTAATTTTTTGCAGTTATTCCGTTGCATTCGGATATGGCAACTTGTGCAACTTTCAAACACGATACTAAACAACTCGTACAAAAACATACAAGTTCCGTGGAAAACATCTGTATATTTATCCGTTTGCAACCAGTTATTGCCACGGTATATTTTACGATTACACTCGAGGTGGCAACGTTTGGCGAGTCGTTTATTCGCATGTTTGAATCAGCCTCGCGTCATCAATTTCACCGAGGCGACCGATTCGTACCCGTACTCGGCACCGCGAAATTCGTAAAAAATTGTGTTTACGGCACGCACGTTCCTTGACAAAAACCGTAGTGTTCATTTCGTGGGAGTGGGTGAAAGCAAGATTCTAGTTTTAGGTTCAAAGTAATTTCAACAATTCTAGTCATTATACTCCGATGCCATTAACGAGACAGCGTTTAGATTCTATGAATGTATCTACATTAAAAATTGAATTCTATTCTAGCAATCCATCGTATGCGAGGATTACGACGCGTGTGAAACTTATTGAGAAACGCGACTGTCAAACTATATGATTGATCGATCAAGTTTGATATTCATTTGCAATTCCCATCAGAAATAGAATTAATAAAGACTTTTGCCCTTGTCGTTTCTCGGCTGTCTCTTCATTAGATGACTGTACGTACTGACACACTTTTCTCCGTATAAACTTTCGTTCGTTACAGACGGAGCGCTACGGCTAATGAATATTAATTGCCCGGATGAATTATTCGATTAAAACAGTTTCCTTCGAGACGTTCTTCAAACAAACATTCGGTAAAAATAGGTGTCGATGATCGGGACATTTATCTTGCGACGGCTCGGTATAATTATAATTTGCACCGCGTCGTGGGACTCGTAAAGGCGCGTGATAAATCGTCTCGTACGCGGGCTCCGTAAGATCGAGGTTCCCTCGAAGCTTCCAATGACGAAGCCGCCCCCGTAAAAGAAAACTAGTCGATCCGGTCTGGTACGGTTCGATTCGATCCGGTCTCTTAATCCTCTCGCGTCGAGCAACGACGGTATCCTCGCGCACCTGTGCAAAAGGACGCGTCCTCCGCGTTCAGGCGGCAAGGAAAACAGAGAGGAGAGAAGCGATCGCCTAAGAGAAGAGACTCTCGGTACGTTGCGTTCGGCGCACGCACGTGGACAGCCGGTTCTGCATAGTAGAAGGATCGACGCACGTGCTCGTGCATGCGTTCAGCGAAAGTGGGGCAACCCGGACCACCCACGTACCTCGTCTTCGTCTCGCCGCCTGTTTACGGACGCCGACTCGCAACCGCCGTGAACCCCGCGGCCCATTTCGAATCCTTTTTCTCACCGAGTCGCCTACCTTTCCCCGGTTCCTTTCTATTTCGCGACTTTCCTTCGAGGGTTTCGCGACGACAGCTTCTTCGAGCAGCTGCGGGACCAACTCTCATTAGCGGTGACCATTCCTCTGTTCTTTGCCGCCCAGGTGCAAAAACGCGTTCGCCGCCACATCTGGATGACGCAAAATCTGTGTTGAACCTTCTCTAACATAGTTTTTGAACTCTGAAAGCACGACAAGTTATGTTAATGATACGATTCATGTACGACAAATTCCTGACAACAAAGTATTTCGATAGATTCAAGGATAAATTATTTGTGCACGATACTCGAAGCCTATAGGTATCGTGCACATGATGCGGTATAAGTATAAGGTTTGATGGATAGCAGATTGGACGATACGCGATCGTTCATCGATCATGCGGAAAGATTCTATACACTTCAATCTCGAAACAGAGACGTTGAAACCAGCGGGGTACGAAACAGAAGGCTTCGACTTTTGCAAAGGAGACTTTAAAGCTATAGGCTGCAGGTGTTTGCCTCTTGAATAGGGAGCTCTTCTTTTTATATTCTTCGCAAGAATATTTCACCGATAACATCGTTGCAAGAATTACCATTATCGTGCGGGGGAATCACAGGTGCCGCAACGTTGCTATTTCTTTTTATAGTCGAGTGCGTTACTTTTTATTAAAATTTTTTCGAACGATCAAGAATGGCGTACTTGAACAACGAGTCTGTCATTACCGTCTATATGCGCGTTACTAATGTTACGAGCCACAGATGTAATGATTCTCTATGCAGTAATTTTCAGAGTCGTTAATACGACCGTGTAAACGATGTAAGTTGTAAAATTGTACCTGCGCAACCTGTCGTACGTGCGCGGTTAAGTTGAATGGCAATGCGGCACTACTGTACAACTGTCATTGGAACTCGGCGTACGTTACGTTTATGGCCCATATAAAAATAAGTACTTTCGCTTCTACGCTTCTGTCCCAAGGCTGAAATCGTACAGAGAATCTTTCCAACTGTCCGCCGTACAGCGACATTCGTTCCAACCTGTCGTTCGTCGACCCTGTAGTACACCAAATTTTATGGCAGTCTTGTACCGCCGTCCTGCCATAACAACCCCGGCACACTTTACAATTATCGTACGAACAGTCGTAACAACGACAGTTGGACGATTTGTCGCACGATAAATCGTCAAGTCTTTTACTGGTACAACGGGGACCGTAGATCCGACGATTCATCGTACGTCCAATCGTCACGACGAGGTGCAACGGTAATTGTGCTCGTTTGTTGTACGATGGTTTTCCCACAGACGCAACGGACAGTTGCTCAACAAATTTTAACGAGGAATACATTTTGCTTCAACGCTTCTGTTTTAAAACGTCGCGGAATCGATTAATTCGAGAGCGCCACTTCGATCAGTGCATCCGTGGACAAGTGTTTGTCCGCGTCAGGACACGAGAGTACACGTTCCTCGATCGCTCGAACGCGTTCGAAAGTCGTAGCCGCGGGAACGGGGGGAGAGAAACGACGCTGTCCGATCTAAATTCGGAACGTTACGCCGATAGTCCGTCATCCGG